ATGAGCAAGATTTTACTCATGATTGGTTACTACTCAATCGTGGGATCTTTAAAAAGGTAGAGTGGTCTTAAAATTTCGTTAGAGGAAATACATCAAGTCTAGGTGCTCAACGAGGATTGCTTTTTTATGTTATTTTTTACGCATTTTAATCGCCTTTCCCTGACCTTACTGTTGAAGCAAGCTCCACATTTCCGGTTCTCATGGCCATAAGATTAACACTTCCATCATCTTCCTGTATCGTCACAGCACTGATAGTAAAATTCGCCGTAACTTGAACAGCTTTCAGAGCTATCGAAAGAGAAAACCTCCGACTTAGAGTCTTGTTCACAAGCAAACTAAATTTTAAATGTTATCTTTGATGATAACACTTACGGTAATGATTGTACTTGAGCAAGTAGCCCATATTGCTTGAGCTTTCATTGAATTAACAGAGTGACCAGAAATGAGATATCGAGATCGCCGGTCCTCGATCTCACCCATGGCCAGGGGAGAGAGAGGCACTGTGAGGGTAGTGAGGGCAGAGTATTTTGCCTGATAACGTGACACAATAACCTGGCCGGGGTGGGGTTCGAGTTCGCCAGGGCCTTTGAACCCGGTTTTTAGCACACCTTCCACTCGGCCACAATACCTCCCGGGGACAACCATAGTGCACGTGCGCACAGCTGTTATTGAGGGAAAAGAAAGAGAGAAGGAGTGATGAAGGACGTGAAGAGAACGATTGTGAACCCCAAAGAGGTTGGTATAAAGGCGAAGGGTAAATTAAATTTTGGTCCTTTTGACCAAATTTGTGAGTTAATCGAACGGATTTTAGACTAGGTCAGAATTAGAACGCCTTGGTGGCACGCCGCAGCCCAGACATTCCGTTAGCGCCCCTCCCAGAGATAAAAGGTTATGGGTGGGACCTCTTGACTTCGCCCCTCCCCCCTCAGTAGAGACTACGCATATGGTGGTGGTGGAAAAATAGGGGGGGGATTAAGAAGTGAGGAAAATACCTTGACTGAAGGTTGCCTCGGAGAGTTCCATTGCCTCTTTCTCGTTTAGTACGCCTCTAAAGACTTGGAACCAGCTCATTGAAAACTTTGTCTGAGATTCATTAAAGCCAAGGGAATACTCATAAGGGGTGGGATTTGACGGTTCGGCAGAAATTGGTGAATTGTAGTTATCGGAAGCCATTCTTGTGCCGTTCAAATAAACCAGTGTTTCATTTTGGTGCAAGCCAGTATACATAATGCTTATGTGGAACCATTGAGTCACCTTTGCTAAGCCGTCGACACGTGCAACTTTCATGTTTTTATCGTGATGTCCAACAGCGGCATGAAATGATATATTGCTCCCGGTCTGTATCAATCTAATCTCGACTGGATTACTGTTTTTCCGCTCCTCTTTCCTGGGGGATGAAACGAAAAGGCGGACAGAAACGGCATTTGGCAGCGGCAAAGTATTGATTTTATATAGAAAAGAAATTGTAAAGGCTGGAAAAGTGGCCATGTTGCCAAGGGTATCGGCGAGAGTTCCAAGAACGATTTTATTAAAACCGTTGTCAAAGGAAATGCTATGAATCCCTTCGTCTCTCTGCTCCACGACTTCTCCGACGATGTTTTTAGGAAGGACAGAAGTGTTGGAATTGGGCTTGTATCCATAAAGCTGGTTGTTCCACTTTGGGTATAGGTACCAAATGAATTCTGTTGATTGGAGATGAATATGAAAATGAATAGAGCTGAAGTTGAAAAAAAGTATATCAATATGGTATGGCTGGTAGCTTTTAGTCATGTCTTACAAGCCAGCTGCCTGTCGGATCTTTTCACAGTTTCTATTTCAATCAACTGTATATCAACTACATCAGCATTTCAGTTCATTAAATGCAAATTACGGTAAGGAGTTCTGGTCAACCTGTGGTTGGCGGAGTTATTTTAGACAGACAACCCAACCTTAATAACACTTCTATCAAGCTCAGAATACAATAAAGAAAATCCAGAAGTAGACGAATAAATGTAATAAAAAAGTCTCTTATATCACAGCATAATTTGTTACTCATCTTTAACGGGATTCAAGTCCAGCACTCATCAAATTTCTCTGATAGCTGTCTGGTCTGGTAACCATTTGTACTCCTGGGAGGAGCCTTAAAACCATTTTAAATGTGAACTAACTAGCCCTAGGATAGCAGCCATGACTTTCATCAAAAGATACCGAGCACTCACCAAAATTACGTCTGCTCTGCTAACTATTCCAATCAACAACTCATTTAAAGATATTTAGACATACTTTGGTAATAGAATGAGTTTATCATAACTGATAGCATTACTAGCCCCTCAAGGTCGAAAGATAAATTTATCCGTTGCTACGAGACAAACACGTTGTTTTTCTCTACAGGTAATTTTTTCATGTTGCGGTTACATGCACATCTTTTATGTTGTTTGTTTCGCAAATCGGAAAAAATTATTCTAGAAAGATCCGCATGATTCTGTCGTTGAACTAATCCAATCAACTCTCTCACTATGTTTTGGGTAACCGCTCTCCAAAATACAAGATGTAGATATAATCAGATAGCTTTTTAACGACTCGTTGATGACAATATGCTGAGAAGAATTACATTGTTTTTATAAAAGTAATTATTCTTGTGAAAGTCTCTCTTAAATCGTGTCTGATTAAACCATAAAAGTCTCAATTCCGCCTACAAGAGTTTTATCAAACTTTTCTATATTACTTTAACGACAGTCATAAGTCGTATGACTCTCGAACTTTCGGACAATATTTTTCACACATCCAATTTATACGATATCATGTCTCGATTCACTCGTCCGAGACCAAATATTTGTTTACTCGATGTACGTTTAGGTTTAGCTAAGTATGTTTGGATCGGAGGTAAAACTCTGAATAACTAAACTTTACTTTCACTTTTCAAAAATACAGTCAAGTTTGACGAAAACATTTGTATAGCCGTGTGAAAGCAACAATAAATTATGCTAAAATATGATCATATCCTGCACACTGAACTAAACAATCGACTCAATTTTTCTAGTAATTTCTCCTGCTCCCAGCCATTATTCTGTAGAATTTTTAAGCCAACGTTTTTTGATAATCAATAGGACATTGGTATGAAAATGAATTTTATCCCAAGATAAAGTTCCTAAGCTATTATCATAACACTTTCACAGCTAGAGCACAGTTTTCTGTTTGAGTTTAATTTCTTTCAAGATTGCATCCATAAATCTTCGGAACGGGCAAAAGGTCGTTTCAAACCTTTACCTTTGAAGTGGTTTTGTTGCAATACGCAGAATTAAAAGAAAAATAAACGTAAAATAAACGAAGGCGAAAGTTATGGTGTAAAGGTTGAGCGCTCAAAACTTAAGATAATGAAAGGTTCGTACGAAAAACAGCGATTTAAAGCTGAGAAGCGAGAGATGTAGGGAAAGGAAGGAGAAGATTTTACAGGGAAAATTGAAAAATGTCCGCGAAATCAAACACTTCGAAAACTGAGCGAGTTGATTACCAATTGGTCTTCAGTGAAATAATCTAGTCAGTGGTTGTGTTGTGCGAGCCCTGTAGGTAAATAAGTAACGTATCATGACTCACCGGGCCTTGGTACAAAAGCGATTGTCATCGATGATGCCATAAGAAAAAAGTAAATATGGATAGGTGTCGACTTCATCCTTTCCAATCTTACTACAACTTGTTGTTTTCAAGACTATCGTTTTCAGTAGCTACGACACCTGTATTCTTGTTTCTTTCATACCTGTTATTAATTATGCAAATATTTTTCTTTCGGCATCGTTTACGAGCACGCGAAATTATATCAAAGAAATCACGCTGCGAGACCATGCCTCGATATTTTCTCGAACAATTCAGAAGCCATGACGTCACAATTTTCAACTCGAGCATAAAATCATCTGAGCTAGGATTGAAAACTGAAAACTTGGGCGAAAGTAAGGAAAGGACTTAGTATCAAATGAGTAAAAACTACCAACAATATCGCTTGTGTAGTTTAAATACAAATGTTGTTTATTGATAACCAGGTCATGACAAGAAGCCCACGGGCTAGAAACAAATAGGTATGCTTGACCTCGTTTGGGTTTACTGGAGTGATTTTGTTTACAATCTCTCAGCCACAACATTCCTGACATATGTCATTCCGTTGTTATGTTTATTTCATGGCTGACCGCAAAACCTGAAATGACTTGCTACCCTGAAGGGCAATGGGCTTATTTTGGAATATGTTCACTAGTCTTGTGCCTCAACTACCCGAGGATGTGGAAATTGTTAGTACAGTGGATTGTTACTCGCGGTGAATAAGATTCCATCGCGGGTCACCTCGACAAATTTGTAAGCTTTTTCCTGAAAGGTTGGTGGTACACAGTCATAGTCCTGTGGCACTGATAAGAATTTGTTTGACAATCAGGAGCTTCTTAAAATGATGATCATTTCCTTTACACTCATGACCTTTACATTTGATCAAAAGATGGTACTGTTAGGAGGCTAGAAGTCAACCATTCTAAGGAAATCACGCTGTGAGCATTCTGTAACACAACACATTGACCCGAGCAGAGGTTGAGGGGGACTTAAAGATCCCGAGACCCGCTCCCTAGTGGCCTGATCATCTCAGGGGTGGGGGGGGGTAGGGGGTTAAATAGAACATCGAAAAGTTGCGTCAGACGTTGCAATATTTTAACTTAAAAGTTGCCTTAAAGTTTCTCTTCGTTTTTACTTTTTGTTTTGTTTTCGGGGTAGTTATCACAACAAAAGCTTTGCGGTAACCTTCGTTTATTCCGCCCACTTTTTTAAAATTATACCGCAAATCTATCTAACTTACATTACTTACCGATTAACTTTCATAAGAGAAAAAATAAACAGACAGCCAACACTTTAACCAGTAAATTTACACATTCCTTTCTAGTGCCCAGTCCCTTAAAATTTGGTAATAACTTTTTCAAAGGTCTCTTTGAGCTAATCGTAGTTACAATTTAAAACTATCATTTCCCCAAATAGTTATGAAAAACAATCTGTATATTAAATTCTTTTATTCATCGGCGTTGTTAGATATTTTTTTAAAATTTACCTTCGTTATGGTATAAAACGTTCCCTTAGTTCCAGAATTATTAAGAGGGAAGGGGAATTCCGATTCCATGTTCTCCTTAAAGTCTGTGACCCTCACTTCTAAACTTTCGCCATTCTGATCAAACCTCGATCCAGCTCCCTGCCTCTCTCGTCGGAGTGCGAGAAAGGCAGTGTATGAAAACGTTGGTGTAATGTCAAAATGTAACTCCAAAATTGTTACATTCTGGACAACAACGGCTTTAGGCCACTCAACCCCACCCCACAAACAAACTCCCTTCCCTTCCTTACCAAAAGCAGTTACTGTTTTCAGGGTTATATCTCTACCCCTGGGAATTATAGGACGTTGTCCCCCTGGGGCATACCAGCGTCCTCTTACCCGAGGGGTATTCTTAATACTTGGGTGTATGAGGCTAGTCAAGGAGAGCCCAGACCCATTTGTTTAAATATAAATCGCTACAAAAAATTTAAACTATTAAAATAAATACATGTCTTAATTTCTTCCTGCATTTTACCCACTCACAAATGACTGCTGATTCCCGCGTATTCGAATTCGAAACTGTACAATTCATAATTTACTTGCGGGTAATTCTAAATCTCATTTCTGTTCATTTCAAGCTTGGAGCTCCTAACATTCCGTCAAAATTACTTAAGATCTGCCAATGTATATAACGTTGTGGCACATAAGAAATGATTATTAAAGTCGATAAAATGCAATTTGTGAACCGTCTACGTTACTAATTTTTCCAGCAGTTTCTACACTTTAACCTAAACAAAAGGAGCTCCTCACGAATGGTGAATGTTGGAAAATTCCTTTTACATTTCTCCAGTTCATTATCCTCAGCCCGAGTGAATCTTCTCCATTCTTAACCATCTCTGTTCACCCTTATTGTTCGCCTCCACCGACTTAAGTTTGCGATTTTAAACCTGTCCATCTCTGGCCATCAATCGTCTTTTCTGGTTGATTCGCAACGTTCTGGAGGTCTTATTTCTAAACCAGACTAATAGCGGAGCCCGCAGCGCGCGCAGCGTAGCTACATACTTATCAAAAATGTTTTTTTGGTTCTCTCCGAGAGCAAAATTACCGCACGAGAAATAATTTTACATCTAATTGTATGAATAATACTAAATATACCTGAGAATTAAAAAGGTTTCAAACAGTGTGTCCACTATTTGCCACATCCTATGTATAAATTCAAATGGTTTCCAAATTCCTGAATACGGATTGCTTGTTTTCCGGACGGAACAGTTTTGATTAAAAATATATGACTGATAGTCTTCCGAAAATTGTCCTCAACTTTGTCTCTAATCTGTGGTTTACAACAAATTAAGTTGTTTAAAATAAAATGTTTGATTTTCTTTTCCATTCATTCTTACGTCGGTTATCACGTGTTTGTTTTCTCATAACCACGGGACTCTGGGTAGGGCTGTTGGCTCGCCCTAAGCCTTTCTGGTCGGCTGGTTCGCGCTTGACAGAGTCGATGGGAAATACCTTCTCGGGTTTTACAAAGGATCCATAACGAGGCTTACAGGCGAAGTACCGCTGACCACTCACAGACCCGTCATTTTTTCCTAGTGAACGAGAAAAATCATCAAAACGAAACTTAGCACATAAAACGTCCGTATCGCACAGAACGAGGAGCATACCTGCAAGGCTTTATATCCTCACGAGACTGAGGTAAATAATTAGCAGAGCTTATCCCAACTTTTAATATTAAGTGCCTAAAATCACACTGATGTAATAACAGCGGGTACAATAACATAATGAGAACTTGCAGTAAAAAGATGTCACCAGCCTAGAGCCTAGAGCAACACAAAGACGAGTTACTTCATGTAGGTCGTACTCGTTTTTAGTGTTGCAACTGATTGGTTGACAGGGTCCCGCAATTTTTCTTGACCAATCACGGAGCGACAAGCAGCAAAACCAAAGCAATCCGGGTTTATTTTGGACACTGAGTTAAAATTTTTACTGAAAAATGACTCACCTGAGGGGGTGTCCAATTCAACACCAATCCAAACACCAGGGGCAAATTCAGTTGGTCCAATATATCTAATCCTTCCAGTTTTCTTGTCTCCGATGCAAATAACCTGCCCCTTTTTCAAATCCCCCAAGGAATCCAGCGAATCGTGCACATCCTCCCCCTCGAAGGAACCCAGTAGATCCTCTCGACTGCTAGAGTTTGACTTTTCGTGTGGAATGGAATTCTGCTCCTCGCTATCTCCTAGTAGTTCCAATGGTTCCCCCTCTACCTGAGTTTGTGTGAGAAGCGATGAGAGTTCATCTTCGTCTTCTTCGTCGTCCAGAGCGTCATCTAAACCGCGTAATGTTATCCCCACACTTGGCTTCGCACTGCTCTTCTCGGAAGCAAAAACTATCAAGTTATTTTCCAGACTGATCGATTTGAAATCGTTTGCCTGTACTGGCGGATTCGATAAATCTTCACCCGACGCCGTCGGCGTTGGCGTCGGCGCGGAGGGATCTTCACAAGTTAGCGTATCGGCGCTACCTGAACGTTCCCGAAGTTCATCTGAAAGGGGGCTGACTGTTCCTTCAGAAGACCCTTGGCCTGTAGTCTCTTGGAAGTCGAACAAAGCCTTGGGATTTTTCCTGACTTGAGGGCTCGGTGCGGGAGTAGATTCATCCTCTTCTAGAGGCTCAAGCTCCATGAGAAGGGAGCTGGGGCGTGAGTTAGATGATCCGCCTCCTGAATTCCGCAATACAACACCTGATGTAGTGGGTGATGAGCTGAATTTTTCATTCATTTGTGAGAGGTCAAGTAAAATCTCCTCCTTCGTTGGTCTTATTGGCCGAGGATCTGTGAAACTCCCCGGTAGAACAAAATCGCTTCTGTTGTTAGCCTGTTAACAAGAACGTTCACAAATGTTTCACTCTTCTCCTTTACAAAAGGTCAATTCTAATGTAGTAGTGTATTGACAATGTTAAAATATAAATTAGATGGAGACTGCTATGAAATAACTGATTCTCACCCTTGTATTCCAAAGTTTGTGACTCTCTGGTGAATCAAATCGATCGTCTTTTCCACTGAACCCGAACGAAAGGTCCCCCGACTATAAAAGCAGGAAAAACAACAAAAAAAATCATGAGCCTTAAGACTTGTCGAGGTTGTAACTACTATTTTGTAAATGTTTTTTTTTCTACTTGTAAGAAGTCATTGTGTAATTAACAAAGCCAACTTAAGTTAAACAAAGACCAAAAAAGCAGTACATCTTACCGCAGCTGCCAAGTTTGGAGTACTGGCGAATTTCCTCAAGGGCTTTCCAATGGCCGCCAGTTTCTCCTTCACCATAACTTCCTGCCAAAGAGACAAGCACATTTCGCTCAATAATTCACCCATTTTAGTAATTTGGGACGACGAAACAAATAAACAAACAAACGCTTTCAATTGTTGGTGCATTGCTGAAGAAACATCCAAGTGATTTAAGGTCACGAGCGATATTATTATTACTATCTCCTTATTGAATACTTCCATAAATCGTGTACTAGGAGTCAGGTGTTCTCCCCCACTGGAAATTATCCCGGTTTGCGTGACATGCACCGCTTAGAGGTATTTCTACTTCCCCCCTGAATGGGACGCTACGCTAGTTAATCGCCAGTTAAACCCCTTTATTTCGTCAAGTTTCGTAGGGAGAGCAACTTCGACGGTAGAGAATCTTGCTCGTGAACACGTCACAATGACTTGGTCAGGTCTCGAATCCAGGCTTTTTAATTCAGAGTCCAACGCGCTACCCATTGAGCACCGCTTGACAGCCACCAAGTTCTTTGGCGCCGTACCTGTCTGAGTCGATCGAGTGCCAACAAACTTTCCACATGTGAGATTCCTTTGCTGTACTTTCTCAACACGGATTCATCCTCCTCCTCCCCCTCCCCCACAGCTAATGCAGCCATTTGCGCCAGGCTCTCGCGTTCTTCTGTCTCCTCTCCCGGTTGCTGTAAGGTGATTGAAAGATGAACTTATCAGTACCCTTGTTCACCTCGTAATTCTCGTATTCCATCAAGCAAGGGTCGAACGGAGAATATTGAGGTCGATAGCAAAGCCCTAGAGGGTTAGAGGGCGACTATGAGGCAAACGGCAAATATCTATTTACCAGAGAGATGGTTTAAATGTCATATCAAATTACTCCTAATTTCATCTGTTCCTAGCTCAGCTTAAATTCACTCTTACCCTCTTGGTAAATTATCATGACAAGAAAATCGTTCATTTTGTAAGCGTTAACTTACCCGTGGAATGTGTGAAACAAGTTCGTACGTCACGCCAGACCGTGTTATGATATCCTTGTAAAAGATAAATTATCAAAATATTTAGTTTTTAATCTAATACATCACAGTACGACACGTCAATCAAAAAAATGACGTATGAACGAAACCAAATATATCTTAAAAGGGACAACTGTCAGAAGTTTCACATACCTTTGTAATTTTTCTCAGCAAACTGTCTTTCCAGCTTTGTTTCTTGTATATTTTGACTGAAATTCTTTTCCGAAGGACCAGATCCATCGCGATTGGACTTGCGAGGCGAACGATGATCTGCAGTAAGGAAAGGTAATCGGAATAGGATCATTTTAACCTTTGCCTCCTACGATTTAATGAAGAATTCTCCATTTAAAGTTCCACAAATTCAGTTCTAAAATGCTTTTAAGAATTTGCTTCCAAGATAAAATAGCAACCCCACAAAGTAACAGGGTTTAATGAGCAACAGTTATGTTCATTGAGGAAAATTCTATCTTAAATTCTATCTTAATTGAAAGCGATTTCTTTGTAGTTTTCTTACATACCTTCAAGATCAGATAAACTCTTTCATGTGATTGCGTGACACGGTTAAGAAACACGGAGTCGTGAATTGACGAATCCCATAACACAGTGGCAGAAACCTACAAGTCATTACAAAAGATATCACGCACAATGTCGAGGAATCACATTTGATGCAGCCCAAACACAGTTACCACTGAAACCACAATAGCCAAGTAGGGTGCAGGGAAGAAGATAATTTGATTGCTCTGATATATTTAGCTCAGGTGGTAGCCATGGCGTGATACCACCGTGACTTAAGTCAGTGAGGTAAAAAGTCAAGTGACTAAGCACCCTGAACTTGCCTGAAAAGAATTCACGTTCATAATTACACACGCGGGGTGTGTTGATCACAAACCTGCTTCTGATCGTAGTTTATAATCGGTAGTTCCATCATGTGGTCGGAATTTTCGAACACCAAAGTAGAATCCACTCCTGCTGGGCCTCCTTCTTCCATACAGCCGCTTCTCACATCATCTGTGGGGAGGAGAGGGCAACACACTTATTTATCTATAATTCTTTCTTCCTCTCTCTGCGAAACTTCAGCAAGATTGGGTTTGATTCGAAAGAAATTATAAAAACAGAAAAGACCGAGTGAGATCACAAAGATAATCGCGCACATCTTGCGTAGCAAATTTCTTATGTCACGCTTTCATACCAGGAAACCTCACTCCAACACACGACGCTTTCCTTGGGTAGAAATTCCAAAGAGAGTATAAGTAATAACCTCTCCACAGAGCATATATTTCTACGAAGGGCAAATTTTCACCACACGTTACAGAATTCTTCACCTTCCCATAACAAATGCGAAGCAACATAAATTTTAAACCAACCAAACAAAGTTAAATCGATTGCCTTACCATTCTGTAAATCCAGAAAGATAACAGGGTTGTACTTCTCCATTCCCAGGGGCACAGTCCTATAAAAGAACACCCGGAAGAATTTAACCCCTGAGGGAACATGTAAATATTTAATTAGCAGCTAGTAGTCTCCTTAACCCTAATCAGTAGTTACTCGGGGTGAGATGCCGACGCGGTCGTGTAGAAAGATCCTTACCCTTCAAGAGGCGGAGCACCGGGGATTCCACTTCCTCGTATCGGAACAAGGACAGCGTTCCTCTCCTCGGTGAGACAAACCCATTGGTCGATCATCCAGCTCTCCCGCTCTTTATCGCTCGCTGATTTGTCTGCAGATGAAACATACTTCATAGTTATGTTTGAGGTTAGAGCGTGTCCCGATCAGAGACGAAAATATACCCTCAATTTTCTAAAGTTGTCGATGCTGAATCATCCTAGCTCGCTTTAAATTTGGATTGGGCAACCGACGAGGGACCAAAATCTTTTCCACAAGGGGTGGCAACACTCCTTGTTGCTTGATGCAACAGAAACAGTGCTAAATTCTTACTGCGTGCCTCGTTTGGTCTGAATAAAAAACTCGAATTTTTCTAAGCCAGCGCAGCAAGCTTGGAGAGGGTGGTAAGCGCCATCTAGCGCAGGAGGAACATGCGAAAGGAAGGAACACACTCCAGTCCACATTGTCCTTTTCTGATTTTTATTTCTCCCTCCACGCACATTGCCCCTACTGCCGACACCGACAAGCAGGCCAATTCTCTTCCTAATCTCTCCTCAAGCGTTACCTTGTTTGTCGATTAAGGAGTGTATTTGCTCGTCCAAATACTCTCGTCTTTTCATCAGAGAAGTGGACCACTTTTCGCGCAGACTATGAAGAAAAAGAAAGATCGAAAACTGATATAAAAGGAATACTTAAAATAGAACAAAAAACATTTGAGTGGAATCTTTAAAGCACTTTAGGATTGAGGATAACTTTTCCAAGTGAACTATGTTTAATTTGCTTTCAATAAAAAAAACACTTACATAGCAAGATCTTTCTCTTGATAGCTGTCCAGCGGTTGTTGATTCTTGGTTCTCATACTAACACTTCCAATGTACACAGCGGAAATGATGTCACACACAACCGGAAGAGAACCGGCCCTCGGCACAGGCTGAACGCGCACAACAATTCGCCTCGAGTGGCCTTGACGAAGCTGGAATACTCCACCAGTTAGATTGTCTTTTTGAATGTGTAGTTCTACTGGTGCATAGACCCCTTGATCGTTAATTTCCAATATTTCCACCCAGAGCTGCATCTTTCGTAAAAGTTCTCCCCACCTGTGGGGTAAAGATATTACGTTACAAGCAAGACCAAGGAATTGTAGCTGTTGATGCCACGGTCAAAATGTAAAGACGCACTCGCCTAATGGTCAGTGCGCTGGATCCTATGAACTAACATCCCATCCAAGGAAAGGAAACTGATTCCTTCTCACTTGACGCTACAAATATTGGGATACGGTCCAGCTTCTAAATGACGATATGTCGTATGCAGACTTCGTTATTATTTACATAAATAACGAAGAGCTAGACAAGAACAAAAGAAAGAAAAGGGTCGTTGCAGATACCTGTCGTGAAGTCCTTTTTGCTGAGGTTCCACGTTCCAGTTTAGCATTACTTTACTTTGTGAATCAAATCCTTTCATTCGGTTTCCCCAGACTTCAATGGCCAGCGAGCCCTCTGATGCATACTCGACGAATTCGTCCGTAACTTCCATGTCAAATAACTGAAAATATTTAAACATATATTAAATCAGTCATATTTTCCTCTCCGGATGAAAAATAATGACGTGTCGTTATTCCATTCTGAGGAAACCGAGACAAACTCTTAGTTCGTATAGCTTAAAGAAATACAAAAAACCTTTACTAGCCTGCAAAATAGAGAGGATTCCTTTTTGAATATTACTGCCGCAAACGTCAAACTTGTCTTGAGCCAAACATGGAGCTTAAATTATATTTCATTTTTGCGCTCAGTTCCCTTGTTCCCCCGAAGCGTAAGTTGGATTACATAAGTTCGCCGTCGAAATACACCACATTCAGTACGGCAAATGAAAAGTAAGCCTTATGCAAATGAGCATACCTGCTTATGCTCGAAAATCATCGTGTTTGTCTTTGGCCCCGGCTGAGAAATACTGGCATTGATCGGGGGTACCACAATGGTATTATCGTCATTCCAAAACTTGTACTGACAGAACACGTAATTGCACAGAGCTGGGGGCAGGTCATAAGCTTCAACAACCTTGACCTCTACATGCATCTGCGAGCCTTTGACCAGCTCATCATCGTCATCATCACCATTATCATCATGTATGACTAACAAATCGTCCTCTTCGTCGCTCGAGGTTTCTCCAGCGTCACCTTCAGCCTCTCTAGACTTCTTCTTCTGAGCTTTCTCTGTTGTTGAAAACGTATAAGAAGAGATAGATTAGTTGAACAGAAACCTTACCCCGTTTTAAACAAATTCTACAATCACGCTCGGTGCAGATTTTACATGAAGCATGAAACATTTTGCTTGAAAAATGTTTGGATTCCAAACCGTTACAGTGCGACACACAAGGAGAAAGTTCTCCACGACACATTATTACGAAAGCATATCTTTCAGGGACGTTTCTGTGATTCATTTACACGACGCAATCGCACCCATGAATTTGAACAAGTTTGAATTGGGCGACGTAAAACGGGGAAAAAAAATCTGTCGCAAGGACAACTACTCTCCGAGAAAATATATTCATGTCAAACGAAGTAAACAGTCGTAGTGACCTATTCTCGAATCGTTTCGCGGCGATATGTCGCGAACCTCCACGCGACCAAAGCACGTAACACAACAACACGCTTGTTCACAAAAATTCACGCTCATTTAAACGCTTTCGTAAATCATGTACCTGAAATCCTAGAAACCTCGACCTTCAGCCGGCCACAAACCTGAAATGAAAAGGAAGCAAAGCAAAGGTCACATACGTGTGAAGTCATATCCATATCAGTAAGTTCTATTAAGCAATTTAGATGAAAAATTACGATTACGTCTCTCTAGAGTCGGGAGCTTCAGAGAGCACCAATAAAATGTCAGGAAAACCTGACGAAATATCCTGGCTTCGCCCAACAGCCAGATGGAGCTCCAATACGAATACAGTACTGCTCAAATGGAAGAAGAGAGTTTAGATTCGAAACTTTCAAGAATCGAGGCTCGAGTTTCGATTTTCGCGAATCGAAAATCGAGACACCCTAAGAATCTTCCGAAGATCTCAATTCGCAGTTTCGAAGAAACAATTTAACTTTCTAGTGCAAAACAATAACGAAGGAAAAAGCCCTCTACGAGACCCTTCTTCATGACACTCTTGAAGCATGTCAGCTGGATGGCCTTTATGCTCACCTCTCCTTGTTGACTGATGATCGGTGCTGCATACTCATGGTTCACGTCGTGTAACAGACACTCAAGAAAAACGTTAGCTACACCGATCAGGGTGTGGCACTCCACCTCGAAAAACAGATCCAAGTTTTCATCCTGACAAAACAGAAATATGCTTTAAAATACGCTTTTCCGTATCAAACCATTCCAACTGAGTTGAGATTTAAGTCAAACTTCAATAAGGGTTCATATTTTTTCCTTTTTCTGCAGGTTATTTATCTTTAGTCTCAGCAATTCACGAAGGAAGTCACTGAAAATTCACCTCAGTAAGCCAAACTTGTATTTACCGTTTCGGAGAAAGGAATATCGTCTTCAACACACTGATTGTAGAGATCTCTCATGTCGTAGATTTTGTTGGACAACTTCTCCAGGGACCAAACTGAAACAGAGAACATGATATAACAGTGTTATTGACTAGTTTGACAAATTAAAAAAAACGAATAAAGGGGGTAGGTTTCTAAAGAAACTGTGGTACTGTGTCGGTGGGAGAGTATAGCAGATAATTTAGTGTAAACAACTGAGTTGGAAACGTAAATTGGCCACCATAAAGAGTTTAAAGGCTGACGTTTCGAACGTTAGCCCTTCGATAATCGCTCTGAAAAAGGGCTAACGCTTGAAACGTAAGCCTTTAAACTCTTTACGGTAGCCAAATTACGTTATTAACTCACTTGTTAACACTAAATTACTTGACAAAAAAAGTGGCGTTTAGCGAGGGCAATTTAGGTTAGAACAATGAACAGAAACTCACTCTGTGTCCCTTTCGACTTGTGTTTCACAACAATGGCAACTTCACTACTGAATCCAGGTCTGCTCCGGCCAAAACTTAAACTCGATGTTGGAATCTGATTAATAATCACATTTTCCTGATTAATCAACTGACAAGGGGAAACGCACATTTGAGAGGCTATTTCATGTTTTATTACACCCATTTTGAAATCACTGGTGGTCCCTGTAATCTGATTGGCTCTAATTGGTGCGATTTAAACAAATTGAGATCGGGGACTCGCTGCAAATAAAATTAGATTTCGAGTCTTGTTAAAAGTGACCAATCAAATTGCAGGAAAATGAAAGACAATGAGTATCATGTGGCAAATTTTGCAACTCGCTCGGTAATTTGTCTAGATGACTCGTCAAGATGCAATACTTCCAACAATCGCACTTGGATCACTCCCTTAAACCCACGCAAGTTTTCAATCTGTTTTCTCATTGGCTTGTGATATTTTCCTTTATTCTGATTGGCCGTTGCGGTCACGAGACCGCATCATAATGTTAGTAAGCTTACGGGGCAGCACATTTCACATCTCAAACTACGCCTCAATAAAACCACAGTTCTACCTAAATCTATCAATGTACCTGAAGCGTCACGGCAAATTCTGTTTCTTTACCCATCTCCTCACTCAACTGGTTGGCTTCCCTGACGAGAGTGTTGGCTTTGATCACTTCCTCTCTGAGCACCAAGGGTTTTCTTTCAAACTGAATCAGATTCTCCCTGCTGGTTAAAATAATAACAAAGAAACAAAGCATTAGATTTTAAGTACCCAACCATAGCTATTATCCGCAGCTTTCACAGCGCTTAAAGACTCCAAGTGGCTGCCATGACGACTGACTCAGCTTGTGGTTGATATCTTGATACAGCACCAAATTCTCCCAGCAGATTTATGATGAAATGTATAGGAGCTATAAGAAAGAATTAATCACCTGTCATCACACCATGACATCCTTGATGATCCGTATCCCGAACTAAAAGAGCTGATGCTGACTGTACGCTCTCCCATACTCTGCCGCCCCATTGGAACCATTTGGTTTCGTAATTCCTCAATCTTTTCTTCGTACATTTGACGTTGCCTGTCTAAGGCTCCTGAAAAGTATGAATTAAAGAAATCTGTCATGAAGAGTCCTGAACACTCCGCCATTCATTGGTTTCGCTTCACTGCGGTCTATGATTGGTCAAAATCCTCGCACCAATCAGATTTAAAACTGAAACCAATTCCGACTTGATCACTTGAGTCTTACGCGCGTCAGGCAGTATGCTTGTTTCAATCTAATTTAATGTTGAATGACTGCGAAATTTTCTTTTGTTGAGACAGTTCCCTGATAATTCTTTTGGCCGTCAATTAGAAAACTGTAAGAGGTTGTTGCGCCTCCCTCTTAAAATAAAGTTATTATTGTCATTGTTGGTTTTAGGTTTGCTACACTTCACGGAAAAGCGTTCTATTGAGTCAAAGGTTAAAACGTCTTACGTGCATTTGAGTATTTTATACTGCTTTCAAAAATCTCACCGCGATTTTCTCTTTTTTTCACTTTACCTTGTTTTTCAGCTTTATATTGCTCTTCAAGAGCTTTGACAGATTCCTTGAGGGGCCCTGGCCAAGAAAATGAGGGAAAAAAAACAGTGATATGGGATTTGATTTTAACACCATTACTGCGTTTTTTTCTTTATTTAGACTACGAACCAATATCGACAGACATAGGCAGATACACAACATCCTACGTGGCTGCATGAGAGGTTTTGCGAGCGATTTGATGCGCTGAGCGGCATTGAACTACGCTGTCTTTGTTTTCAGCGTGTGCCCGAATAAGCCAAGCGGGCTTTATTTATATCATATCCACGGGTGTACAACGCAGTTAAAATTCACTCAGCAAGCGACTGAATAAGAGGCAACATTTAGAAATGTACTGGAAAAAAAATCAATGTGATGTACGTTTACCTGCGCTCATTTCATTCATCATCAACTCCGTCTGGGCAAATTGAAAATCAACCGTTTGTTCCACTTGCTGTTCACTTCCTGTTTGGCAAAGGGTAAATATGTATGTAAAGGTTATAAGTTGCCACATGGCCATTAAGGCACCCAACCCAGTAAGAGAGTGACTAAAGGAACAGGGACGAGGGGAGGAGAAGAAGAATAAACACTGAGGAATAATTTCAGCTATACACACCTGGTAGACGGGGACAGTTTATTCTGAAGTAATGGTTGTTCCCCCACAGAATACGATCTCCATGTTTGAGCTGCGTCTTCTCTTCCACAAGTCTTCCGTTAACACACGTGCTACACACAGATAAAACAGTAGTAAGCTTAGCTTACAGCTGTACAATAAACATGGTAATATTTGATACTTTTTCAACCTCAGTTATAAGAAGTACAATGCACATACCCTGTTTTGGCTAGCGGTGTAACATACACTTCATTGCCCTCTATATCAAGCTGACAATGCTCCTGTAATATTCCAAGCCCGCCCAGTTGAATATCCTATGAAAAAAAAATTATAAAAAAGTCACTAAGGCAGGGCGTGAAATTAATTTTTTTTTCTGATAGCCACTTGGCTCCTAAATTTTTCAAAGTGGTAGCCAATTCAAAAAAAGTTGGTCGCCATTTTCAAAGACAAACAAAATATTTCTTTACGCTGTCAGCGTTCTAGATAGACCCTCCAAAATGAAGTTAGGGAAAAGATCTTTAACGTGCTACAAAGTGGACAATAGGATGGATGATATAAAAAACCAAGATGGCGTCTAGTTATCGATCGAGATGCATGTGCTACGTTTTGGAAACAAACTTAACGAGGAAGTTTGCCGCGGATTTATCTTTGCAAATCTTTTTAATTCACTATATCTCTTGGTAAGGTTATGATGAAACGTTCTAGTCGCCAATTTGGCGACTAACTTTCAGGATTTGGTCGCCAAAGTAAAAAATTTAGTCGCATTGGCGCCTGTATTAGGCGCAATTTCACGCCCTGTAAGGGTAGTAAACTTTACTTTGAATGAAGTCTCCCTCTCTACTAAGGGTAACCGGTCAAGTCGCCCGAGAGTCATCACGCCCGAAGCCTAAGTCATGTTGCCCGAAATTTCAGTTATGTCGCCCGAAACAAAAAAAGTCAAGTCACCCGAAGAAACAAATATCAAAAAGATATGAATTTCAGACTGTTAATAGGCAACAACGTTGAGAAATTTTTATCACTAAAGCGCTCTTTGTTTCCGACAACACCATGAAGATTCTTAAAGTGTTGTTCGTTCCTAACAACAAAGGGAAACGTTGTTCGTTTCCAACAACAAAATGAAGCGTTGTTCGTTTGGTATGTGATCGTTTCTTACTCACAGACGTTTCGTAAGCTTAAGGAACTTTTTCTTGGTTTCTAACAATACCATGAAGACTTTGACTACGCAGAAATCGATCGTAAGCTCGGAATTGAAATATGTTTGAGCAACGATTCTAAAAGCGTTGTTCGTTTCTAACAACAAAGGGAATCGTTCTCCGTTTCTAACTTTCTAATCTGTTTGTGACTTTCTTAACAATAACAGATGAAAACACCTGGTAAACGAATGTCGATTGTCGCGTTCGACAAGTCGGTAAAAGGTAAAGCGTGTAACATAAAAATAAAGTTATGTTGTGTTTTATGTAAACTTCGTAACATTAAAAATTAACTTGTTGCCTTGCGTAAGGTAAGTGTGATACTTTTAGAATAATAGTCTATTGTTTATGCTTGTGACTTTTTTCACAGTAGTAGTCAGATAGCATCATTTCCCTTTGGATCAGAATAGGCAGAAATTATGTAGTTGTTCTCTGTTTCCTCTGGTCATGTATATTTTGATCCGATCAAAGTATATATGAAGAGGGTAAAGCTAGCTACAATAAGAATACGAACTGATCAAAATGAGCATTCATCCTTGCATTGAGTGTGATGATGACGTTAAACCACGCCAACAAGCCCTATAGTGCGACGATTACTGCCGATCATATGGCCTTTCTGACCATATGATCGATTTCTGTGTAGTCAAAGTCTTCATGGCTTTGTTAGAAACCAAGAAAAAGTTTCTCAAGCATCTGAAATGTCCGTGAGTAAGAAACGAGTACATACCAAGCGAACTACGCTTAATTTTTTTGTTAGAAACGGAGAACGATTCCCTTTGTTGTTAGAAACGAACAACGCTTTTAGAATCGTTGCTCAAACATATTTCAATTCCGAGCATACGATCGATTTCTGCGTAGTCAAAGTCTTCATGGTATTGTTAGAAACCAAGAAAAAGTTCCATAAGCTTACGAAACGTCCGTGAGTAAGAAACGATTACATACCAAACGAACAACGCTTCATTTTGTTGTTGGAAACGAACAACGTTTCCCTTTGTTGTTAGGAACGAACAACACTTTAAGAATCTTCATGGTGTTGTCGGAAACAAAGAGCACTTTAGTGATAAAAATTTCTCAACGTTATTGCCTTTTAACAGTCTGAAATTCATATCTTTTTAATATTTGTTTCTTCGGGCGACTTGACTTTTTTTGTTTCGAGCGACATAACTGAAATTTAGGGCAACATGACTCAGGTTTCGGGCGACTCGACTGTAAAACCTACTAAGACAGTCCAGTAGAAACTTCTGTCTACAGTATCTCTTCAACCCTCATTAGAATCATTTAGAAACATCTTTGTAAGCCCTTTAGGAACCTTAAGGAAGTGTCTAGAAACCCTCTTCAGAAATCAGAAATTTTAACAAAGTCCAGATTAAGAAATCTTTCAGAAAACCTTCCAAAATCGTTCCGAACCCGTTTCGAACTTTACAAAATTTCTCAGCCTCTGGAACTCAGAAAGATTTTTCTGGGTAGTTTTCACATCATGCCCAAGTTCCACCCTAGTTGCTATCTTTGATAAGTCACTTTCTTCTATATTGGAACATATGATCAATTTTCATACTCACTGGGGCATGTGTGGCATCGGGTCTTCCAACAATAGTATGTTCCTGTGAGAAAATTAAATTTTGCACAAATGAATAACGGTAAAATAATTTGATAAAAATCATCATATTTATTACAAAGCTCATGCTCCTGGGCCAGGGTCAGCTTAGGTGCACATTTCAACAATGAGCTTAACCCTTTAAATCCCACGAGTGACCACGACAGAATTTCTCCTTACAATATCACACAATATCAACCAGATAAGTGATGAGAATAAAGAAATATATAAACTTGGGTATAATAAGTTGATCCAATACTAAATTCTCTTTGGAAATAAATTTTTACAACTTGTGGTATCCATAGGACAACAACAGCATACAGGTGACATAAACTCATGAAAATTCTTATCTACATGTACTGGGAATTTACATTTTGCTTCTGTATAATACTTTATATGATAAGAAGAAGCAGGATCTTGTGTAAACACTAGCCACAGCACCCTGTACTTTAAAAACCAAAGTTTCAACTGCTAATTACAACATTCTTGTAAAGATCGTATGGTATCCATGGAAAAGGGCATGACTACCATTCTTATCTGCTGATAAGTTCCTTTTATCACCTTTAAATAGTAAACAAGCAGTTCATTCATTGAGGGATCAGCATTCAAATTGACCAGATAGAACTTGGACTTTTCCACTGCAATTCCTGATGATTGCACTGAGATTCCCATCTCTTCAAGAGCCTTGTGTCTTTCCTGAGTTCAACAATGTACAGAAAACCTTAAAGAATTCTGCAATTTTTTGAGTGAGTTTTGCTCAAGGGGAACTTACCGGTACTTTGTATATGGTTAAGTGAAATTAAAACATTATTCATTTAATATGTTGAAAATAGAAATACTATTTCACTTTGAAGTTGTTTCACCAAATGACTTTAAGAGAACAAAATAAACATGAGCCTCTACTGATAACAACTCTCACTTTGGTAAATATTAAAGGGGCACTGTATCTAGAGGGTAGGGTGTCCCTTTGGTCAGGGCGGGGCTGTTTCCCTTTTGTACGTCTAAGCCAAAGGGACAAGGGAAATTTATATGAAAAGGAAAAAAATGGTCTAAAGAGATGTGCATACAACCAAGGAGTTTCTATGGCAGCTACTCAACTCACAGTTTTTAAATGACATTTTTAAGCTATCAATTTTCATGAATGTACCTGCTGAATTTTTTCTGTCTGTTTCTCCTTCTGTTCCCATGTCATTGTACACTCACTCATCAACTTCTCACTCTCAGACAACATTTCTTTAATCTCAATGGTGGTCTCTCCAGGTTCAACAATGTGCGACTTCCCAGCAATTTTAGCTGCAAGCATTCTCTTAAGACGGTCAACTTCCTCACGCAATTCACGGATAATCTGTCAAAATTGCACAAAAAATCACCATCAGAAAAGGATTAAGTAGTTTAAATTTCCAACTTGTTTTGCTACTCCACCTGGATGAGATGCTTGCCCATCACAGGCTACACTCATCCAATTCCCACACCCCCCCTGCATTTCAAGTTTCCCTGACACTCATGGGTAGAGAAAGGCACTGTAGTAGCTAACTGTCCTGTTCACAAACACCACACAGATCTAAGGGAGAAATTTAAGAGAAAAAATACAAATTAAAGGAGGTCATAATACCTTTGCATTTGGATCTTCATTCACCACAGCATGGTTAACAATACGTTTTGCTCTGTCAGCATATCTTAATGTAGAGAGGGTCTCCTCATAATTATCTGCAGCAGGACTTACTGTGGCCACCATCACTGTCTTACTATTGCCACCAAGGTTGTCCTAATATTAGCAAAACATAAGAGCTTCTTCAGAATAGCCACAGAGGGATTTAAGAAAAAGCCTGATTTAACAACCTTGATTTGTTCATTTTTCTGAATTTCAAATCTCAATATTTACCCATAGTGCAGATCAAAAAATTACATATTTTGGATCAAATACATTTACACACAGTGTATCTCCTAGACTTGAGAGAGGAAATCAGAAAATTGGCTTCTTTTTTCACGCATCCATTTGATCATTCATACAGAACTCACAGTTCAATGGAACTCAGTAATTTTCCTTTTTAATAAAACCACATTCATCTCTTCATGTATTCTAAAACAAGCACTGTGTATTGAGACCTTTATCATTTCCCCTTAGCTATGTCTTTGTTGCTGTTGTTGTTTGCTTGTTTGTTGTTTTCCTTACCTTTAATAGCCAAGTAAGAACTGAATCTCTGTATGGCACATGAAGAGCCTTCTTTCCTTTACCTCCAGACTAAAAAGAAGTCACAAAAATGTCTTAAAGAGTTTCATATGTCTTGCAGCATCTAGAGTAGCTGAATTTCAGAAGAATACATCTGAAGAGTGTAAAACATTGAAACAACTGTTTTCTGAGACAGACGAATTAAATTTGACCAATCTGGAATACCTCAGCGAGACATAGTTTGAAGCTACACTGGTTTGCAGATTTAATGAATGTAACCGAAGAAGTTACAATTCATAGACCCAACGTTTCGACACTCCTGTCTAGTGCCTTCATCAGGGGTGATCTAAACGCTTTAAAGGAGCGTGGGCGGAGTTAATGTGCCGAGCAAACAAAGGCGCTGGTGGTAACGCCGATTAGTAGTGATAATTTTAGAATTATCCCACCCAATTGTATGGTTGGTTAGGCAAGTATGCTCCGATAAAGCTGAATTTTCCTTTTTGCAAAGAAAAACCGCTTTTTGGTGCTCTTTTAACCGAGTACCAAACTGGCGTTTGGTCTGTCCGATGTATTCGTTATCACAGTCATTGCAAGGAATAGAATAAATGGCGTCGGTTCGTTTGTTTGGAGGCTTGGCACATTAACTCCGCCCACGCTCCTTTAAATCGTGACGATGGCGGTCTGCTTCCTGACGCCTATTTACACCTCGTCAGAAAAAAGGCCGCTAATTAGTGATCATATAAAAGGACCTCTTGTTGCAGCGTTTAGATCACCCCTGATGAAGGCACTAGACAGGAGTGTCGAAACGTTGGGTCTATGAATTGTAACTTCTTCGGTTACATTCATTAAATCTGCAAACCAGTGTAGCTTCAAACTATGTCTGATTGTCCACCTGGTTGCCGTGTGAACTTTAATATACCTCAGCGAGACTTGAAATAACTTGACCCAGAGTAACCAGGGATCTGAAACAAAATTGATAAAACTTATCAACCACAGTCAACAGCTTCACTGCACTACAGCACCATGTAGCTATCATGAACAAACACAGAGGGGCACAAATTGAGAGGCCCAAAGTAGAAGGTACCTGTTGATGTTACTGCCCTCTTTAAGTCTCTCTCCCTCAGCCCCACTCTTACTGGCCCTTTCACTGCCTGCCAAGTCTACAAGACTTAGTTTGCTCACTTTTTCACCAATAGACTGTAAAACATCAAAGTTATGTTAATTACTATGGACTTGAAATCTTGAATGAATTAATTTATAGAAATGGTCAAAAATACACAAAATTCAAAGAAATGGATAACTAGATTCTTCGTCAAAATTAAATATTTCAGGTTAAAGTTTTTGTTATGATTTAACCCTTTAACTCCCATGAGAGACCAAGATAGAATTTCTCCTTGCGATATTAATACAATATCAAGTGATGAGAATAAAGAAAAATATCAATTGGGGGATTGTAAGTTGATCCGATACCAAATTCTCCAAATTAACATAACAAGAACTGTATGGCAGACAGTAAGGAGAATTACTAATGAGATCTTGGGAGTTAAGGGGTTAATATATACCTCTGTTTCTTTATCGTACTCGGATCTTGTGAGCACAATGTTGAACACTGCATGTGATCTGCTGCTCTCTGTGTTCATGTTGGTAGCAGCAACAGTTCTGGACTTGTTTCCTTCAATCATTAGATTCTCAATATCCTGAAGGATAACATAACTCCATGCTAAGACTAATTTATTATCTTTGAGAACTCAAGATAATTCATAATTCTGACTCATCTAGATTTTACAGGAATGTTATTTGTGCAATCCTAAAACTTACCTTGAAGGATGACACAACAAGCTTTGTGAGTCCTTCAACATATGGCCCTAAAATCTTGTGTTCTCGCACTCTTAGTGTTGCTTGGTTTCTAAACAAAAATACCTCACATTATTTAATGCCAAATTAAAAATGCACCACTTGATTAATTATGAAATATCATCTGTATTCATGTGATCCAGAAAAAAAAGGCAAATTCCTTTTTTTCTCTTGGTTAACATGTATTCAAAACTTGTGCATGAAATGGGATCAGGAACCTCTATGCTACCCTCAATAAAAGAAGCAAAATCTATATAGGTATGTTGTGGCTTGTACAAATGTAGATATCATTGACATACCCTCTGGGGCACAACAAATCTCTGACTTTCTCATTATAGATCTCAATATAGGAGACTTCCACTTTGTATGTGATGTTCTCATCTTCATTCTGAGGGAAAGATTGTAGTGACGTATGTGAGTAAGTAAATTTGAAATGTTTGATAAATAGATAAATAGTTTGTTGAACACATTTTTGTTCATTCCATCTTGATGCCCAACTTCCACTTATTTATGGCAAGTTCAACTTACACTTGAAATCCGATCAAACAGTTCATTACACAGTCTGGGAATCAGGCCTGTCTGGTTCTGGCTTCCCATCATGGTGTATGTCTTTCCTGATCCTAAAAACAAGGAAGGAATGATGTCAGTTACATGAGTGAAGAACCCAGATAGCACACCATTGCCACAACTTACATGTATCACTGTTTCTGTAGCATAAAGGGGAGAGAAGCATTGTTACTCCTCTTTCCCACATGCCCCCCTCCTCTTTCCCACATGTCCCCCTCCTCCTTTCCCCATGCCCCCCTCCTCCTCCCAGCATGCCTCCCTCCTATGGCTCTGTCATACATTCCTGACACTTTGTTGGTATCAATGATCCTGGCCAGTTCTTAAGCTCAGATCTCGTTATGAAGTCCAATGTAATCACAAAGGACTGACGTAGTAGAAAAAGAATTAGAGGAAGAAAAGGCAAGCATGAGAAGCTGCCTTGTAAATCACAGCTGATGCATTCTCTTTTTACCTGTTTGTCCATAAGCAAAAATACAGGCATTGTAACCCTCAAAGGAATTCTCCAAAACATCTGCACCAAGACACTTGTAAACTTTTTCTTGGCCTGATACATGAAACAGAAACAGAAAAATAATCAGTGCATCACTATTAACAAACTTCCAACTTTACAAGAACAGGTTGTAAAACAGTGACATTTTGACTCCCAGCATACACCTTGGAGACTAACTTTTACTTGCTCTTTTGATTAATGGTTGACAATTTTAAATGAAAGGAAAAGGTCGATGTTAACATGTACGTATGCAATGCGCTAAATGAAGAGTAAACAATGAAAACTCAGCCAACTTACTTTAAGCCGTTTATACATCAAGTAATATTATTATATTTTGAGGTGTTTTTGGTGACAGAAAAGAAATTCATTGTAAAGATCAGCAAAAAATCCTAGTGCGGTAAGAATCTAAGAAAGACAATATTCACTTGAATGACAGAACACAATCCATTAAAAATAAAAGGATTAAACCAAAAGCCAGAAAGATGGCTGTCAATGGGAAAGATTAACAGGCATTGTAAACACCAAACTTGAAATATTTATACTCAATTTTTTCAAGATATACAATCTGTGAAGTACAGTACTGCTCGCATATACATTAATCAAAAAACACATAGAAAATGCCAAAAAATTGCATGCAAGTGTGATTAAAAAAAGTGTAAGTTAAAAAATTGCATGTGCATGCATTGACTTGACACATCTGCCGCATTAGTATGTATAAGGTAGACCTTTTGTTTTCCTATTGTTGGTGATTTATCGTTTTAAAGAATAGGTTACAATAGAATAGCACAAAAATACTACATGGCTACCAACAACAAGTAAACTTGTTTGTATCAATCACTGTTTGAACCGACCTTCCCAATATGCTGTTGTATACTAATGCAACTTCATAATCGGAATATATAAATTATTTCTCATTTTCCGACAAAATTCTTCTATAAAATAGCTATTTCTTATGTAGATCAGATTGTTTCAATTGGATTACCGATAAACACCTTCCAATTTGCATATCCAGTGAATCATAACAAGAGAACAGAGTAGAGAGACACTCATTAAGTTTGGATAATGGAAAATTCTCAAATTTTCTATCCAAATTTAACATGCAGGACTACTTTTTCTACAGAAATGGGGGATTTTCTTCTGTTACCATCCACTACTTCCCTGCTATGACATTCTGTAATGAAAGCCCAAAATAAATAATACATTCATCAGGAATTGAGCAATTTCCTACAAGTCCTCATCTCACTACACAATTTAACATGTAAGGCATGTTTCAGAAAATGAGAGTAACAAAATAGTGTAACTTAATTCAGATTAAACGGCTAAGAATGTATGAAAGTCATATATTTGAACTGCAGATAAAGATGTGAATGAAAGTGATCCTCGCAGTAATGTGCACTACTTAAGCAGTAGTGAAGAAAGGCCTGAAAAAAATTCAGGCCTGTACAGGATTTGAACCCATGACCTCTGTGATACCAGTGTAGGGCTCTACCAACTGAGCCAACTGGGGGCTGGTCATTAAGTTGGTTCCAAATAAACCCGTGAAGTGATGAATAAATGGCTAAGAATATATAAAAGCCATATATTTGAACTGCGGATAAAGATGTGCTGTGAACTGCTCATGTTGTGCTCATCACTGCAAGGATCACTTTCATTCATGCCTTAATTCAGATTCCCAAAAAAAGTCAAAATTTGAATTAATGTAGGTGGGGCAAGGTCAGAAACTGGAAGAATACAGCTGCTTTTCCCACTTGCCTTGTCCAGGAAATTCAAGGCAGGAAGTTCTTCATTTGAAATAGCTTTGATTTCAATACTGAACTGCCAATTTCCCAACCTTCACACCACTTATTTAAAAAGTTACTATATAAACTTATGATAAATGTTAAGAGCAATTCTCATGTTTTACCTTAAACAGAATTAAGATCAATGCATGTAAAGTACAGCATTTAAACAAGGACTTGGAAAAAAACATGAACATTTCAGAACAATATAAAACACTACAAACACACACCAACAGACAAGTTAACTTCACAGAACAGCAAAATAGCCATTGTCACATCAATGACTTCAAGTTTTTTCCATTGTTTGATCTTTCCTTACTGATTTTTAACTATGACCTTCCTTAGCCCTTGTAAGAAACATTGAGACGTCCCATGTGAGATGTCCCACGCAAGAACAATTATGTAACAAGATATATGGTTTTGTTTGTACAGTGCAGAAGTGATTTTGTTGATTGACGGACACGTGAGCCAAGTAATATAAGTAGTACCTTTTCGAAGCGAAGACGAGTGGTTATGCGAAGTTACGAAGTTTAGGTTTTTATGATACGAATTAGATGTTGTTGTAGTAAGTACGAATCAATAAAGGGAATCAAGAAATTACGTCTCGAAGTTTACAATAGCCCTTTTGATACAGTTTCTTATAACTTTGTGAAACAAAAGATATTGAAAAGTTCATTAACAAGAAAAGGTGAAAAATTATATAAATTAATAATATCAAAAACCATTTATCTCTTGAGTCTTTGATCCCAAAGAGTAACTACATTTACATGTAGCATCTATTTTCTCCTTACAATATAAAATCACACATTTAGGTCATGAGAATTTGGGAACTGATCACCAACTAAAGGTCTTGATTGTTACACAAATTCTCCCTGTCAGCACCTTGGGAAATGTAGAGAGAACAGTATGGAGAATATACATACAGATATTAAGATGTAAAGGGTTAAAGGTAGCCATGTACTTACTTGCATATTTGTTGTTACTTTCTTCCATTGACCAAAAGCAGTGATCAAATGCAAAAGTCTTTTTAAAGAAAAAATTCAAAGAATGCCATTAATCAAAACAGTCATACCATTTCAAGAACACATATGCAAGGCAATGAAAAGATAACAGAACACTTTTCTTCATTAAAAAGGTCTGGAGTATATGCTGCACTTACGAGGAATAAAAAAAGTGTTTTTCAAATGTGACAAACATGTACAAGGAGTTAAGGAAACTTGAACATTGGGTCCCAGAAAATCACCCCTTGAGAAATTTTAATAAAGAAAATGATAAGAAAAAAACATCTTTAAAAACAATGTTTTAAAACAATGTTTAGACACATATTTTCTCATATCAAATTCACCCTGCCCTTAAATTTACAAAAATTAAATCTAAACAGAATGCATTTAAGGATAAATAACAAAATTTTTAGAGATCTTTTAATAACATTCACAAACTTATATTCTGTCAGGATTGATTTAATATTCCCTCTAGGAGCGACAAATTAAAAACTTTGTTAAATCATGCACATATTTTTAATTTTCATTAATGCATTGATGCCATTTTTGCTCAGTACAGAGGTATCACTTTTTCATACATGCTTGTAATAACATTTCCACACTTTATCAATCTGGCAAATTATTTTAATCTTATTTTTTTATCTTTTATCTTGTGATAAACAAGAGGATTAAATTGGAGACAGAGTAAAAAATCTTTTTGCATAAAAATTATTCACAAAGCTTAGACAAAATATCAAAATAAGTTTAAAATGCATAAAAGGAAGGAAGGTGGACAGAGGCTAAATACTTGTTTCCGCTGTAACTAAACTGCAAACTATGATGACCCTGGTTAAACATACCTTTGTGTTCTTCCTGTCTCCAGTAAAAATCCAAGAATAATGTGAATAAAAAGAAAAACCGAAATCAGTAACTAGAATTGAGCTTTCGTGTTACATATTGATTAAAATTACGTCTAGGTACATGGAATGATCAAAACTTCTAGAATCGCCTGAAGGAAAACCGATTACTCGAACAGAATGACAAGCATTTATTTGGCACACTTCGAATCAAATCATCAACACTCGACACAAATATCTCGAGTGGAAGTTAATTCTTGACTCTGCAAATCATTGCTCGTCTTGTGTTTACATTTCTAGTAATTTTAAGCCCATTTTGTTTACAGGTCTTTTTGAAAGCAATCAACCGGCTTGCCATTGTTTACAACGAAGACTAAGTGGGCAGAGAAAGATTCTCGAACGACTCATCATCACCAATTATTTCCGTTCCAATTAAAAAGCTATGGCCCCCTTCGAGCGATTTGTAGACTTCAATGTTGAAGACAGTTTGATAACGGAAACTATTTATTTCCATATAAAATGCTTCTGCCGACAGGAATATTGATCACTGAACAATAGCATTCGCGAGCGTACTTTCATGTAAAAATGCGACAAATCTGTAAATCACAGCAAGACGAAAGCTAATCCAATGGTTTAAGACAGTGATTCTGTTGACGTCTGAAGATAATACCGCTTTCAACGAGAGCTACTTTTAACTAGCAGCGCTGAGTAGATTTTCAGTGTTAACCACGGCTTATTAAATCTTTAAAACAAGGCTGGAATTTGTGTTATATAATAATAGGGCAGAACACGTTACAATCACTGAAAACTCCTTTCGATCGGAAAGCGAGACATTGTCAAGTATTCTCTTACCTATAAACAGATGCAAGCTTGATATCGAAGATAAGAAAGCGGAGAAATATTCACCATTATAGCATAAGAAACCTCAATCATTAGCGTTGAAAGTGACAGCGGAAATAGAAGTCGTATCTCTTAAAATGTGTCTTTAATGGATCCTCAAAAAACAAGCACGAAAAAGGAAAAGATCACCATGAAACGAAGAAATGGGCAATGCACAAAACCTTACGTAACGGTGTTTGGTTAAGAATGCAAAATATCTTCAAAAAATCAATAATTTTAAAGCAATTATGATTCAAAACAAAAACCTGCGAGGAACCAACTACACGCGCGATTTCACCTCCAAATGACAGAAAATGATGATAAAGAAGCGATAAAACTGTAAATCTAGACATCCAGAATATTACTCTGGTGTCAGATCGATAACTTCAACACCTTGAGTTCGTAAAAATTTACAAATAAAATGAAAATAAAAATACGAAGTGGCACGTTGTCCCTACATTCGAGCGTTCGTACAGACCTGTCTCTCGAGGCCGATGAAAACAATATCGTTTGCGTATCGTCCATATCTACCACGCATTTTGTTCCCAAATCGATCTCTGTCAAAGTAAAAGAAAATGAAATCAATCCACGCGATTACAACACGAAATCATAGCCGGCTATTCCACACGAAGAACTTATAAGTACTCCCAATTACCTCGCCGATTAAATGGCCTGACACGAACAGCCACCTTAACTTTAGAGCTCATTCTGGACTGATCGCAGTATTACCACACCATCGGCTTCCAGTTAAGAAGATTTGGGAACCTCACGACGCCATAAATTAAACCTTCCGCTTAATGTTTTTCATTCATTCTAAGACTGACAGGATATTTTCACTCTTAGTTTTCTACTCACACGCGGCGCCATATCTTTTCATAACTTATTCACGTTTCATCCGGGAACGAGGGTGACACGGCAATTGGTGTTCCGCCTTCCTTATATGGAAGTTGTCCAATCCGCGGAGAAGGCGCGAAAATACGATACCTGACAAATGCAACAAGTGTCAGAAAAAGTGTTTTGATGAAGTACCGCTTAGGAGATAATTTATTTGGTAAAAAAATATTGACCTTTCACACCTTTGAAACAAAATCCATTCAACACTCAAAAACATAAACAATATATCGAAATAATATCAATTTTTTGTAGAGGTAGGGTGCAAGGGGAAAAGGGCGTGTGAAAATTATCAGGAGACAATATTATGCGATATTTTACTCCGAAAAAACCAAGTATAGTGTATGAGCGCCAATCGGTATGAAACTGGTCGCCACGAAAAAGAAAAAATGAAAAGAACGGACAGTTTTATCTCTAGATGTAGATTCTTTGAGATAATTACCAGGAGTCGTCGGTAAATTTTGGCTGTAAATTTATAGTAGCCCTCATAGATTGTGCTAGCATAATTTGGTTAAACAGGAGCCCATTATGGGTTAATAAGTATAATTTTTGCCCTTTTTATAAAAGTAGCTCTGCTAGCGTACTAACCATATTGTTCTTCTTTTTTTTAAAGGAAAAGTACCAGATTTATGATTTGCCTGTTCTCTAAGATTGTTATTTTCAAGCTTAGTCCATGGTTGGTCTATTTTCAATTTTTTATAATGTCTTCCCGCTTCCACAGGCAACAATAATCATTACGGATAAAGATGGATGAATGTGGAGCAATAAAGCATATAAAGAACGATTTTCAGAGGCACGGCGTGGTTAGAATGTTTCAGAGGAGGGAGAGGACCACAATCAAACTTTTATGCGCGCCTTCTGTAAAGTGGCCTATACCACTGCTCTTCTGTTGTGTAACAGCGGGCTTCTATTCACACGATTTATGCCGCGAGAGACATAACACGAGCCATACGTTTTTCGCAAACCCGAATTAAAAGGTTTGTAGGTTGCTGACACATGAAAAGATTAACCCACAAAGTGGAAGGTGGTTGGGAGCACTTCAGGAGCTCTCTCGGTTACGTCCCTTTCCCTTTTTTTCAATTTTTTTTGAGAAATAAGACGGTTAGATATATACCCCCGTCGAATTCATGTGTAAATTTGCCTCCGGGGAGTAGGCCCATATTTATTGCACTAGCATTATTTTTTTAAAACAAGCATAATTTTTTGCACTTTTTACAAAAGTATAGCTGCTAGCATAATCTGAAATTTTCTATTTTTTTAAAAAGGAAATTTACAAGAGTCGTTACTTGCGTGGTCTCTATGAATTATTATTTTTAAGAATACTAAAAGACAAAGTAGCATAATTTTCAACTGGACAAGCATGATTTTGAGCATGATTTAGAAAAAATCTGATAATGCTTGTAGCATCAGATGTTTCTTCCATCAGCACATTCTTTAATGGCTTTCCAGAGAGTGTGATCGATTCGACCCATGTTTAGTCTCGTACCCAGACTTCTCACAAACACATACGTAGGATTTGGGTATAAAATGATCCTACCTCGGTCAAGAGAATATCAACTTTTAATATTCTCTTGACCCCGGGTAATGGGCTGATAGCGACTCTCCGTTTTAAGATTTCATGTGAACCGTGAAAGCCACTGGAAGACTGGGAAAAGTCAGTTTGCTTCAAACGATGTCAAATTTGCTGTTAAAACCCAAGATGAGTGGTTGACTTCGCAGAACGAAGGATGCCGTCTTTTTTCATATTTTTCATCCATTTTCTCGTGGCTTATTTTACATTCGTTATTTCTTTTTTGGAAGACTCCGTTAGCTTGCCCATTTACTTGTGCAAATATGAAGAGTATCTGAACAGTGCAGAGTTCGCGGCAAATTCTTGTTATAGTGAAGTTCCTTCCAGTGAAATCTGGAATGCAGTTAGAATTAATCAACACCTACGCAGCTGGAATCGCGGAGGTCAAACGAATGAGTTCTTTTTAAATTCTAATGGCATACGGTAATTAACGCTGGTCGTAGCTGTAAATTAGACTCGGGGAAATGCTAATCCATTCTCGATTACCAGCTACTGTTTCGGAAATGAGCCCGCGCACAAAGATCGTAAACAGGAAAAGCGTGAGCAGGGTAAATCGAGCTTAAGGTTAATTTCCCTGTTAAGAAAATTAACACGAACAGAGGGAAAAACAATCTTAAAGACGGGAGAGATTGATGCAATTAACACGAAATGTGGGAAAAAACATCTGTGGGTAAAAGGAAGACATTCATTTTAAAATAGTGAAATCCAAACTGTAAAAGACTGAATACTATTCATATAATGAATTTTTATTTCTTGGACGAAGTAGTAAGCAACATATTAGAAAATTATACCAACAGATCTTTTGTGACAGGCTCTATGCATGATATTTCAACAATACTGATCCTGTGAATGTGCACTTATCTTCACAAAAAAGTACAACAAATCTGATTGTCGCATCGAGGGAATTGTTGTAAAAATCTTATATCCTATGAAATAATTTTCCCTCCAAACAAGTCAGTTTTAAATACACGAGTATATAATGAACGCCGCAAGTCACTGGGCTATCCCGTCCCAGCAACAGTGTCTGCCGGCCGTTAATTCTATAAGCACTATCACAATAAAAGGCTTATTTCCTATGAATTATTTATTTTTTTAACACATTTGACGCTTGTCACGGAAATTCCAATTTATTCCTTGAGATTCTGCTGCAGCACTCTTCCTTATCCAATTCTCACAGAAATGGATAATTTTACCGCAGCCTCTTTATATTTGTTCCGAAATTTATTCCGTGTGCCTCTGCCACTCAGTAATGATGCTATCCCTTCTCGTTTTTCATGCATCTGCACTTATCACTACTTCAAGTGATTTGTTTAAAACTTTTGGCCCCTTTTAGTAGCGTAAGGTTCATGTCGGTGAGTGTTTTCAGATCACGGAGGTTACCTTTGACTTTCAGCCCACAGTCCTTCATTTCGTGTATCACATGGTTGAGATTAGAAATTAAAAACAAATCAAGTGAGAATCTAAACACATAGCTTTTTGTTTATTGTAGAACGAGAGAGAGATAAAGAAAAAATCTGTAGACCATGTGGCAGCGAGAAGAAGCTTTTGTGGTGTAAGATCTTTGGTGTCTTCCGCTTCAGCGATGTTGCTCCAACAGCAAGAAGCCAGTTTGTGATACGTGACTCTTGGTGCCTTCCGTTTCAGCGAGGTTGCTTCAACTAATCCCTCTTAACGTTTCAATTATATCATGAAATTGATCTACGTAGTCGGAGACGGATTAGGAACTCTTCCAAAGAATGATGATATCTCAAGGGAAATATGTTTTAGCACATTTGTTCGTATGTCAAACATTCTTATTACGCAGTTGTATCAATGATATGTGGAATCTCAATGTTTGGCTTATTTTGTATGCTTTCCTCTTTTAACATTACTGTAACAATCTGGACGCGTAATGTCATATGAATGTTAAATTATACTATAACTAGGGGAGATTTTTTTAAAGCTCTAATGAGCTCGCTGAAGTTCTTCTGGCCTGGTTATGTTAGAATTGTAAACAACGTGATGACATATACTATGATTGGCAAATAAACAACAACAACAATAACAACAAAATATAAATATATATATAATTAACTTTTTACTCGTTATCAATTATGTTGAAACATGATAGTCCAATAATAGAATTAGGGTTTGTTATATCTTCCCAATTTGGCTGAATAAGAAACAACGGACATCGTGACTAAACAGCAAGGTGTCCCAGGTTATGTTGCTTAATTAGATGGCCCGAGACGGTAACTGATCGATAGAAAACTGGACTACGCAATGAAAACACTAGATCATATCAAGGCTGGACCTTAGCCCATCCCTTCAAAATTTGGCCTCAAGACCTCCTGATAAGGTGACGTCAAACTGCTTCAAAAAAATCTCTCATAATTCGCCAAATGACATGATAGTGTATCTACATTTTCAAAATTTTTTGAGTGAGGAATCGCTTGGATCTCCCTTAATTTATACAAGAATGAGCCTCCAACCATTTATGATACATCACTGGTGCAAACATTTCCACTTCAAAATTCCCTTCAACTGGCATTGAACGGTCCATTAGCTTTTCAGAAGGCAAAAAACCAAAATAACGCCATTATCAGTCCGAGCTAATCTCTATCCTTAGCCGTCATTGTTTCCTATAGGAGTGCTATTTCCTTTTTCGTACTTTTCTGTATTTCGCGGTCTATTTGGAGTAGAGGTTTGTTTTTCACATCGTAACAAACAAACACTTAAAATATCGTGGAATTATTTGTTTCGTGGTTTACGATCACGTCACTACCCAAGCTTAGGTGTGTAATGGCGGGAAGCAGAGATATCGGTTTTCAGAGCAGAATAACAGATTTGATAACCATGATATCGTTTCTAAAGAATAACAGTCGATAAGAAGACAACTTGTCACTGGCGAGGAGGAAGAAGCATTTGGTTTTTATCTTTGGAGCTTTCATCATTGGTATCATGAAACAGGCACGGATGCTATAGTTAACTTGTTTCATTGAACAGAGCATAATGTAACGGGATTCTAGTAAAGAATGATAAAGACAAGAAACACCCAAGAACGGAAGGACGTTTGTCTGTACCAAAGACTGTCAGTCAAATAAGCTTCGATCAATCAATTACTTTCTTGATCGCCCACTCGGACTCCCCAGTTCTATATAAAACACACTGTGCACCGTTGATTGGGTGAGCAGATGTAAGTCGTTTTGGCTCTACCCAAAAAATGGGAACTGTTGTTGAGGCTAAAGATGGAAGAGAAAGCCGACGCTCGTCGAGACTATCCCAAAAAGTAATGATTTTTGTGGTGGTGCTTGGGATTTGCGTTGGATTTTCCGTCTGTTTAGAGTTGTTGAGGGAAAGAGTAAGAGAACTAGAGGCTGATGTCACTCGATTGAGTGAAGTCGACAAGGACGGCCATGATCAAGGTAAAAACTTCGTTCGGTCTCAAAAAAATTGAAATCTCTTACCCAGTGATATTAGGCATTCTCAAACTCTTGCATGTTTTACAAGACGTCTTCGAGGTTTTTACTAAATCAATAGATAAACTGACTATTAAGATTCTTGGTTTGGCTATGGGAATTTTCACAATGAATGCGTATTGCTTGTAATGACGTAATCTGTTTTTTTTGTTTTTTTGTTTTCTTTCGGTAAGGGCCTCCCTGTATAAGCCCGGCGGTTTCTGGAAGCTCCCTTGCCATCTATTAAAATACTGTTACTTAACAAGTCCTGTGAACTTACTAATTTGGTGATGTAAACCACTTTCTCTTTATAAAATAGATTTTAATTCTAATCCCTTATATGACCTGAATAGGAAAAGCCGCAAACGGGGCAATTAGTTTTGACACTTTTATGGATCTTGAACAGTTGAACAAAGCGTATAGCTTCAAAAGCATTTTTCTCTTGGGCTCTTCCTAAATATTCTGTCGGGGAAAGCTCGATTTAGTGATCGCCTGGTTAAAACTAACGATTACGTATACAGCCCCCTTCACTTAGTGACCACTCAATAGTGCTAGGTCTAGGAAATAGAATGAATGCCCTCACGCCTCCTTTTTTTTGCCTGCCATTCACCAGTAAAAAAGTTGTCGGATGTTTGCATGAATCGTTCAGGTATTTGTTTTTTTTATTCTCGGAAGAGGAAAAAGTTCACTGTTTTGACGTTTCCGGTAGAAATCTAAGAAGAAGCGACCCACTGTGCAGAGCAGAATTCTCATCTGTGGCGATTATTTTCAAATGTCTTAAAAGTACCCAGAAATTTATCAGAAGTAACTGTCAGGACAAGCTGTTAATCGATGCCATTCAGCGAAGTATCTGGTGGGGGGTGGGGGGTATAGAAGGGGGGGTTGGGTCCTACGCACGTTTCACGGACGTCAAAAAGTAGAACTGACGCATCACGAAAAATCGGATAAACGAATATAAGGCTTAAAGCGAAAAACAAAAATTCACAGTTCACGGGGTTTTAATTCCGTATTTTCACTAGTCAGAAGAATTTACAAACAGTTATCCCGTTAAAAACATGAACCTCCACTCCCCCCCCCCCCCTTCAAATGTTATCAAGGGTAAAAATTCAGAGCCTGAGGGTAAAATTGGACAGTTACTCCTGTCTAATCCGTTTCATTTCTTACACACATCTTAACAGCTGGTGCCTCCGGTCAAAGAAATCGTCGAGATTCACCCATCCCTAACTTAGTTTCTTTGGACGATGTTCGTAGAGAAATTAAAGTGCGACTCAAATCGCTAACAGCATCGCAGCTGTGCTCACCTCAAGAGAAAATATGTGTACCAGGCCCCAGCGGTCCAAAAGGTGACATGGGATTCAGGGGACGACGTGGAAAAAAAGGTAAGTTTGGTAACGTTTTAATTAATTCATACTTCCATGTTTAAGACATGACAGACTTTTAAACCTTTGCCCCTTCTGCATGAGAACAGTTTAACTTCGAGTTCTTTTCATTATTTCATACATGAATTCTTTCATTGTAAACTGAGTTCATGCAGACTAAAAGGATTTTTAATCTTACACAGGAAACGCTGGGAACAAGGGGGACAAGGGTGAGATAGGTTATCCAGGAATGAAAGGTACTCAGGGTTTACCAGGACCATATGGGTTGAATGGCCAGCAAGGTCGCCCAGGTGAACCAGGCCTGAGAGGAGAGAAAGGAACCAAGGGCGAACGTGGTACATGCAGAGGTATGGCCTCGTGTAATGGTTACCCTCCAATGCCTGGACCAAAAGGCGAACCTGGTCCTGAGGGACCCCGTGGATATAAAGGTGAACGAGGACTCGATGGGTTTGACGGTCCGAAAGGTAATGATGGGCTGCCAGGACCCAAAGGTGACAGGGGTGAGAATGGTGCATGTAAAAGAGGGGCTGCATGCAAAGGGTTCAAAGGTGAACCTGGAAATCCAGGACCTAAAGGCCAACCTGGAATTGTAGGACCACAGGGCTTCAAAGGTAATGATGGATACCCTGGGCTGCCAGGAGAAAAAGGTGAAACTGGACGGAAAGGAGACAACGGAGTGTGCACCAGAGGTGCCAGGTGCAGAGGGATCAAAGGTGACCCTGGAATGCCAGGACCAAAAGGAGAACCTGGAATCACTGGACCCCGCGGCTACAAAGGAGAACATGGCTACCCAGGAATTAAGGGCCTTAAAGGTAATTTTGGGTTCACAGGACTGACAGGTGATCCTGGTCTCCCTGGATCCCCTGGCTTTAAGGGTAATCCAGGGATCCCAGGATTTGATGGCCAAAAAGGTGAAACAGGGCTACCAGGAAGAAAAGGTGAACGTGGACAAAAAGGAGATGATGGATCATGCACAGGAGGTACCTCTTGCGTTGGTATTAAAGGTATTAAAGGTGAGCCTGGAATACCCGGACAAGACGGAGTACCTGGAGTACCTGGACCAATGGGTTTCCAAGGGCAACCTGGAATAAAAGGCGCACCTGGAGAAGAAGGACCTGCAGGACCAAAAGGTCAGAAAGGAGAAAGAGGACAATAGGAAAAAGTTTAGGTGGGCCTAACGAAAAGGTGACCCTGGTGAGAAAGGAAGCAAAGGGAAGCTATACCTCATAACACCACAAACATTTTTTTTTATTTCTAATATTCTTTAAGGTAACCACAGTGGATTCCAATCTCTTAAGGTCAAAATGATTTTATGAAACAAATTGTAATCAGTTTTAAAACTAAATTGAATATAAGAGAACAGTGACAAATTTTTTTTATTGTAAGGTATTCTATGGAGTCTTTTTCAGAATAAAAAAAAAGTACATGAAAAAATAAAATTGTATGGTGACGGTTCATCTTAATTATTATTAATAACTGAATTACATGTGGGAAGGGATAAAGTCACTTTGCTTCCAATTCAGAAAAATTTTGGAATCTTTTTTTTAATTATTCAAGGAGATTTTTACAACATTATGACTCACTTTTTGCCTTCAACAAGAAGGAAATGTGCAGATTTTACTTTTCAAACTTAAAAAAATTTTTTCTTGCTTTTTACATTGTTCCTAGACTTTCCCTCTTTAAATTTTTCTCTGCCTCTAGTGTCCAGGTTTCTCATGATGCTTGTGACCCGTTTAATGATCATTGTCATAAATAACAGATGTGTCTGTTTCCATTAATATGATTGCTGCTGATGAACAAGCCTAATGCCACAGGATACCCAGTTAACTCTTAAAACTGACCAGGTCACAGATAAGATGATATGAACGGGCACATTGATTTAATAAAATGGCCACACCTTTTTCACCACTTTAAGATTTTGAAATAAAATTATAAGAACACCTTATTGGTGACATTTCAATCAAAGTAATCAACATGAGAACCAGAAATGAAAGCATTTTCTTTCAAAATTCTCACAAGTTTTTCTGCAGACTGATCTGAAGTTAGTGCTGTACTCTAGAGGAAAAAATATGGATGAAATGAATCACAAAATAACATGGCTAGAAAAGAGACCACAAGACTAACTCCAAAAGCATTGTTTGCTCTGATAGATTACAATAAACAAATCATGATATTTAATACGTTTCAGCTTTTTCTCAAATAAGCACAGACACTTTAATAAGTGCCCCCCCCCCCCCTGGAGTAAGCATCCCCCTCCTCCCTCACTTTCTAAAATAGTATGGATACAAAGAAAACCTGTTCCTATTGGGAATTTGTTTATGACTTTTCAAGCTTCAACTACAATGGAGTCAATACAGGAGAATAGTTTCTTTCCATTCAGTCAAATCAAGTTATCCCTATGTCCATGTGCTTGCAGAGTTCCTTTGTAGGCATTATCTGTTCTTGTACTTTTGTCCTCTTGAAAAGCACTAATGTTGGCACATTAAAATAATAATTCTTTCAAATCAGTACTTACTTGCTCTTTACTGGTGTTAAACATATCAACAACTTCCTGATTCCCACATGTGGTGCGTATCTCCTCGTACATATCTGTAAGCAGTGGTCCAGGGGCATAACTTAGCACATTAACATTGGGCTGAAAGAAAACATGGTGCATGAACATCAAAGGTCTTAGCAGCAGGACTGTTGTGTGAAATGGCAAGAGAATATTCTCTAAGGCCAGATAAAAAACATGTCAATCACATATTAAGGTCACAAGAATAAGGAACATGATTGCCAACTAAAGAGGCTCTTGGTTGTTTAGAAAATTCTCCATGTCAGCACCTTAAGATATTTCTAGAGAATGGTATAGAGAATATGCATACTGATGACATGGTGTAAAGGCTTTAAGGCTCACAGTGTTTTTGAGGTCTCCTTCCAAACATGCATAAAAAGGCATCACAAGGACGTAAAAATTGATCATTCCCTTTTTTCTCATGACATTAATGTGTGACTCAGGGATAATAATTGAAGGAGAAATTAGATGCTAATCACTCCTAGGGGTCAAAGGGTTGAAAGAATGGATCAATATTAGTATCTGGGCAACGGCCCACCTACCCCTCCCCTACCTCAACAACAGTTAATTGACCACAAGTTAAGGTTGATGTTGGGTTAGGAGAGGGGTAGGTGGGCAGTTGCCCAGATACTGATATGATCTGAAAGAATTAATGAATCATAGTGTAAAGTTAAGAACAACAACCACATCAAACCCTATTAATCCTTTAACTCCCAGATCAAATTTGTAATTCTCCTTACTGTCAACCATACAATTCTTATGATGTTAGTTCAGGGAATTTAATATTGGATCAACTAATTAACCCAAAATTGATATTTTTCTTTATTCTCTTCACTTATCTGGTTGATATTGTATTAATATTGTAAGGAGAAATTCTGTCTTGGTCACTCATGGGAGTTAAAGAGTTAAAGATAAATACCTCCTCTTTAGCCAGAACTTGACACATCATATCTCGAGCTGCTTTGCCAGTGCAATACAAAGAAAAATATGGAAAAGATTGTAGAGCCATGAGGGACGACACATTAACTACAGTACAGCAGGAATCCTTGAATTGATGAAGAAACTTTCCACTGGAAAATTAAATATGTTAATTTAGTTAGTTAGTTACTTATTTACTATATAATTTTAAAAGGCTATTCTAATCTTTGGAATCTCAAGCTCCAATGAAGAGTAAATTTTTAATAAATATTTTTTAAAGAGCTGAAATAAAAATTACAATTTTTCCAACACATACTCCTCCTTTAACCTTTAATTCCCAAGATCTCATTAGTAATTCTCCTTACTGTCTGCCATACAGTTCTTGTTATGTTAGTTTGGAGGATTTGGGATTGGATTAACTTATAATCCCTTAATTGATATTTTTCTTTATTCTCATCACATGTCTGCATGATATTGTATTGATATTGTAAGGAGAAATTCTGTCTTGGGACTCATGGGAGTTAAAGGTTTAACCATCCTTCTTCCCCTTTGGATTTCATGGTCACTCCAAGATTACATATCATGTTTAAAGCAATGCTGTATTAGCTAAAATTGAGCTGAAATATTCCAACATAAAAGGTAGCTCCACCTTAGAAGGGCAATAATGTCTAGCAGGAACAAACTAGCAAAACAGATTTGTTATTATCATTATTATTATTATTATTATTATTATAACAGACAATTATTATTATTATAACAGAGGTGTCGTCTTACGTAAGAAATAAGGGAGAGAGGTTGAAGTAATTTGCCAGGGCATCAACCTTCTGGGAGACGTCCTTGAAACATTTTGACACATCTCCAAGTGACCCTGCATTATTCAGGAGAAAGGCATGTGTAACTTTGGACGATTCAACCCGGAAGAGATTCATGGTAAAATTAGAGTGAGTGTATCCCTGTTTTCATAGCATTATATTTTCACATTTACATTTTCATTTATCTCTAGAGAAACATCAATGCATGTGGAGATACACCACACAAAGAAATGATCCTAGCAGGTGAGGTGCAATTAACCCTTTAACTCCCAGATCAAATTTGTAATTCTCCTTTCTATCAGTCATAGACTTTTGCATTGGATCGACTAATTATCCCCAAATTAATATTTTTCTTCATTCTCATCTCTTATCTTGTATTCTCATTACCTGTTTGTTATAAAGTGCATTTGTTTAAAGGGAGAAGTTACATGTCAATCAGTACTGAGAGTTAAACTCTATGTCAAACAAGCTGACTAAATCAGTGTACATAAAAAGGTGTATAATGCCGTTTATACCTTACACAATGCAGCTTTTATGGAATCCTCTAAGGTGCTCATCTCTCCAAGATCGGCAACCATAACATGAACTATTGAAGAAAATGTAGTCCAAGCATAGATAAACAACAGGCAACCACAAAAAATCCATTACATGGTTTTATCATTGTTTCCAATAACATGATTAAAGGAAAACAAAACATAGCTTATTTATTAACCTTTTAACTCCCAAGATGTGATTGCTGATTCTCCCCTCTAGCTGCTACATTGTTCCTTGTAAATCAGTTCTGAGAATTTGTTAGATCATGACAACAACCTTAACCTGATAAGTTGGAGTTTTCTTAATACCTGTTTGCAGGATAATGTATGGATATAATTGGGAGAAGTTCCATGTAAATCACTTTTTAGAGTTAAGGGGTTAATCACCAGATAACAAACCACCCATTTTGATATGGGGGTGGACGGCAGGAGGGGTTCACAGCACTTCAGGGTAGCCTTTCATACACAAGGATTGCGATATCATCTTCGATTCCTGCCAAAACATGTTTAAAAAAGGGAATTAGACTTAGATTTTTATCAAAGAAATTTATTACAGGTCGAATTGTAATTGGGCATTCTTGTTTTTGCGAAGATGAGAAAACTGAAGAACGGGTAGGAAAATCCTCGAGCGAAGAACAAATTGGACTGGAAGAATTGTCAAATAAATGGACCCAGGTGTGATATCCAGGTCTGAGAATTGATATCAAACCAGGACCAAAGAGACCAAAGAGGTGGATGGCGAGTGCCCTATAAACAGCGCCTTCCCGGCTCCCTAAAAAGACTAAGTTATGATTTCTTTGATGGATCTTGCCTATATAGCTTTACCTTTAGCACTAACACAGACGTCCGCGATATTTTTCCTTGTTTCTTCAAGTCCATCCCCGGAACGCGAGACAAGGATAAAATCTCCGTCGGTTCCAGAATCAGAGAATTGCCGTGCTAATGCCGCAGATCTTCCAAACCCACGGCTAGCTTCAGTAATAAAACAGCAAGGCCTAGAACCACTACATAACATAATTTTACAAAGAATACTGATACATAGACTCACTCAGAGTGTGGCAAAGGGTTTTTGCGTGGCACGTTAATTCCAAATTATTCCCCGAGATTCTGCTGCAGTACTCTTCCTTATCCAATTCTCACAGAAATGGATAATTTTACCGCAGCCTCTTTATACTTGTTCCGAAATTTATTCCGTGTGCCCTGCCACTCAGTAATGATGCTATCCCTTTTCGTTTTTCATGCATCTGCACTTATCACTACTTCAAGTGATTTTTTTAAAACTTTTGGCCCCTTTTAGCAGCGTAAGGTTCATGTCGGTGAGTGTTTTCACATTACAGGGGTTATCTATGACTTTCAGCCACTCTCACAAGGTCGAGGTTAGAAATTAAAACAAATCAAGTGACAATCTAAACACATAGCTTTTTGGTTATTGTAGAACGAGAGAGAGAGAGAGAAAAAATCTGTAGACCTTGTGGCAGTGAGAAGAAGCTTTTGTGGTGTAAGATCTTTGGTGTCTTCCGCTTCAGCGATGTTGCTCCAACAGCAAGAAGCCAGTTTGTGATACGTGACTCTTGGTGCCTTCCGCTTCAGCGAGGTTGCTTCAACTAATCCCTCTTAACGTTTCAACAATATCATGAAATTGATCTACGTAATCGAAGACGGACTAGGAACTCTTCTAAAGAATGATGACTATCTCAATGGAAATATGTTTTAGCACATTTGTTCGTATGTCAAACATTCTTATTACGCAGTTGTATCAATGATATGTGGAATCTCAATGTTTGGCTTATTTTGTATGCTTTCCTCTTTTAACATTACTGTAACAATCTGGAAGCGTAATGTCATATGAAGGTTAAATTATACTATGACTAGGGGAGATTTTTTTAAAGCTCTAATGAGCTTGCTGAAGTTCTTCTGGCCTGGTTATGTTAGAATTGTGAACAACGTGATGACATATACTATGATTGGCAAATAAACAACAACAACAACAACAATAACAACAAAATATAAATATATATATATACAATTAACTTTCTACTCGTTATCAATTATGTTGAAACATGATAATCCAATAATAGAATTAGGGTTTGTTATATCTTCCCAATTTGGCTGAATAAGTAACAAAGGACATCGTGGCTAAACAGCAAGGTGTCCCAGGTTATGTTGCTTAATTAGATGGCCCGAGACGGTAACTGATCGATCGAAAACTCAACTAAGCAATGAAAACACTAGATCATATCAAGGCTGGACCTTAGCCCATACCCTCAAAATATGGCCTCAAGACTTCCTGATAAGGTGACATCAAACTGCTTCAGAAAAATGTTTCATAATTCGCCAAATGACATGATAGTGTATCTACATTTTCAAAACTTTCTGAGTGAGGAATCAATTGGATCTCCCTTGATTTATACAAGAATGAGCCTCCAACCATTTATGATACATCACTGGTGCAAACATTTCCACTTCAAAATTCCCTTCAACTGGCATTGAACGGTCCATTAGCTTTTCAGAAGGCAAAAAACCAAAATAACGCCATTATCAGTCCGAGCTAATCTCCATCCTTAGCCGTCATTGTTGCCTATAGGAGTGCTATTTCCTCTTTCGTACTTTTCTGTATTTCGCGGTCTATTTGGAGTAGAGGTTTGTTTTTCACATCGTAACAAACAAACACTTAAAATATCGTGGAATTATTTGTTTCGCGGTTTATGATCACGTCACTACCCAAGCTTTGGTGTGTAATGGCGGGAAGCAGAGATGTCGGTTTTTTACAGATTTGATAACCATGATATCGTTTCTAAAGAATAACAGTCGATGAGAAGACAACTTTTCACTGGCGAGGAGGAAGAAGCATTTGGTTTTTATCTTTGGAGCTTTCATCATTGGTACCATGAGACAGGCACGGATGCGATAGTTAACTTGTTTAATTGAACAAAACGTGATGTAACGGAATTCTAGTAAAGAAAATAATGACGAAATACACTCAAAAACGGAAGGATGTTTGTCGGTGCCAAAGACTGTCAGTCAAATATGCTTCGATCAATCAGTTGCTCTCTTGATCGCCCACTCGGACTCCCCAGTTCTATATAAAACACACTGTGCAATATTGATTGGGTGAGCAGACGTAAGTCGTTTTGGCTCTCCCAAAAAAAATGGGAACTATTGTTGAGGCTAAAGATGGAGGAGAAAGCCGACGCTCGTCGAGACTATCGCAAGAAGTAATGATTTTCGTGGTGGTGCTTGGGATCTGCGTTGGATTTTCCGTCTGTTTGGAGTTACTGAGGGAAAGAGTAAATGAACTGGAGGCTGTTGTCACTCGATTGAGTGAAGTCGACAAGGACGGTCATGATCAAGGTAAAACTTCGTTCGGTCTCAAAAAATTTTTTAATTTCTTACCCAGTGGTATTAGGCATTCCCAAACTCTTGCATGTTTTAAAAGACGTCTTCGAGGTTTTTACTAAATTAATAGATAAACTGAGTATTGAGATACTTGGTTTGGCTATGGGAATTTTCACAATGAATGCGAATTCCTTATAAATACGTAATCGTTTTTTGTTTTTTGTTTTTTTCGGTAAGAGGGCCTCCCTTGTAGAAGCGCCGCGGTTTCTGGAAGCCCCCTTGTCATCTATTAAAATACTGTTATTTAACAAGTCTGTGAACTTACTAATTTGGTGATGTAAACCACTTTCTCTTTATAAATGGCGAATACATTTTGATTCTAATCCCTTATATGGCCTGAAAAGGAAAAGCCGCAAACGGGGCAATTAGTTTAAGTATTGACACAATTATGGATCTTGAACAGTTGAACAAAGCGTATAGCTTCAAAAGCATTTTTCTCTTGGCCTTATTCTAAATATTCTGTCGGGGAAAACTCGATTTAGTGATCGCCTTGTTAAAACCAACGATTACCTATACAGCCGCCTTCACGTAGTCACTACTCGATGGTACTGAGTCTAGGAGAAAGAAGAATACTCTCACGCCTCTTTTTTTTTTTTGCCTGCTATTCACTAGGAAAAAAGTTCGTTTTTGAGCGGATGTTTGCGTGAATCGTTCAGGTATTTATTTTTTCTATTCTCGGAAGAGGAAAAAGTTTACTGTTTTGACGTTTCCGGTAGAAATCTCAGAAGAAGCGACCCGCCGAGCAGAGCAGAATTCTTATCTGTGACGATTATTTTCAAATGTCTTTAAAAAATACCCAGTAATTTATCGAAGTACTTATCAGGACAAGCTGTTAACCGATGCCATTCAGCGAAGTATCTGGTGGGGATTAAAGAGGGGGGAGGGGGAGGGGGGTGTTGGGTCCTGCGCACGTTTCACGGACATCAAAAAGTAGAATTAACGCATCACGAAAAATCGGATAAACGACTCTAAGGCTAAAAGCGAAAAACAAAAAATTCACAGTTCACGGGGGTTTTAATTCCGTATTTTCACTAGTAGAAGAATTTACAAACAGTTATCCCGTTACCAAGGGTAAAAAGTCAGAGCTTGAGGGTAAAATTGGACAGTTACTCCTGTCTAATCCGTTTCATTTCTTACACACATCCTAACAGCTGGTGCCTCCAGTCAAAGAAATCGTCGAGATTCACCCATTCCTCACTTTGTTTCCTTGGACGATGTTCGTAGAGAAATCAAAGTGCAACTCAAATCGCTAACAGCATCGCAGCTGTGCTCACCTCAAGAGAAAATATGTTTACCAGGCCCCAGCGGTCCAAAAGGTGACATGGGATCCAAGGGACGACGTGGAAAAAAAGGTAAGTTTGGTAACGTTGTTAATTCTTTCATTGTAAATTAAGTACATGCAGACTGAGAGGATTTTTAACCCTGCACAGGAAACGCTGGAGACAAGGGGGACAAGGGGGCCGAGGGTGAGTTGGGTTTACCAGGGTTCAATGGCTTTGATGGCCGGCGAGGTGAGCCAGGGCTGCAAGGACGCCCAGGTGAACCAGGGCTGAGAGGAGAGAAAGGAATGAAGGGCGAACATGGTACATGCAGAGGTATGGCCTTGTGCAAAGGTTACCCTCCAATTCCAGGACCAAAAGGCGAACCTGGTCCTGAAGGACCCCGTGGATACAAAGGCGAACGAGGACTCGATGGGTTTGACGGTCCGAAAGGTAATGCTGGGCTGTCAGGACCCAAAGGTGACAAGGGTGACAATGGTACATGTACAAGAGGGGCTGCATGCAAAGGGTTCAAAGGTGAACCTGGAAATCCAGGACCTAAAGGCCAACCGGGAATTGTAGGACCACAGGGCATCAGAGGTAATGATGGATACCCTAGTCTGAAAGGAGAAAAAGGTGAAACTGGACAAAAAGGAGACAACGGAGTGTGCACCAGAGGTGCCAGGTGTATAGGGATCAAAGGTGACCCTGGAATGCCAGGACCAAAAGGAGAACCTGGAATCACAGGACCCCGTGGCTACAAAGGAGAACAAGGCTATCAAGGAATTAAGGGCCTTAAAGGTGATACTGGGTTCACAGGACTGACAGGTGTTCCTGGTCCCCCTGGCTTTAAAGGTAATGCAGGGATCCCAGGATTTGATGGCAAAAAAGGTGAAACAGGGCTACCAGGAAGAAAAGGTGTACGTGGACAAAAAGGAGACAATGGATCATGCACAGGAGGTACCTCTTGTGTTGGTATTAAAGGTGAGCCTGGAATGCCTGGACAAGACGGAGTACCTGGTTTGCCTGGAATAGAGGGATTCCGAGGGCCACCTGGAATGAGAGGCGCACCTGGAAAAGATGGACCTGCAGGACCGAAAGGTGAACCTGGTCAGAAAGGAGAAAGAGGACAAGTGGAAGCAGTTTAGGGTGGATTGACGAAAAGGTGACCCTGCTGAGAAAGGAAGCAAAGGGAAGCTATACCTCATGACACAACAAACATTTTTTTTATTTCTAATATTCTTTAAGGTAACTACAGATGATTCCAATCTCTTAAGGTCAAAATGATTTTATGAAACAAATTGTGATCAGTTTTAACCCTAAACTGAATATAAGAAAACAGTGATAATTTTTTTTATTGTATTTTTATTTTAATTATTCAAGGAGATTTTTACAACATTATGACTCACTTTTTGCCTACAACAAGAAGGAAATGTGCAGATTTTACTTTTTAAACTTATAATATTTTTTCTTGCTTTTTACATTGTTCCTATACTTTCCCTCTTTATACTTTTCTCTGCCTCTAGTGTCCAGGTTTCTCATGATGCTTGTGACCCATTTAATGATCATTGTCATAAATAAAAGAGATGTCTGTTTCCATTAATATGATTGCTGCTGATGAACAAGCCTAATGCCACAGGATACCCAGTTAACTCTTAAAACTGACCAGTTCACAGATAAGATGATATGAACGGGCACATTGATTTAATAAAATGACCACACCTTTTTTACCACTTTAAGATCTTGAAATAAAATTATAAGAACACCTTATGCATGACATTTCAATCAAAGTAATCCACATGAGAACCAGAAATGAAAGCATTTTCTTTCAGAATTCTAACAAGTTTTTCTGCAGACTGATCTGAAGTTAGTGCTGTACTCTGGAGAAAAAAATATGGATGAAATGAATCACAAAATAACATGGCTAGAGAAGAGACCACAAGACTAACTCCAAAAGCATTGTTTGCTCTGATAGATTACAATAAGCAAATCACGATATTTAATACATTTTGGCTTTTTCTCAAATAAGCACAGACACTTTAATAAGTGCCCCCCCCCCCAGAGTGCCCCCCTCCTCCCTCACTTTCTAAAACAGTATGGATACAAAGAAAACCTGTTTCTATTGGGAATTTGTTTATGACTTTTCAAGCTTCAACTACAATGGAGTCAATACAGGAGAATAGTTTCTTTCCATTCAGTCAAATCAAGTTATCCCTATGTCCATGTGCTTGCAGAGTTCCTTTGTAGGCATTATCTGTTCTTGTACTTTTGTCCTCTTGAAAAGCACTAATGTTGGCACATTAAAATAATAATTCTTTCAAATCAGTACTTACTTGCTCTTTACTGGTGTTAAACATATCAACAACTTCCTGATTCCCACATGTGGTGCGTATCTCCTCGTACATATCTGTAAGCAGTGGTCCAGGGGCATAACTTAGCACATTAACATTGGGCTGAAAGAAAACATGGTGCATGAACATCAAAGGTCTTAGCAGCAAGACCATTGTGTGAAATGGCAAGAGAATATTCTCTAAGGCCAGATAAAAAACATGTCAATCACATATGAAGGTCAAAAGAATAAGGAACATGATTGCCAACTAAAAGAGGCTCTTGGTTGTTTAGAAAATTCTCCATGTCAGCACCTTAAGATATTTCTAGAGAATGGTATAGAGAATATGCATACTGATGACATGGTGTAAAGGCTTTAAGGCTCACAGTGTTTTTGAGGTCTCCTTCCAAACATGCATAAAAAGGCATCACAAGGACGTAAAAATTGATCATTCCCTTTTTTCTCATGACATTAATGTGTGACTCAGGGATAATAATTGAAGGAGAAATTAGATGCTCATCACTCTTAGGAGTCAAAGGGTTGAAAGAATGGATCAATATTAGTATCTGGGCAACGGCCCACCTACCCCTCCCCTACCTCAACAAAAGTTAATTGACAACAAGTCAAGGTTGATGTTGGGTTAGGGGAGGGGTAGGTGGGCAGTTGCCCAGATACTGATATGATCTGAAAGAATTAATGAATCATTGTGTAAAGTTAAGAACAACAACCACACCAAACCTTATTAACACTTTCACTCCCAGATCAAATTTGTAATTCTCCTTACTATCAACCATACAATTCTTATGATGTTAGTTCAGGGAATTTAATATTGGATCAACTAATTAACCCAAAATTGATATTTTTCTTTATTCTCTTCACTTATCTGGTTGATATTGTATTAATATTGTAAGAAGAAATTCTGTCTTGGTCACTCATGGGAGTTAAAGAGTTAAAGATAAATACCTCCTCTTTAGCCAGAACTTGACACATCATATCTCGAGCTGCTTTGCCAGTGCAATACAAAGAAAAATATGGAAAAGATTGTAGAGCCATGAGGGACGATACATTAACTACAGTACAGCAGGCATCCTTGAAGTAATGAAGAAACTTCCCACTGGAAAATTAAATATGTTAATTTAGTCAGTTAGTTACTTACTTACTATATAATTTTGAAAGGCTATTCTACTCTTTGGAATCTCAAGCTCCAATGAAGAGTAAATTTTTAATAAATATTTTTTAAAGAGCTGGGATAAAAATTATAATTTTTCCAACACACACTCCTCCTTTAACCATCCTTCTTCCCCTTTGGATTTCATGGTCACTCCAATATTACATATCATGTTTAAAGTAATACTGTATTAGCTAAAATTGAGTTGAAATATTCTGACATAAAAGGTAGCTCCACCTTAGAAGGGGAATAATGTCAAGCAGGAACAAACTAGCACAACAGATTTATTATTATTATTATTATCATCATCATCATTATTATTATTATTATTACAGAGGTGTCATCTTACGTAAGAAATAAGGGAGAGTTTAGATTCAGGTTGAAGTAATCTGCCAGGGCATCAACCTTCTGGGAGACGTCCTTGAAACATTTTGACACATCTCCAAGTGACCCTGCATTATTCAGGAGAAAGGCATGTGTAACTTTGGATGATTCAACCTGGAAGAGATTCATGGTAAAATTAGAGTGAGTGTATCCCTGTTTTCATAGCATTATATTTTTACATTTACATTTTCATTTATTTCTTGAGAAACATCAATGCATGTGGAGATACACCACACAAAGAAATGATCCTAACAGGTGAGGTGCAATTAACCCTTTAACTCCCAGATCAAATTTGTAATTCTCCTTTCTATCAGTCATACAACTCTAATAATGTTAGTTCAGAGACTTTTGCATTGGATCGACTAATTATCCCCAAATTGATATTTTTCTTCATTCACATCTCTTATCTTGTATTCTCATTACTTGTTTGTTATAAAGTGCATTTGTTTAAAGGGAGAAGTTACATGTCAATCAGTACTGAGAGTTAAACTCCATGTCAAACAAGCTGACTAAATCAGTGTACATAAAAAGGTGTATAATGCCGTTTATACCTTACACAATGCAGCTTTTATGGAATCCTCTAAGGTGCTCATCTCTCCAAGATCGGCAACCATAACATGAACTATTAAAGAAAATGTAGTCCACGTATTGATAAACAACAGGCAACCACAAAAAATCCATCACATGGTTTTATTATTGTTTTTAACAACATGATAAAAGGAAAACAAAACATAGCTTATTTAGTAACCCTTTAACTCCTAGAAGTGATTAACATGGAACTTCTCCCTATTATATCCCTACATAATCCTGCAAACAGGTATTGAGAAAACTCCAACTTATCAGGTAAAGGTTGTTGTTATGATCTAACAATAAATTCTCAGAACTGATTTACAAGGAAATTTCACATACTAGGATTGCGATATCATCTTCGATTCCTGCCAAAACATGTTTTAAAAGGGGAATTAGACTTGGATTTTTATCAAAGAAATTTATTGCAGGTCGAATTGTAATTGGGCATTCTTGCGTTTGCGAAGATGAGGAAACTGAAGAACGAGTAGGAAAATCCTCGAGCGAAGAATAAATTTGACTGAAAGAATTGTCAAATAAATGGAACCAGGTGTGATATCCAGATCTGAGAATTTATATCAAACCAGGACCAAAGAGACCAAAGAGGTGGACAGCGAGTGCCCTACAAACAGCGCCTTCCCGGCTCCCTAAAAAGACTAAGTTAAGATGTCTTCGATGGATCTTTCCTATATAGCTTTACCTTTCGCACTAACACAGACATCCACGATTCTTTTCTTTGTTTCTTCAAGCCCATCTCCGGAACGCGAGACAAGGATAAAATTTCCTTCGGTTCCAGAATCAGAGAATTGCCGTGCTAATGCGATTGCCGCAGATCTTCCAAACCCACGGCTAGCTCCAGTAATAAAACAGCAAGGCCTAGAACCACTACAAAACATAATTTAACAAAGAACACTGATACAAATACTCACTCAGAGTGTGGCAGAGGGTTTTTGTGTGGCACGTGGTGGCACTAAACTTTGCAGGATAACACGTGATTGAACCCAAATTATCCGCGTGACGCCGGACAGGAGATCACAACGTGATGCGTGATTTTCTATTTTACAAGCGCGTGACGCGTGATTTACAGGGCTTCCTGATTAGATTTCCGTGATAAGTGAACGCTCTTTTACCTAAAAAGTTACCAATCATTCAAAGTAATAGAGTCTTATTGAAGATCAATAAACGTGGTAGCCGCAGCCTGCAGAGTGGGCGTAATCTTAGCGAGCGAGTGCTTAGTAACTTACTAGCGACTAAATACAGGAATGGCTCCGACCTGTGATTGGATGATAAAAATAGTAAAAGTTAATAAGTTATGTCTTAACTCCTTGCTCGTGAGTATTGTTGACCGCGTGTCTCGAAGCGGAACAATGAAATACCAAAGTAAAAACACCGATGCGTCAAACAAGAAATGGCTACTTACATAACAAAGAGAAGGCAGAGTCTATCTTGTTCAGCGAGGTCGTTCAGCGATACTCCGGCGACGAAAAAGTCATCCGCTGGCAAAACTCATTTAGTCAGTTTAGGAGAACGACTAGAGACTGGAGCCATTCGTGTATTTCACCGCAGACAGGAATGGCTCCAACTCATGCGTGTATTAATCTTTTTTTCGTTCCGGCTAAATAATTTATACACTGAGATAAAAACTGAAAGAGCGATTTATTAGGTTCTTCTTATGTTAAAGTCTACAGTGCTTGCAAATGAAGCCCTCTTTTATTACTACAGGGCCATGTAGTTTCTAAGTTTTAAAATAATGCAGAACTGCGTGTCACGTTTGGAAAATCACGCAATGTTGCGTGACGCTGCGACCGATGCTTTTAATTTACAATATGCTCTGCTAGAGAAATATGGCTTGGCCGCAATCGAGGGAGTTTTTTTCGTGGAAAACTGATTTTCTAGGTTATTGTTCACATGAAAGACAAATCCATTCATCGGGCTCTTCGTCTTTTTTTGCACAACATCTAAAGGAAGAAAGTCGCGGATTAATTTTGCTTAGTAATTTCTAACAACTCCACTAGACCTAAAAAAGGAAAAAAACAAACCAAACCAAAAAATCGTCTTACCAGTCAAACCAGTTCCAGTAGCTCTCGCACTGAATCGTGTCGAAGTACCTCGTTGGTCCAGCCAAGCCCTTATGGTCATTGGCCCCCGGAATGGCCGCTAACAATGGCTTTTAACTATAGGCGTTTAGTGTTGACTTGTAAAACTTCCTGAAGAAGTTTACGACAGTTAAACGAAACGCGTCAGAGAATAAAGAAGTTTTGCAACTGCTGTTCGCACAGCGCTGCTCACTAGTTTAGTTTAAATTTTTTCAAAATTTTTTTTAAAAAATTGTTTGAAAAATTATTTACAAAATGATTGAAAAAAAAATTAATAAACGTTTTAGTCGGAGCTATTCCTGTCAGCGGTGAAATACTGGTATGGCTCCAGTCTCTGGTCATCCGCCTGAACTGACTAAATGAGTTTAGTCAGCAGATGACTTTTTCATCGCCGGAATGTCGCTGAACGACCTCGCTGAACAAGAAAGGCTGCCTTCCCTTCGCTACGTAAGCTTCGTTTTACCTAAATTACCCCATAGAATCATTTTGGTTGTTTAATGATAAAAAAAGAATTAGATTAGTAACAGTTTTAAATATCTTGCGAAGTGCTTTTTAATTTGCCAAATAAATCAATTTCAAACGTGACCTCGTGTTGTTCTGGAATAATTGTGTTCGTAAACAGTAATTATCTCACAGTTATTGCTTGTAACTTCAAGGGAGGTCTTTGATAAATCAGACTACCTAACGAGATCACGAAAACAATCAGTGGTGAAAATCGAAACAAATGGCTATTAATCGTTCCGTTTAGGTGAATCCGCTCGAGAATGAAAGAAAAACCCGAGCGCTCATGCCACAAAATCCATTTGAGTAATGTGAAAACTTCACATCAAGATTTTTGTCACAGCTAAGTTATTTACAGCTGAACGATATCAAATAGATTGGAGGCCACTTTTTAAGTGAATAGAAAGCAAAATTTAACTGCATCTGAAAACCTCGTCGGTCCACCTCTCCAAGGAAAGAAAATGACCGCATTTTCGGCTCTCAAGGAGTTTTGTGATACTCTCCATCTGAGAGACCTCGTCTTGAAGCCTTGGAAGCCAGTTATAAGCCAAACCTCACCTCTCCCTCCACCCCTCACCCACAACCACCACTACCAGGGTGTGGTATCATTTTGTAGCTCCACCACACAGAACTCGCTTCTCCAGGTAACACTGTTTTGCTGAAGTTTAGTTAATAAACGACAGTACGATACTGCCTTCCAGTCTATAGTCTTCAGTTAATAGCCCTATCTTACTTGCTTAAGAGAGTACTGGGAAGTACTGGGACGAGGTAAGCTGGAAGCGAGGCTGCCAAGTTGACGGAAAATTCAGCTGTGAGAAACTTTAGTGGAGCATGGTGGCAAAGGAGGGGTTCCAGTCACACATCACGCTGAATTTTCCTATTAAATCACGCATCACGGAGAATTTTTTTAAAACAATCACACGACACGTAAAAAGTTTGGGCCACTCATGGCTGCAAGAGTCTTGCGTACGAATTGAGTAGACATCAGTCTACGCCTCCTTTTCTATTTTTTTATACACGGGCAATAGTTATGGAAAAGCTTTACCCAATACCCTTCTGTACAACAACTGTCTTTATTTCAGTAAAGGATATAACATGGCTTTTGAATTCGTTTAGGTCTTTCCGACGACCTTGGAAAAATTTGGGTACCACTAACTGGTACACAAAATTTTTCCTTGTACTGGGTCATTGTTTACATTAACATCTCTCAGGCGACATAAAATGACACCAAAACTCTAACATCTTTTACCGTTTCTGCCGTTGAGTCCTTTGGGTCGACATTATTTCAGGTCTTTCATTCGATGGATTCGGACACTTTCTGGTCTTTCTGTATACGATCTGGCGCACTACCACAAAAATAACATTGAAGATCATAGTCCTTAAGCAATTATGTTAACAATATTAACTTACGCCTATTGTGTTGCGATTGTTTCGACCTATGACGAAGATCAAAGATATCAAAGGTCAAGAAAAGGTCAACAAAGGATGGAAAGATCCAGGCCTGGAAAAGATCAGAAAACAGTGTCACGCCACAGGCGGCCCAAGCTCCAGCTGTGAGATGATTATCTTACGCAATAACGGTCATGGCGGAATTATAAGAGTTTGTATGGGAATATTTACGACCGCTCTAAGGAATAAAAAAATACGTCAAATTCTCAAAAAAAATACCTCACCTCGCTTCCACAGCGTATTGCTTGTTATCTGACCGCTTACTTTGATGAAAAGAGCCCATTTGAGCGAGTTGTTCATTTCGAGGTTTTCAACGTACATAAGAAAAGCCCAAGGCTGAACACTCCATTTCCGAACGCCTGATCCGAGAAGCGAAAAATCCAAGCTCAAAATGACCGGGCGGCCACAAATCCAACACAGAATCCGAAGCACACATACTGTAGTTTCATTTCAATTCACTACAAACTCAATCTTCCCCGTGCAACCGACGCTAAGCCGCAGTTTGCTTCAAAAATTTCCAGTTTAGAGGTTTCTAACAGCCCGCGGCCACATCAACCTTGACACACGACCGTTGAAACCCTACCTCCTTTTCAAACTGAGCCTCGCTGGGGACCACACTGTCAGTTATTATCAATAAATTGTTTTAGAACCACGGGTCCCCTCAGGTCGAAATCGATCGAGAGGCTATTGTTTTATCCTAAAGTAAAAGAAATAAGTATCTACAAGGGCACTTGGCAAGAAACACATAGACGAAGTGCGAAATTTAGCGTAGCCGGCAACTAAGAATAAAGTGAATACTTACATGGCTGAGCGACTTGTTCTATTGTGACTCACATTCTCGTGCGGACGAAGCGAAATAACAGTTGTCTTGTTGGCAGAATTAAAATAGGTATTTCCAGATAGAACTAAATTGAATACTGGTATAAATCCTTGCCAGGTTTTCCTCTGACTCCGAAAATAATCACACATTTGTAAACATTTCTGAAGGCGAATTCGATTGGCCCGATCGAAACAATAGCCTCTTGATCGATTTCGACCGGAGGGGACCCGTGGTTCTAAAACAATTTATTGATAATAACTGACGGTGTGGTCCCCGGCGAGGCTCAGTTTTAAAAGGAGGTAGGGTAGGTAGAGGTAGGTAGAGCCTCGCCGGGGACCACACCGTCAGTTATTATCAATAAATTGTTTTAGAACCACGGGTCCCCTCCGGTCGAAATCGATCAAGAGGCTATTGTTTCGATCGGGCCAATCGAATTCGCCTTCAGAAATGTTTACAAATGTGTGATTATTTTCGGAGTCAGAGGAAAACCTGGCAAGGATTTATACCAGTATTCAATTTAGTTCTATCTGGAAATACCTATTTTAATTCTGCCAACAAGACAACTGTTATTTCGCTTCGTCCGCACGAGAATGTGAGTCACAATAGAACAAGTCGCTCAGCCATGTAAGTATTCACTTTATTCTTAGTTGCCGGCTACGCTAAATTTCGCACTTCGTCTATGTGTTTCTTGCCAAGTGCCCTTGTAGATACTTATTTCTTTTACTTTAGGATAAAACAATAGCCTCTCGATCGATTTCGACCTGAGGGGACCCGTGGTTCTAAAACAATTTATTGATAATAACTGACAGTGTGGTCCCCAGCGAGGCTCAGTTTGAAAAGGAGGTAGGGTTTCAACGGTCGTGTGTCAAGGTTGATGTGGCCGCGGGCTGTTAGAAACCTCTAAACTGGAAATTTTTGAAGCAAACTGCGGCTTAGCGTCGGTTGCACGGGGAAGATTGAGTTTGTAGTGAATTGAAATGAAACTACAGTATGTGTGCTTCGGATTCTGTGTTGGATTTGTGGCCGCCCGGTCATTTTGAGCTTGGATTTTTCGCTTCTCGGATCAGGCGTTCGGAAATGGAGTGTTCAGCCTTGGGCTTTTCTTATGTACGTTGAAAACCTCGAAATGAACAACTCGCTCAAATGGGCTCTTTTCATCAAAGTAAGCGGTCAGATAACAAGCAATACGCTGTGGAAGCGAGGTGAGGTATTTTTTTTGAGAATTTGACGTATTTTTTTATTCCTTAGAGCGGTCGTAAATATTCCCATACAAACTCTTATAATTCCGCCATGACCGTTATTGCGTAAGATAATCATCTCACAGCTGGAGCTTGGGCCGCCTGTGGCGTGACACTGTTTTCTGATCTTTTCCAGGCCTGGATCTTTCCATCCTTTGTTGACCTTTTCTTGACCTTTGATATCTTTGATCTTCGTCATAGGTCTAAACAATCGCTACACAATAGGCGTAAGTTAATATTGTTAACTTTTGCTCAAGGACTATGACCTTCAATGTTATTTTTGTGGTAGTGCGCCAGATCGTATACAGAAAGACCAGAAAGTGTCCGAATCCATCGAATGAAAGACCTGAAATAATGTCGACCCAAAGGACCCAACGGCAGAAACGGTAAAAGATGTTAGAGTTTTGGTGTCATTTTATGCCGCCTGAGGAGATGTTAATGTGAGCAATGACCCAGTACACAAGAAAAAATTTTGTGTACCAGTTAGTGGTACGCAAATTTTTCCAAGGTCGTCGGAAAGACCTAAACGAATTCAAAAGCCACGTTATATCCTTTACTGAAATAAAGACAGTTGCCGTACAGAAGGGTATTGGGCAAAGCTTTTCCATAACTATTGCCCGTGTATAAAAAATAGAAAAGGAGGCGTAGACTGATGTCTACTCAATTCGTACGCAAGACTCTTGCAGCCATGAGTAGCCCAAACTTTTTACGTGTCGTGTGATTGTTTTAAAAAAATTCTCCGTGATGCGTGATTTAATAGGAAAATTCAGCGTGATGTGTGATTGGAACCCCTCCTTTGCCACCCTCCACTAAAGTTTCTCACGGCTGAATTTCCGTCAACTCGGCAGCCTCGCTTCCAGCTTACCTCGTCCCAGTACTTCCCAGTACTCTCTTAAGCAAGTAAGATAGGACTATTGATTGAAGACTATAGACTGGAAAGCAGTATCATACTATCGTTTATAAACTAAACTTCAGCAAAACAGTGTTACCTGGAGAAGCGAGTTTTGTGTGGTAGAGCTACACAATGATACCACACCCTGGTAGTGGTAGTTGTGGGTGAGGGGGGGAGGGAGAGGTGAGGTTTGGCTTATAACTAACTTCCAAGGCTTCAAGACGAGGTCTTTTAGGTGGAGAGTATCACAAAACTCCTTGAGAGCCGAAAATGCGGTCATTTTCTTTCCTTTGAGCGGTGGACCGACAAGGTTTCAGATGCAGTTAAATTTTGCTTTCTATTCACTTAAAAAGTGGCCTCCAATCTATTTGATATCGTTCAGCTGTAAATAACTTAGCTGTGACAAAAATCTTGATGTGAAGTTTTCACATTACTCAAATGGATTTTGTGGCATGAGCGCTCGGGTTTTTCTTTCATTCTCGAGCGGATTCACCTAAACGGAACGATTAATAGCCATTTGTTTCGATTTTCACCACTGATTGTTTTCGTGATCTCGTTAGGTAGTCTGATTTATCAAAGACCTCCCTTGAAGTTACAAGCAATAACTGTGAGATAATTACTGTTTACGAACACAATTATTCCAGAACAACACGAGGTCACGTTTGAAATTGATTTATTTGGCAAATTAAAAAACACTTCGCAAGATATTTAAAACTGTTACTAATCTAATTCTTTTTTTATCATTAAACAACCAAAATGATTCTATGGGGTAATTTAGGTAAAACGAAGCTTTCGCTACATGTAAAGACTCTACGAAGAGACTGAATGTTTTCAAATTTTCATGAAAGCTGAAGAATTCCTCTTCGAGGTCACTAGAACAGCGTAACCAGGAAACTTAAAACGAACGCTTCATTTTAGTAAAACTTCATATCCGTGATGAAATCTGACGGTTCACGAGTTCAATTTTGTTATGTTCTACTTCAGTAAGACCCATAGTTCTCGGGTTCAGTGATTTTTCGTCGTAACCATCGCACGGATTGTGTAATTGTTTTTTTTAATACCCCGCCGGGGCAGCCCGTGAAAGTCGGCCCTTGGGGGGGAGGGGTAGAGAAGGGGAATGAGTAAATCGCGGGATCTTGATTTAATTGATCAACTTATTACTTTTAGCAGGCCATGTAGCTGGAATTTTGCATTATGTGCAACATTGCACAAGAAGAAATAACGTTCTATAATTGTCTCTTGATATTGCGCGCAGAAAAGCAGAGCTTACATTGGTTGATGTCTACCAGAGATTTATTTCTGGAGGATGAAATTTTATCCCGAATGCATTCAACGGATGATTACTTTCACTTAAAGTAAAAGTGTTTTAAATTGAGCTCATTTCTTCACAATGCGTTACACGACAAATCAAGCATGAACATGCAATTGACATAACTTTCTTTGCTTGGATGACTGAAAAAATCTCTAGAGTGATTCAAAATTGTTCGTGAACAAACTCTGCCTGAAGACGAGGCAAGGAGCCTTCCTCTCTGAGTTTATTTGTAAGGGGGTAAATAAATAGCAATGTCTAGAAACTGTTGATATGACAATCAACGCACACTCATCAGTAATGAGAGCCACGACTTCGAAAAGAGCACCTTATCAGTTAATCAGTTCTTTTTACTTAAAACTACGGATTTGGTCAGATTTCCAGATTATTAAGTCTTGTGGTTCTTATCAACAATCGATATGATACTTATCACTGTTATTTCTAAATGTTCAGCTTCTCATAATTTTTGCCGAAATTGTGAAACTTTCAAAAGGTTATAAATGAATAGAGCGACTTCCTGATAGGTGCAGTCAAGAACTGTGAACAAGATTTAAACAATCGAGTGCTTTTTCCAGTTCTTTCTTTACGACATTACTCGGTCAATGGGAATTTTTGCATATTTCAATTAAAGGTAGTTTACCTAGCTACGTGCAATTTACGCTAACTGCGCACATTAAAACATAATATTTACTTTCCATCATTAAGCCACAGTGTGTGGTATGATCACGAGATAAAAGGGAATTAGGTCAGTCACGCTATACAGCGCGAAAAAAAAAACACGCACGCATCATCGCTGAATGTTTGCTAACGGTTTCACAAATGATAACGATAAACACGTGAAACGTTATGTCTTTAGCGTAACTAACAAACATCATATAGATCGACGCAAATTGGGACACGCCTCGCTATTTTTGAGTAAAGCCTAAATTAATTATCATGAATTGAAAAGAAAACTGTAGAAAAAGAAAATCAAATGGCGAGACGCAAAGAGAAGCTGAAAATTGAGCTATATCATGCAAGTTACAGGGCAGAATGACCAATGGCATTTTTTCATCATCTGTGTCAGTGCCATATTTCGGTATCAGTAATTTTCATTGCCTTTTTTTTTTGTTTTGTTTTTTTTTTGGCGTGTATAACCCTCTCGGACAACTCTATGGTCATGACATTTGACGATGTAATCATATTGCAATAGGGAAAAATATAATCGGGCCATTAATTCAAAATGCCTGAGGGTGTTTCTGCTCGACAGAGCATACCTTCACAAGCACGTCACGCTCCAGTGAGTACGTGATTTATTCATGCCCTGGACTTGTGTCTCTATTCTTAAACAAACTTAATTGTTTTCCGTCTCTATTGTTGTGGTGTTGTTGAAGTAATTTAACCTGAAATATCTTAGTGGTGTGTGAAAAGATTAGCGTTTGTGTTTAATTCTTTGTGGGCGAAGAATCTCGTCAAAGTGGGTTTAAAACCTTATGTGCGGACAAACGATCACAAATGACTGAGCAAAAGACTATGGAGGTACGGCTTGCGATTGGCGAACGGGAAGTTGGCGAGGGACTTGAATCTTCCGAAAAAAACTTCGAGGAGTTTGATTTCAAATGCGGGCACACTCCCGCAGCAGATACACTTTTACGGGAAACCATTAGTCAACTAGAAACCGCGTTACGCGAGTCTACAAAGCTGTTAGCCCAACGGGACAACGAAATTAACAGTTTAAGAAACGATCTTGATTCGTGCCGTCGAAATAGCGATGGAAACGTCAGCGCCGCCCTTGAAGAGGAAGTAAAGAATTCTCAGAAACGAGTTCTCGATCTGGAAAAGGTTATACAACAGCTTCAACAAGACATCGCCATTTACAAAGCAGAGCGAGAGAGCATGCTAACGAATGCTGATCAACTTGAAGATGAAACTGTCTCGGGACAGACTTGTTATTGCGGGTCGCTGTGTGGTGCCATGAAAGAAATGGTTGAATTGAAAAAGAAACTGCAAGTAACAGAACAAAAGTACAGCAATCTCAAACGAGCTTTCAAGAGTTTGGAGCGAAGTAAGGTGAGGGTTGGTGTCGCACATCGGGATAGCCCTTGTAATATTAGCTAAACTGAAACCGAAGAAGGGACGAAAACTGGGATACGAAGAATGACATGATTCATATAGCCAGTAAATGATATAATGATATATAAAATGAATTCGGGTCTAGCGCAAAGGCAATTTCTGGAGGGCAAAAAAATTGGGATTGTGATCAATGACGCTGCTATAAAAATTAAACGTTTAAGATGCGTCCCGGTTAGGCTAAATTTTATGCCGCGTGTTTCTTTTCTAAAATGTTACCTGCCTGATTGTTTTTTTTCGGCGGGAAAAGGTGGCGCAAATAAGTACTTTTGGCGGGGGGTCGAGTAACACCACCCGCAGCGAAAAAGGAGAATTATTGAAGTACAAGTTTTTATCAAATTCTATTAGTTGATATAGACTTCCTAGTCCTATAGACTTGTTGGTAAAATTGGGTGACCTGTGAATTTGACACCGAGAGAGAAAATTTAATCGAATGAGTATTTAATCACTTCTCACAGATAGGAAAAACACACGAAAAGTTTATATTATCAGCTGGTGTTATATTCAAAAGCAAACTAAATAAGTTTATTTATATTTAGACCTTTTATGTAACGAGGCCGACAATCAAGTCAGATAGTCTAATAAAAAAAAAACAAACACAAGTTATTTCTGACAAACACGGAAGACTAAAATAATAACAATCATGGTGAGTTCGAGTTGAATGAGAATTTGATAAAAACTGACATTTTAACCCTAAGCTAGTGACTACGTAAAAGTATATTACCGAAAAGTAGTTATAAAAAGTTGAGATGTCCACCTTCGAGGGGACTTAACTACAACTTTATGCAGTTATAGTCAGGAATTAGCTTTCTAAGAATAGACATCTCCCTAGGGAATTCACGAGTAATCTTATTGGAAGATGTGACTTGAGGATCAAGTCCCCAAATACCAGATTATACGCGTGTTAGGTTGTTACATTAAATAGCCCTCTGCATACACAGAGTGTGGATCGAAAGCTTCGGCCATTCATAAACTTAAGGTTACCGACAATTCATTTCTTTTCCTAAACTGTTATGTTTTGGGGGCGTATGAGGTAAGACTTAACTACACAGAGCACTGCGACGAAAACAAGGCGTGTCGGAAGTCTTCTCAACTTCTACCTACGGACGAACATCATATGATTGGATCCTGTAAAAAAAATTCATTGTGCTCTTATTACGAAAATCTTCCATCCTTACTGAAAAAGGGTAGTTAGGTCTGGCATCATTGGAGGGTTGGGGGTAGGGGCAGGGGTGAGGTTCAACCTGACAAGAAATAGTGACTGATGGGGCCGTCCGGCCTTCAGTTTTTTAAGAGAGTCTCCTCTCTCCTTCCAACACGACAGCAGTCATAAGAAATGGAAGGCTGATTAATGTATATAGAATTATCTAGGATGCATATATTCACCAAGGTCTCAAAAGTTATATTTCTACTGAGTCCATTATACTACCGAAGCGTAGAATCAAGTAACATATTCCGTCGCCAACTTAAATGGGACTGGAATAAATTCCACTTAGCTTGTAATGAAAGCAGTGTAATTGCATGGTTAGGCATGCGTTTGAACGATACTTAATTAACAAAGACGCGCGAGAAAATTAACGAGATAGATTTGCGAGGAAGTCGCGCGAGGCTAAGAAACCAACAATTTTATTTTTTTTCACTCTTGGGTACTCGTTCGCTTGTTATCATATTTCTAAGTATAAATATTTGTTTCCTCCAAGCGACTGCTAGGTAGGGTAGGATAGATACATTTATATTCACCAAAAGAAAAATGTCGATTGAAAGAACATTGAACATCGCGACAAAGGCCTTTCTTAAAGTGGCAAAGCTTTTTACATTGCAATAGGTAATTATATGCTATGTAGAGAGGTAAAATGCAGTTAGTATAGTAAGATCTCCTGACGACTTAATGAATGCAAGATCTTAAGAGTTAATATCTAAGTTTGACAAAGGCCTTACATCTAGGTTATTGAAAATTGGCCTTCATGTTGTGTATCAGATCATAGACATCACAGATCACATAGTTCGGCAGACTACACACTTAAAAGAGCAAGAGAGCTCAAGAGCTTTGAGTTTAGCTACTTGCTTCCAGAGCGCACTTCAATTGAGTGTCGTAAAACCAAGACCCGAGTAATAAAAACAGCTATTCAGAACAAAGATTGAATTTATGAAGGGAAAATGGCACACTACGGAAAAAAGTCAAGCTCGAACTGCCTGAGGCGCCGAAAAGACGCGAGTGGCGAAGTCTTCACTACTTCATGCATACTTTCCATCTGATTGGTTGGGAGAACGGCGCAAGTTTTCTAGACTAATTAGAGCGTAGTTAACCCTTTAACTCCCAAGATCTGATTGTTAATCCTCCCCTTAACTGCTACACATTTCCTTGTAAATTAGTTATGAGAACTTGGAGCTAGATCAAGGTAGCAGCTTCTACCTGATGAGTTTGAATATTCTCATTACCTGTTTGCTGAATAATGTATGGATATTATTGGGAGAAGTTTCATGTTAATCACTACTGGGAGTTAAAGGGTTATGTATAAACCAGTGCAATCCTGAATTACGATCCACACTCAATTGAAACTGCTCTTCATGTGTAGGAAAGAACAGATTAAAATGTGTGACGATGGCCTATCATAAAGACCTCGGGCCTGTAATACATCTAATAAAAGTAAAAAGAACTAAATGATAGGTTTTTTGTCTTTGACTTTTAAATGTTCTAAATATTTCAACATCTTTAACTTTTTCACCTCTCTTTTAAAATCTACTGACGCATTAACCTTCTTGTTAATACAGAACAAATGTTAACTCATCCACTCTTTCACTTGACAATGTCCTGTTGCAACGGAAAATCGCAAAACAATAGTTCCCACCATGAATTTCGGTCGTCTCGAGCCAGGCGCAAAAGAACAAAAATCTTCCCACAAATCAAAATAAGTTTGCCAATTCACAAAATGAAACGAAAACAAGTTGAACGGAAATGACTAAAAAACAGACAACGAGGATTCAAGATCACTCAATGGTTAATCACGCACAGACACTAAAATTATCAAAAAGAAAAAAATAAGGAATTAAAATGTAGGAATGTAAACGACCTCGAGGGGGACGGGAAAACTAGACTAATCAAGTGGGGATTGGATCTAGCCTTGTATCTGATTATCTGATTGGTTAGATGAATGGTATGAATTTTCTCAGTTAAAAAAAAAAAAAGTAAATCCCGGATCTCTCTCTTCTGGTAGATACCCACTGTACTGTTGTTGCTGCAAAACGCACGAGAAGTCATTGTGTTCAGTGGACATCTGCAATAAAGCCTCTACGGATGAGAGAGGTCTCGAATTACTTCCGACACGCATTGGACATTCCTCTGCGCGCGCGCGCTCAAGTAGCACTCAACCACCCGTTGTATGAAGTGTTCTATAGGCAGGTGTCCTTTATAACAAATCCCACTTTAGAACAGGTACTTCCGGTTCAAGGAACCGCGTGTGGTTTTACAGGTCTCTTAAACTGCTCTTTGTTCCACCTCAAAACACATCAACCACTCGACTGGCACGTGCTAAGGTTAACCATATTACCATTTTTCCTCACAATAGCTTTTGCACAAGTCTTTCATGGAGAATTCTACAGTTCAAGCCGAGAAAAAGAAAGGTAACAATGCCGTCAATAGTTTGGATGATTTTGAGATAAATTTCTTGGATGATGATTCTGATGGAGAAAAAGAAGAAGTTGATGATAGAGTATTGACTTCAAAGAAAGATCTCTCAGACACCGCTTCTGTAACGTCGAATTCATTATTAAGAGCTACCATCTGTGAGCTGGAGCGAGCGTTGACGGACACGAGAAGGCTTCTATTAGTACGAGACAAAGAGAGCGCTACTTTACGTCAAGAATTAGAAAAAGCACGCAAAGATCTTCACAGAGAGCAACAGGTTAGAAAAAAGCTTGAACGAGAAAGCGAATCGAAGGAGGAGAAACGCCGCAAGGACGAAAACGAGAAATCAAAATTAATAGAGGAAATCAAAGAACTAAAAGAGAAGCTGCGAGAATTTGAAAATCCGCAGCAAAGCAGCGATCCAGAGGAGATTGTACCTTGCTGTTCTTCTATGCACGAGTTAGTTGAGCTGCAGCGTAAATTGAAAGAAACTGAACAGCAATTAGCAGATTTTAAGGTAAACAACCAATTACTGGGCAGCGAGCAAAAAATGTTGGCCACGATGCCACAGTTACCAAACGGAAGTGCATCACCTAAGAACCATAAACAGACTCAGAGAGAAATGCAGACGCAGCTGAAATTGAAATTTCTACGAGATGCTTTCTTCTACTATATGATCGACTTCCACGCAGATGAGCAGATGAGGGCCATTTTAGCAATTCTAGATTACGAAGACAGAAGACATGATATCATCATTGAATCGCATAAAATGAAGAGACAGGGCAAAAAATTCACTGTGACTGAGGTTTCTAGTAGGTCATTGACATTTGTGCAAGAGGAGAAACTTTAAGGAGGCTATTTCACTGTTTTGAGCGTCAAGATGAAAAGCGTTTCAGTAGAATTAACGATTGAAATAGTCGATTGCGGAGTTAGATAAAAAGCGTTGGATAAGAATAAATCAAATATGAGCCAAGGTGGTTAATATTAACGCGAATTGCAAATTCCAATCGTGCTGTGAACAGACTAATTTCAGCTTGAAGGAGACCATAAATATAAGTTTGGTAAGACAGGAAATAAAAAAGGGACAAAAATAATCCAAGAAGTAATAAGGATGGACAAGACTGACGCAGATGTAAAGTTTGTCTTGCAAGATAGAAAACCACAAGAGGGGCAATATTTATAAGAAACCCAGATGGAGAGAGGATGGTGAAGAGTGGTAAATTTACCACATTAACAATTGCAGACAGAAAACAAAAATTAATCTAATTTTCCTCAGGTTGCACTGAATGTGACATCGATATTCAAATGGTTAGCTTCAACTGACATTAACACTATAACTTCAAGAGGTGTTGAACTTTTAAATTCTCCCCAAAACCTTATGGTGATGAGAAAAAGAAAAACTTATCAACTTAAGGGTAATATCTTGATCTACCTCCAAATTCTCAACTCACTTTCAAAGGAAAAGTATGGAAGCAACAAAGGAGAATTACTGATCAGATCTTGGGAGTTATAGAGTTTATATAAGTACACTTGTTTCTGAAGACAATTTCACTGGATTTGAATCCCTTGATATGTTTATCTACCTATACTTGGAGGTGACTTAAATAGACTTGAAAGAAGTCACACACTTCCAGAGTTTAAAACATCATGAAAACCACAACTGGATACAACTCATGTTTTATCATGGCAGAGTTATACCCAGAAAGGTAACATGTTTCATAAAGAAGTACATGTCTACATATCATACTCCAAAGAACAATTCTTTAATGCAAAGTTAATGGCTTGATTTTTGTTTTAGTCCAATATGGTGGATTTTTTCCAGTTACTTTACACTATTCTTTAACTGTTACATTTCTCATTGCAAACCCTGCCTAAAGGTTTCCATTTATTTTCAAATTCAAATGCTCCTTGCAGGTAATGGTATGTTTCAGTTTCCTTTAGAAGTCTGAGAGTGCATAGGTAACCCCTTTCACTCTCTTGAATGACCAAAAATACATTTCTCCTTATAATATTGGTGGACTAGCAAGCAGTCAGGTGATGAGAAGATTGAAAAATATCAACTAAAGGGATAGTGCTTGAATAAACACCATATTCACAAAAGTAAGATTTTCAGAAATGTATGGCAGACATTAACAAGAATTAAAAATCAGTATCTTGAGGAAGGAAAGGGTTTGGTTGGACATTGGCTGCTATTTCTTTGTACAAATAAAGCACAACTGATACTTTAGCTTGGTTTTAAAGCCATCATGGTGTTGATATCCCATATCAAAGTTCTCAGCTTATCTATAAGTTCTTTTATTTCCTGGTTCTTGCTTCTCAGTTTCTGTTGAAGAAGAATCAATACCAAAATCTGTGAGTGCAATTATTACACTGAATGTCAACATTCCAAATAATGCCAATAACCAGTAAAGCTATGTTAAGGAGGATGACACTTTTCCCACAACTGTGTTTCTTTGGATAAATATTGTGATTGGCCAATAAATGTTATGCAATGAGCCTGGTTTCCCTCTCCCAACTTATTGTTTCTAGTTGGAAAAAAACTATCAGTACCACTCAAAAAAACTGGGAGAGAGAAGTTTTCATTAATTTTGTAGGTGGATGCTGCTGTTTTACGTAAATCTGTATACCCAGTAAACTTATGTCTCTGTGCTTAGCAGGTCTACCTACTTGAAACCATGGAACACAAAAACCCACCCCTGTCAAAACACAGGCTGCATGTTTAAGGTATATCAGCTATTATATAATAAGCTCAGTTATGCACACATTCTGATTGGTTCTCACTTGTGATCTATTGGACTCATCTTTTTTATTTTTCACGCTTTCATATTGCAGGGGTCATTCATTCAACTCCTATACAGGCCTGAGTTTTTTTCTGGCTTTATTTTCACCTCCACTTAAGTAGTGTTCATTACTGCAAAGATCAATCTCATCTTCAATCAAGAGCTTCTTTAGGTGGTCATCATTTCCTCTATTTACATGACCTTAACCCTTTAACTCCCAAGATCACATTAGTATTTCTCCTTCCTGTCTACTATACAATTCTTCAGATGTTACTTCTGAGAATTTGATATTGGATCTATTAATATTCCCCTAATTGATATTTTTCTTGGTTCTCATCACTTGTCTTTTTGACTTTGTATTGATAATGTAAGGAGAAATTCTGTCTTGGTCACTCATGGGAGTTAAAGGGTTAATGTTTGATTTAGGGGCAATATTGAAAATAGAAATAGAATGCTGATGATAATTCACTCCTAGGGTTCAAAAGATGAAATTACCTCTTGAAGGGTATCATGCTCAATTCCAAGTGCCGTTGAATCATTGGATGTGTCCATGTCAGAATCTTCCTCTGAAGTTCTCAAGGGAATCAGAGCCTAGAGGAAAAATCATTATGCCATGCACTTTTAAATGAGAGAGTTGAGAATTTTTTACTGCCCTTGTGCATATTCACATCATATTGCTTAGTTTACCATCAATCTCACACCCAGTGGTGTAAATAATAACAAGCCAACTGACAAAGAATGGAACATCATTTTATCAAGGAGATAGGGGAAGTAGCAGGACAACCAGTTACCTCATATCATTGAATACAAAGACAGAATTGAGAAAGCTCTATCTCTTTTTTTAAACTTGATCAGTAACAACACTGGAAGTATGAAATCCTGCATTACAAGCAGCCATCGGACTTATTTATAATTGCAGTTTTTTTCCAAACAAAGAGCCAACATTAGTAAATAGCGAAAGAGAACTACCAGAACAAAGCAACAACATCAACAACACAAAAACAACTCGCCTCCAAATCTTCCCCATTAGGGATTTCTATCCGTCTGTTACTCTCATCGTAGAAAACCCTCAGGCGAGAGAATAGCTCCTTCAAACTATTCAACGTATCCTGCACTTTTTTGTTGTTATTCCGTGCTTCTTGTTTAGACTTGTCGTCCACAACCATGTTCTTTTCTTGCAAACATCGAAACAAATAGGTCGCTTTGCTAACAATTTCTTCAACCGTTTGTAATCCTTGTGCAGTTATGGAAATTTCGTTTAACTGTTGAACATTTGTTGGTCTGGTATTTTTTTTATCTTCCCTCATCGCTGCTGAAAGGCCTACAGGAAGAGCCGATTGCAACCCAACTGGCAATACTCGTTTGGACGCCATGTTGGTTTGCGGAGAATATGGTCAGCGTCTCTTCTGCTCGGTTGGTATTTACTTTATATAAGGGTAAGACTGTTATTCTACCGAGATAGACTGGGGAGAGACTCGCTTCTACATTGCCCGTTCGAGAGTTCTCGTGCCAGTCACGGGAACTCTCGCCCCGTTTCTGACAAATCACATCGAAAACTAAAACCACTCGCAGACTGGTCAATAACGTTTTCCTGAGCTCAAAGCACCTCTTTTTCCTTTTTTTCCCGTCCGCTCAATCGAAGGGTCTGCACTATTTTCTTGTTAGATAAGGGATTACTTTCCTTTCACCAGATCGGATATGGGTGTATTTTTCTTGAAGTGAAAATTATGTTAGCGAAAGGTTCGTCCTTTGCTTACAAAGGAGATCACTTTATTTCTTCGCTTTTCTTGTAAGGACAACAAACGCAGGCTATTGAGCTATGAAATTTCTTCCTGCCTGAAGGTCTCGCCTTACACTGAGGGGAAAACGCACAATGCTAGCAGTCTAGACAGAAAAAAAAGCGGACCAAACCACAAGTAAACTTTCAGAGCCGTAGAGTTCAGTGCTTTAAGGAAAAATCATTCATCAAAGAAGCAACAAAACTTTGGAATACTTTAGAGACTTATGTATATTGATTACGCAATGTAACATTCGATCGTACATCGATTGACTACAGGTTCTAAGAATTCATTCATACGAGAACAATCTTAAAAAACTTCTGTAATGACAAGGTACGCTGAAGGAAAGCGCAAGTTATCTAAGCAGCTTGCAGTTCTATCGAAGTGAAGTGAGGGAACTGGAGAGTAGAGATCCCATGTAACTCTGGGGGTGTCAGTGGTCCAGTGGTTAGTGCGCTGGACTCTGGGTCGAAGGGCCTGGGTTCAAGTCCTACCAGGGGCATGTCGCTGTATCCTTACAAGACCCCACCATCGTCTCTCGGATAAGACGTAAAGCCGGAGGTCCCGTCTCACAACCCTCCTATATTATAAATAAATTGTGGGACGTAAAAGAACTACGCCTCGATTTGTGCCGTCGTAGGTCTGGGTGGGTGAGGACTGACTAAAGTGAGGAAATTGGCACCATTCATCTATCTATCTATCTATCTACTAGTGACTAGCAAGTTCCAATAGGACTGAGTACGAGTTCAGTTCAGCCATCTCCGATGTTGTGTTACTCGACTCGTTCGTTGGACAGGTGACAACCGAAAGGAGAAGCCTGGGTTCCTCTAGCGTGCTGTCGCTGCGTTTTTGTTTCAGCATTTTAGACTTAACGCCTTCATTGAAACATATGCAGCAAGCTGCAGTGAAAGGATCTTTCAACGTACGGCTTCCGTTTGCGTCGGAAACATTTCTGTGCTAAACGTCCCTAATAACCAACCACTATAACTTTCATGTCTACATCACGAGTAAACTTGTCGAAAAATGAGAATCTCGTTGACCCTTTAACTCCCAAGATGTGATTATTAATTCTCTCCTCTAGCTGTTACACATTTCCTTGTGAATTGGTTACGAGAATTTGATGTTCAATCAAGATAATATCTTGTGCCCGATAAGTTTGAGTATTCTCATTACCTGATTGCTGGATAATGTATGGATACTATTGGGAGAAGTTGCATGTTTATCACTTCTGGGAGTTAAAGAGTTAACCAATGAGACCCTAGTAGAGACCAGCAGCTAATTTCTCCCTACAGTATTACTGAATGGGAATATAGGAAATGATCACCAACGAAACGAGCTCTTGGTGTTTAACAAATTCTCCTTTTTGTCAAAACCCCAAGGACATATATAGAACAGTTTGGAAAATACGCACGCTCATGTTGGGGTGTTAAGGGTTAACTGAGAGAATCTGACAACATCTTGAATGATAGTGTTAGATTTGCTCACAAATAATCGCTTAAATAATATCTTTGCTGAGACGAGATATCTAAAAATTGAAATTGTTATGGGAATACAACAATGCACTCCATTGCAAAAGAGAACAATCCCCCCCCCGAACAGAAGTCTGATCTCACACTTAATCTCAATCGTCTTACTCTATGATCGGAAAGAGACTTCTCTGTACCATTGACTAACATCTCTCTTTTGGATTGGATTGAGAATTTAGTGTTGCATCTACGTAATATCTCTTGGCTGATAATTTTCTGAATTCTAAAAACTTGTCTGCTTGCCAAATCTTAAAATCGTAATTAGAATTTATCCAATGACCATGTTATAACGCCGGCCCTGATTGGTCAAAAACCTATCATTTATTGGAGAACCCATGGAAAACTGAAATATTTTGTAGTTACTTTACAAAGGTAATAGACTGTACCGTCAATCGGCTTGCCGGCAGAATTAAGTATCTTGGATGTTGGAAGAACATTTCAAATGCTTGTGAAAACTTTTGTCATGTTCCATGAATATCCTGCGTGGTTTATAGGTGATGTAAACTGATAAAAAGTATAGTGTATAATTTGATCATCAAATTCTCACTCTAATCTTTTTCTCAGGGTCCTCTCTGTCGAGGGAATAAGAGAAAGGACCCTGGGAAAAAAATTTGTGCTCAGCTTCAGAGAGTGATAGGGATAGGATCGATAAACGGCCCTTGTCCGAGGAATGCGCTTATACACCTGATCGCAGTCCGCACTCAAGATAACGGCGGAAATCGAGCGTAATGAAAGGGTTAATATGGCAGTTATGTTATAGTTTAAGCAACGAGGTTCATATCTCACACGTCGGCCATCCACAATATATTAGTGATATGTATTTGCGAGAAGAGTCATGTAAAGGGCTATGGTATCCCAATGTGTTTGCTCAAACGCGTGTCAATTGGAAATTTAGCTTTCTTCAATTGCCCGCTCTCCGCTTCCTGTGTCAAAACATGCAAAAACGTTGAGAGACGGTTACATAGAGCACAAGCTAACGTGAGATTAAAGAATTCGTGTTGGCGTTGCTAGTGGCAACCGCAAGCTTTCACGACCATGTTCGTGTACTTTTTAAGTACTACGTTATTACTGTCATCAAAGTACAGGACCGAGATGGCGGAGAGTTTGGTGGGAGAACAACAGGGCTGAGGTACAACTGTAGGATTCATGAGATGTACCAGCGTTTGAACAATGGCATGATTGGTGGCGTTCATATGAGCGCTTAAAGGAAACGAGCATTCACCGTAACAGAAAAACGCCGAGTAACCCTCGGGCGCAATAATCCAGTCTTGCCAACCAAGCCGCTGGAAACTGACGTACAGCATCCTCCGGCTGCAGCTTGTTTGACTCGAGGTCTTGAAGTTCCCTCCTACGTTTGTGAACTGCGGTCCAAGGGAGCGGGCTGAGCGGCGCCGGCGTGGATGCGGATTGAAAATACGATGATAGGTCAGTTTCTGTTCGCCATCTTGACGGTAGAATGATACCAAAAACGGACGCTTCTCCTGTGGGCCATGGAAGCCCACAAAGCCAACGCTTGAGGCGTTTAGTTCCACCCCTGCGTACGTGTGTACAGAGAGTTCGATTCCATAGTTCTTGTTGATTTCTTGAGCCCACTCCTGTCCTGCTCGTGTGATGTCAAAAGCCTGCCATCCAGATTCCCAGCTTCGAAGAACCCGCTTGCCCAGTTCCTTGAGAATTCTTGCAGGCTCAATAACCTGTAGTTGAGAGAATAGCAATAGTTAGGTCCCAAGAGCATGATGGTCAAAATCCAATGCAGCCGACTTCAACTTCTACAGCATATGCAATGTAGTAAGTAGCTGCTATTGTTTCTGCTGCAACAACTGGCTATCAGAATGCATCATTTGTGCTCTTTTTACGAAGCAATACGTATACAACGCAGAAAAGAAACATCAAACTAGTATAAGCTAGGGAATCAACGACAAAATTGTTGTTAACGCATTTTCCCCTCAGGTTCAAGGGTGAGTAACGTTTGAAAAAGGCTGCTGAACAACGTGTACGTATGTCTGCTGCTGTAGTGTATGTATGTCAGCTGGTACGGTCTGCGAAAAAATCTGGCAAGTGCGACTGAGGTACAGGAGCTAACAAGAAAAGAACGCTACAGCGTTTCATCTCCAACTACATGTAAATTCACACAAATTCCGTGAATTTGTACGAATCCTTCCGCAGCAATCAGGAGTTATGGCAGCCAATTAAAGATGATTGTGTCACTTTTGCCTTCTTCGACAAATTGAAATCTATTTTAGGAGTATATGCCCGGTTGAAAAGAATTGTGATGTTTCTCACCTGATAAATTTTCACTTCGTAGGTCGAATTCTCCCAGGAGACAACTCTGTGTCCATTGGAAATCGGTTCTTTATAAATCCGAAACTCTGCTGCTGTGATCTTTTCTCCCTGTGGAGTTTCCATTTTGAAACGAAATGTAGAATGCCTCTTGGAAATTTTTGGCCGCGCTCCCCTGACTGTCGATTAAAGAACAACTGAAACTATTAATAATAATTGTGATAATTATATGTAAAATAGATTTGCTTAACAACTTGATTGTAAAACATTACGATAAAAGCGAAGAGCGACTTAGTTTAAGAAGTTGTAAAAATGTAAACGGTTTAGACGTTTGCTTTACCAAGTCAAAAGTGAATGAAATTGGGTTTGAATATAAATGTAAACCAATTTCAAAGAGAAAACAAAAATAATGGATTTGTAAAATGTTTATTCCGCGGTAAAATTCACGTCCGCTGAGTCACAGAAGGAGTTTTACACGAATGGAGTCTTTGCGGGTTTCTGACTGAGGGATGAAAACATAAAAAATACAATTTTGACCTGCATTTGTCCAACACAGAAAATGTTTGTCTTTCAAATCTGACTTTGAAAGTCGGTGTTGCTCTAGATGTTGCCCGAGTGCTGTGAAAGTTTTCTTCTTTTATACCCGAGGTGAAATTACCGTGTTGTGTGACAGATATAATCTGCGTCACACCGTTTACATTTTAATTTCTATACGGTGCATTAATCATTCATGTTAGGCGACTTCTTCTTTCTGTTGCCTTTCAAAATCGATACACCATACAAGAAAAGGCCGAAAGCTCAATTATTTTGGTCTCACTGTCATTTAAAGATTAACATTTTTTCTGATTCCGCTCTGTAAAAGGCAAATGCAATATCTGAGCGCCAACATTGTCCAAGTCAAGCCTGTTTTTCAAACCAAGGGGATATGGCAAATCGTCACCCCGAAAGATAAGAGGCCGACTATCATTCGCACTCATTCATGTAACGATTAAACGATTATCGAACAGGAAATTGCCATAGAAGAAGCCGGTAATTGGTAAAAAGTACATCTCTTGAGACAGTGCAAAGAAAAAAAAAAACAAACAAACATAACTGGACAAGAAGGCGCAGACCGTCCGGTTTGTGTCTGTTGACAGACGTGGCTGCAAGTAAACTCAATCAGAAGCAAGGACATAATTACCTTAAACCTAATCTTCTAATCTCTATAACCCTGGCCGGTTAGATTAAGGCATCCACTTTGAATTCAATTCAAGTATGACCCCAACCCTGATCCTGACGGGGTCTTTAGTTTTCCACAGTGATCAATTCTTTAAGGATAACTCGCGAGAAAGAAGTCGCGACCGTGCGCGCACGAGGTGAGTTTCACGCGCATTCGCGTGTTTGCCACCCTGCTTTGTTCACTTCGCTCCATAAACTGAGAGGAACCCATAGCGTAATTTGAAATGTACCTTTTTTTTTTACCCTTTGTTTAAAAAATTCACTCATTCATTCTGCTGCATCAGTAGTAGATTTATCAAATAACAAACGATTTGCAGCATTTACAATCAGATATAAATGATAAAATCACCGCCATCCTTCATCTAGAATTTCCTTACACTTCTTTTGATCAAAACTCTTGATCAGTATTCGAGTGCGAACTTAATTAGCAAAGAGCACTAAAAGAGCATGAATATAAATCGAGTTTAAAAGGATCCTCCAACAAACCGACAAAAGAAAAACCGTTGGTAATCAGGGGATTTCGTAGGTCTTTTCTTCCCAGCGATAAAAAGATCGAGCTTTCACATCGCGTGACTTGCCAAATGTCGCGTTTTGTTGAAATTTCCTGACTCATCTTCGTTCTGTCATCACTCCAAAGCAGCTCAAGGAAAACGGAAAACAATTTGTGACCCGTTCAGTTGGTAGGGTCATCCGCCACCATTTCTGGTCCGAACATTCCTCCCCAGAACGAGGTGCGATTTAACAAAGCTTCTTGCAATTAATTTTTAGGCAATTTCAGGCTTGATCAAATGATCCCAGTACAAAAAAGGCTTAAAAATTAAGAAGAACTTGAAACAAGAACACAGATAAGCCAAAAAATGCCAGCGAGAAAATGCAAAGCCGCTAAAAATTAAATTGGGGATTGAGTTTTGATGGTACTTGAAAATAACGACTCAACTTTACTCTGTTGGCATAAAACGGCGTTTGAAATCGTAAATCACTCTAGCTTGTCAAAAAAAATTCCTTTTTGTCAAATTCAGGCTTTCGTCCATCCTGTTAATTTAAGGTTTAAGACTCATAATAAACCAAAACAAACAGATAATCTTACAGGTGAGGACACTTAGACGCTGATCAGTTAAGGCTGTTTTAAGTCCTCGTCGGTCAAGCAAATCTTACAATCTTACAAAGTTCTCTCTTGTTCTCTTTTTCTCTGGAATCGCAAGCCCACAGCAATCTCCAAAATTTCACTTACTTTCGGAATTATCAAGTACATTTCTTTCCTTCAGTTTGCCATTTAATCCGTCAATTTTTCCTTCGATCAAGCTATAGGCAGCCATCTTTCACGAACCCTTCCTTTCACTTTTTCCGAAAGAGCGTTTGCACTTAGGTTATCACGATTTGGCAAGAAAAGAAGTTTGCGGAAAACACCTTGGCGTACGATCTTTTTTATGAAAGTTACCCACAGAACAATACTTTCATATAGTACTGCTTGTTACACTTTCTCAGGTAGAGCTCGCCTTTTAGTCTGGATAAACTTTAGTGCGAACAGTCAAATGAGAGTCACTAAACAGGACTTTGTATGGGAATTTTCGTTTCCGTAATGTTCGGAATGACATTTTTTCTTTCTAGTGTCGAATTTTAGAAAGTGCTTCTTAAGTATCATGCGTATTTTGAGATTATTTGTCAGATATTTTCTCTCTCCAAGACAATACGCACTCAAATTGATGGATGTACATTCTTAAAGATAAGTTCTTATGAAGCATGTTTGTCATATTTTGGCCGATAAAAGCACGTCACGGCAAACTAACGACGGATTCTACACAGCTCCCGCTTGTCTGGTCAGGAAATACAGATTATTGGAAATATAAAGCGTAAATGAAAACAGAAAGGAAGTCTACGAAGTCCTTCTGCCAGAAAAAACTTCCAAATTTGATTCACACTAAAGAATAAAGCTTGTTGTAAAGAACAATATCTGATCAGAACGACGAACAACGCGCGTAATAAAAAAGCGTAATTTCTCTTTGACTGAAAAAATTATACCCCAACTACTGAAAATTTCGAATTGAAATATTTATAAAATAAATTTGTTTTGCTTACAGTTTAACTCACAGACGTAAAGAAACTCATCGTGGGAATGTCAACGAAATTATATTTATATTCGTACGTTGAAAAGTTAAGCGATGTTTTGGCGCTGACTCTCAATGGATACCAGCAATTAAATGATCCTCTGTTCACTTTTTAGTATTACAGATAATCATTTAACAAGGACGGCTTTTGTGTTTCCACATTATTTAAAGCCAACCGCAATTTTCAACAAGATCTAAACTTGACAAAGACCTCTAATCATGTCTGTTAAGCTTGTTTGTTCGCGATGCAAATCGTATTTCTCCTTTCGTTGTGAGCACAACAGTGAGGAGGCAGGTAAGGAGATTTTGGAGAAACTCCAGTCATCTCGGTATGTGGGATATTATTGAGCCGACAAAAAAATCGTAGCGGGAGTTATAGAGAAGAGCGCAGCTAAGTAATGTGACCTCGGCAACAATGACATAAAAAATCGACTTTATAGCACGAGATGATATTTTGTTGTCTAAAATAAAGAGGAACCCCATTAAAAACTGATTTTATCTGACGTGGAAGTCACTCTCCAAATGCCAACATTAGATTTCTTATCGAAAACCTAACTCAGTTATTTCAGTCTTGTATTGGCTTGGAAGACGTTCTTGTTTCAAAGAAAGAACAATGGATAACATTTTTTCTCCCTACGCTTTCCGATTCGATTATAAATCACCGTTATATAATCAACTATGCCTTTCCTGAGGAGTGTTCAATAGGGCAGCAATATCGCTTATTCTACAAACTTCGATCTACATACGGCCGTTTTGGCACAGAAATATCTACAAAAGGTGCAAATATTGCAAAACGTTTCCGAGGTTTGCGTTAATTTGTAAAGTATCCGTAAAGTGCTAATTAAAGTTCTCTTGACATTGCTGAATTTCCGTTGGGGAAGAAAAAAACATTAGGCAAGTTAAGCAGACTGGAATAAATTTAAGTCATTTTTAAAATTCAAAAGCGCGTGTTTATCTCTGGTGAACGTGCTAAGAGTGATATTTGGCGCAATAACCTTGAACATTGTTTCAGCAATTTCTATAATTAGGAAATTTTCTTAATTTGGGAACTTAACAATTACTCCTAAAAAGCTTTGTTGTAGATTTCACTCCAGTTAGATGTCTATTTCAGCAGTTGCCATAATTAATTGTTTCCAGACTTGGCGCACAACTTTAACCTTTCCTAATAAGTGCCTAAGCGATGTCTTTAGTACATTTCTCGTGTTTATACACATGTTCGTGTTGTGTTAAACAATGCGCACCCGAGCCACATGAAAATACACTACTTCCTAAGAGCAATTATGCAATTTGCAATGTTTATCTATCGATTGTAATCAATAAAGCCTTCGTGAAGTGTACGTAAACGAAGTCTTGGCAGACATCGACTTACCGTGGTTAAGATAGCTCATAATTGTGTCAGCACCCAACGCTCGGGAATCTGTCACAGAGTCATTGCAGCAGAACAAACCGTCGGTCGACAAGCTCACGTTGCTTTCTAAGCTGTGGTATAGGTCAATCATATACCTTGGAGCAGACATTTTTCGACCATGTAGACGAGTATTTAGGCTTAGCTGCGGCCGACGGGGCAAACCAAGGAGATTCAGAATTTCGCGTTGAAGCGTTCCCGAAGTGCTGCCGTTTTTAAGGACCGATGTGGTCTCCGTAGTTTTTTCTCTCTTTTTTCGCGAAGAGTGATGGTTGTGACGCTGATGAGTTCTCGTTCGGCGAGGGAAAGAATGGCGACTGAAGATTTCACTGTCATGTTCCTTCGCAGTGGTTCCGTTTTTCGCAACTGACGATGCTTCCGTCATTTTGTCGCTTATTAGCGAAGTGTGAAGCGCGAGGCTCAAAATGAATAATCTATAGATGTAACTCATAGTTTGCCGTCAAATTTGCTCAGTAAATCTGAAAGGTGCGCGTTCTTCACGTTGTTGTTTTGGAACGAAACTTGAATACAACGACCAAAGGGCATAGGAATGGTCGGTTTACTTTGCGGAAACAGGCCTGTCAATCAAACACTGAAATTAACCGCCTCGCACGACGGCAGTATACAAAGCGAACCAATGAGAAGCCTCACCCTTTGTTATCGAATTGAATTAGTAACATAACACCTTCAGTGTCTGTCGGGCTTATGTCACTGGAGGGACATTGTTCATCACTACATGACTGGCATTTTGTAACACTCGCTAGCACCAATGCATTGTTGAGGAATTGTGATAAAGGCTTTGTTGATTGATGTCGTTTATTAAATTTCGCTAAGGGGTTATTTGCCCTCAGGCATTGCGGACTGTCAAATCGCTTAAAACTGAACAGAAAGAAGGTATCGCATTTTAAGGAACAATGTATGCAGAACCCACCCTCGCCAGAAAATATCCGAGAGACGATTCCAGATTGTTTTCAATGTTCATAATTCCACTCAAATTGTGTATCATGCAAAGTACTTTAAAGGGAAATCAAAACAATATCTTTAAAGCCGCACGACATTCTTTGATCTAAGGATAGACCCCCTCAAAGAAAAACGCGTACTGATCAATCCATTTCAAAAATACTTCTCTTTCATAAATAATTCTACCTAAAACTAAAAATAAAACGAAACTCCTGGGCGAAAACTCGACATATTTTAAAAGGAAAAACAATATATTTGGCCGGTACATCGAAACACCATATTTCCTTGAATCTTTTAGCCAGGTTGAACCCCATTTGTTTCTGTTTAAACACATCTGTTGTCAAATAAATAGGAAGCCGTAAAAATGCCACGAATATGCCCATGTTCTGTTCAGAGCTGATAAGGAACCAAGCTGTAATGGGAAGCAAATTAAAGTTTCTATCTATTGTTTTGTCTTCCTCAAGGCGGAAATTATCGAAGCATACGGACGTAATCTCGAGCTAGCCCCTTGGGAAGGAGGGTGAGATGGAATGGGAGACCTCGAAACTCACCTACCATTTTATATGCCAAGGATCGAAGACTGCTTTTGATCTTTCACTAAAATCAACACCGCATACTCGTAAGGGATCAGCTACTTCGCTACTATTTCTTTTCGTTGTCACGCATCTCCCAAAGCGTTGCGTGACATATAAAGAGACTTGAAGGAGAATGAGGAGAGAAAAGCGCAAATTTGCTCAAAATGCAACGTCATTTAATGAAAATCTCCAGAAGAGGGCAACTTTTCCACGGTTACGAGCAGGCCCTAATTATTAGCAAGAATCTATAGCTCACTTGTGGGGCAACCTGAATTTGAAGAAATGCTAAGATAGCAGTTTGAGGTGGGCATGCGTGGATCCAATTCAAGGGAAAAAAATCCTACAGCTCACTCAATATCAGTGAAATTAGGATCCCACAGTTACGCACAGCGTAGATATGAGAGAGAGTGTGTCTACCGTTTTTACAACAGAAAGCGCTCGTTGGATTCATTTTGCAGTTATAGCTTCGACATGGCGACACGATAAGCGTAAATACGAGTTTAACTGTAATAATGACACTTAGTTTATGAATATCGCCAGCCTGGGACTGCCGGTGACCTAAAGCAAACTTCAAATGCGAGCTTAAGTAATCCAGAATTTCTCTTCTTTTAAACCAACTAGATGTAAAATTAGAAAGTTGGACACCACTTGGTTAGTCGCGTTTTCCATGCTCGAGGATATACAATCAAGATACACTTGAAAAACATTCAAAGAACATTTGCTGTAGCGCTTCGTGTAGAGTAAGATGATTTTTGAAAGTTCCAGTCAAATTTGATAGCCTAGTTAACGCCTTCAACTCCGCCTTCATTTGCGATTCCTTTTTTAGATTTCTTGCATCGTTTTTCTCCGGAACAAAACCAACGTGCGAAAAACTTCAGGGCGAAGCTTCATGCTTAAGGTCATCCCCAAAACATTTTGTAGAAGAAATTATATTCATTCCAAGACAAGTGTTGAGCTTTTAACCTCATTTAAGTCTTATTACGCAGTCTTAATAATAAATCAGCCTAGCTTCAAGGGTTAATCTGTCTACGAGAAGTTTAAAAAGCTGACGTATTGTCAAAACACGTGGCGTATTGTCAAAACACGTGGCGTTCTCTTCCAAAACGGTATACGCATGCACAAACCGAACTACAATTGTCGGAGCGGTGGACTGGATACTACAACCCCTGCACTCAAAAAAATTCGGTCAAAGACCTCTTTTTAAGCAATTTTTTCTGTGTTGTCTAAAAACTGTGTAAGTGATATTTTAAGATATCACGGGGTACACTGAAACAGCTTAGCGCTGAAAGGGAAGTTTAATCTTAACCAACGTTTGAGCTACATCAGTCCCCGCGAACGGACCATATTCCTCTTGTTTTAAAGATCGCCAACGCGGAAATAAATGGATGCAAAAGGGAACGTCCGCTCGAAATCTAGTGAAAAGATCAGCAGAATTTCTTGTGACATTGTTGTTTATGAGGATCGAGTTTGTGGACAACAATTCGAAAGCGCTGGAAACAAGGCTTGAAAACCGAATTCAGCGGATTGACGATGACCTGAAAACAAACATAGAGAGGATAGTGAAGAAGAGGTTACAAATTTATGAAACTGCATCCACAACAAGGAGAAAGGAAAGGCGTGATATTATCTTTAATAAGTCATTGCTTATACGTACCTCAGTTCTGTTAGCTTTTTTTAATAACCAACACTACAGTGCATCACAGCACAAAATGATATTTTCGTCGGTTTTCCTCTCAATTCTACAAACAGAATACTCGCTATGTTCTACTGCCGTTGATTGTGAAATAGGGCAGAGCGAAAATCTATCTTAAGTTGTATTTTATTTGTATGTTATCCTTCTACCAAAGGTATTTTGGAAAAGGTCAAACTCAACTGACGCTTAAAATCTCAGTTATTTTCTTTTTTTCACAAGCTTTACGCGAAAGAAAACGCTTAAGGTACTCAACAAGTGAACGTTTTTGTTATTGTTTCGCTTTACTAAAGAAACTGTATGGTTATCGAAAACATCTGCTTTCACATTACGGTAACGAAGGGTGACATGCATTCGTGCGTCAAGCCACCGAAGAATGCAGATTGGATCAGGTAACATTTTGTTGAACCAAATCGAAATTATGACTCCTACTCTTCCTGAAACACGGCAGTATATGTTCTCATTCTCTTAGACTAATGTGTTCGATCATCGCCAATTTTTTGCACCAAAATTTTGACGACAGTAGAAATTGTTACCTGTATTTTGGCGAACAGGATTTTGACCGCGATGCTCAACGAGCTTTGCTTGAAATCTCAAGACCAAAGGCCAAGTCTTAAGACCAAAGGCAGCTTCAGACAGTCCTCGAGCTATTTTGCAACAAAACTATAGAAGTAAAAAGTTCCTTTTATGAATTTTTTCAATTCTTTAACTCTGACTCCATTTAATATTAAGTTGTCCATTTTTGCACCGATTTTATGAGCATATGAATGTTTTAACATTTGCGTATTTCTCGTTTGTCTTTATTTTCTCTTTATTTCTCTTCACCGTAAACATCGATTAATAAACGAATACATCAATTCTGCTCATTCTTTCGCACTTTAAAATTTATCATTTCATTGATCCCATAAGAAATATTTGTAATCGTAACTTCTACAGGTTTTGAAAGCAAAGTAGGAAGTGTGTCATCAATTATCCGTGATTATCAAAGAGAGAGAAGAAATGTTGCTGCAGGAACAATAACTCTGCAGCAAGTCCGCCAGGAAATTAACAACAAGTTCAATAAATCCTGCAGTGTCAACAACAAGATTTGTCAGACAGGACCTCCAGGTCCTCCAGGTGCCCACGGGTATCCAGGGTACAAAGGAGAGAAAAGAGCCACAGGGAAAACCGGCACAAGAGGCCCTTGGGGTCCAATCGGGGCTCCAGGCGTGAGTGGCAAAAGAGGACCCGAGGGACCTCAGGGAGTAAAAGGCGACAAGGGCGACAAAGGGTCCGTTGGAGCACGCGGGATTAGAGGAGAGACTGGAACGAAGGGTCGTAAAGGACAAAAAGGATCTATTGGCTTAAAAGGAAGCAAAGGCAGTAGAGGATTGGTTGGTATTCAGGGACCAAAGGGAGAATGTGTTGTTCCACTGAAGATCAGTGCGTATCCAGTATCTCAGGAAGTCTTTGTGGACGAGCCTGTAATATTTTACTGTTGGGTTCAAGGCCATCTGTCGTCCAAGATAACTTTGCGAAAGCTTGCAGGTACTCTATCTGATGCTACTACGGAAGATGGTGCACTTCGAATAAGCAGCATACAAAGGTCACATGCTGGGTTGTACATGTGTACAGCTCACACTGGTTTGGGAATGTTCCGAATAATAAGCAGATTGCACGTAAAAGGTACATAAAGAGAGAAATGATTACGAAAAGCTTTGTCTCGCAATCTTTAGCTCAGACTTATAAGATCTTCACCATGTTTGTTTTATGTCTGTTACGCTGATTTTTCTTTCTTCAGAGCCGCCTAAATTTACCAACAGGCTTCCTACAGTTGTCAATATATTGCGAGGAACTAATGTAACCCTCTGCTGCGAGGCCTCAGGCTCTACTCGTCCAAACGTTGAGTGGTTCCAGGTCAAAAAGTCTTCTGTCTTATATCCTGTTCTTTAGGAAGATGGATGTCTTCTAATTGAAATGGGTGAGGAAAACGTAGATTTCATCTGCCGGGCTAAAAACAGCTTCGGATTGGTAGAGACAAAAACCACGGTGATTGCAAAAATATTTAGAGGTAATTTTGGTGATTTATTTTTGCTGCAGAGCTTTAGAAATATGTAAAGCTCGTATCAATTGTCTTAATGGCACGGTATGTTTGTTAATTGAGTCCAGCATTTAAAAAGCATTCCAAAACCGCTCTTGGTTAGCTCATGGTGTAGTGGACTGCCATGCGGAAGGTCAAGAGTTCCACTCTAAGGGTCTTAAAATAACTGAGGAGAATGTGCTGCAACTACTATGACATCTGTTAGCGGTTAAACATTTTGGTCTTTTCGAGTAAGGACGATAAACTCCTACGTCTCTATGTGCTGGTTAGCAAGGGACGTTAAAAAACCCACGCACTTCTTGCAAAAAGTAGGCAACCCTATCTCCCAGTGTTGTGGTCTGGCCTTGTTATTATTTATACAGGCCCTATTTAACAAGCTTTAAAGCTGGACTTGACCAGCAAGTCTAAATATCGCAAATAAATAAATTAATATAGTAGATTAATAGATAAAATTTGCTGCTATTATAGGAAAATTCATTACCTGACGAGGGAATTCCGCGTTAAATTGGACGCGAAAACCGATATCGCACGAATCACTAAGCGATGAGTGCGATATCGACTTTCAAGAGCAATTTAACGCAGAATTCACGAGTCAGGTAATGGATTTTCCTTGAATCGCATAATTTAATAAAAATAAGAAAAAAAGAAAAACTAATAATATTAATAATAAAAGCTAAGTTTTTCGTTTGTCTCACGATGTAGTCACGTGTGATGTAGATCGCGACGTTTCGTCTGCATACTGCTAGTCTTCTTCAGGCGATGAGGTCGACTGGTCATGCGTGATCTTATAAAGCATGATGCTCTGCTGTGATTAGTTGTTTTTTAACAGCTCTGATTGGTGCATTTTGATCCTTGCTGTACGTTCAGTGACTTGCTCCCTCGGCGGTCCGCTGTCGTACAGCTTTCCTGTTGTTGTGTTTTTTGATCGTGGGCATCCCACGCTTCTGGAATTTCTATTCCACCATCCCTGTTGATGTTGTTAGGGTGAAGTCTTATATGAATTGCCTCTTTGACCCTGCGCGTGTGGTAATAAGGGCTACGATCAATAAACTTTACTTCGTTCCAGAGTGGCTCGTGTCCGGTGTTGTGGGCATGCTCTGAAACAGCGGAGGTCTCGGTAAGGGTGAGTCGAATGCCTCGATCGTGCTCCTTAATTCTGTCTTGCATAGGTCTTCTAGTCTCTCCGATGTATACCTTGATGTATTCACCACGATGAATAACCACAACCTTTTTGTACGAAAGAAATAATATTGTTTATTGTTTATTGTGTTGATTCGCATCAGAAGAAGCAAAGATTTATTGTAACAATTTCAATAGTTCGAATGCAGTAGTTTGTTCACATCTAATTCTTGCGTATACTGCACGACTCGCTATAATGAATGCAGTAGAATTGGAACGAAATGGCTGGTTTTTTTTTGTTTTTTTTTAACCTTTATTGAGGAAATTTTGTGTTTTGATTGAAAAGAACATCGACAAAAAAACTTGCAAATAGAATTAGTTACCAAATATGATACAAAGGATGCTTAAAAGGAAAGTTTGGTAGGGGGGTCCAAATCTGCGAAGGGGGGTCCATATCCGCTAGCGGAGTTGGACCGGGGGGGTCCAAATCCGTTGTGACACCGGCATGGAATAATCAAACTAGTACTTCGCGCGTAAAGTGATGTATCTGATCAGGTATTTTCAGGGCGTTAATCACGTAGATTGTCAAATGAAACCAGATTTGATGGGAAATTAATACCCAGGAATCACTGTAGAACGTGAGCAAGCCTTCATTCCCAAAATTAAAACCGTCTTCAACGCTATGACCGTGTGCGATTTCGGTCCCTAAATGTACTAACAGAATGGCTACGACAATAATAGATCAAGCCTGCAAGTTGTGAGAAAAGTTTTTCCGCAGGTAACTGAACAGCAAACTCCATCTGAGACCGTTAATTTGGGCAATTTATCAAAAAGCTTGTATAGCTTTTTGTAACACACGTATAAAGAAGGTAGTTAAATAGTTTCTTAGGAAAGCAAATAAATATTTTCGCTTCTGGTGACTTTCATGACGATATCGCGTTTTGTGCAACAACTTTTCACTAGAGACCGTCACACTCCCGGTTCTGAGATCCAAGATAGTAATTTTTCTCGTCTAAATTAAAGAAATTGGTTAAATACTCCTCAAATTATTCGATTCTAAAAACTACGCATTAGCGTGCATGATACAGCTATGCCATGTCACATGGATTTCATTTCCCTGCAGGACAAAATCAAATACAAACTAATGAAATACCTAAGCCATTTTATCCCCGTTCACTCCAACAACTCTTCCTATGACATTTAATATGTTTTGTCTGGCAAATTTTGCATGTAAGTGATATTCTTGTCGATAAGAGTCACACTAAAAGAGCTGCCGAAATGAAAGTTTCATCTTAACTTCGTTCAATTGTGAGCCAAATCTATCCAAGCGAACGAACTCTATTCCTCCTATTTAAAGATTACGAAAAAAAATTTAATCTGTTTCTGAAAACTGTGTAAGTGATATTTTAAGCTATGGGGTTACACCGCAACAGCTCAGCGCTGAAAGGAAAGTTTAATCTTAATTTCCGTTGGAGCTACATCAGTCCCCGCGAACGAACTACATTCCTCCTGTTTTAAAGATCGCCAATACAGAAATGGATGCAAAGAGGAACATCCGCACGGATTCTAGTGAAACGATCATCAGAATTTCCGTGGCAATTTCAGTGACTTCTTTGACTCTTGTGACATTGTTGTTTATGAGGATCGAGTTTGTGTACAACAATTCGAAAGCGCTGGAAACAAGGCTTGAAAACCGAATTCAGCGGATTGACGATGACCTGAAAATAAACATAGAGAGAATAGTGAAGAAGAGGTTACAAATTTTTGAAACTGCATCCACAGCAAGGAGAAAGGAAAGGCCTGATGTTATCTTAGGTGAGTCATTGGTTACACATACGTCGGTTATGTTAGCTTTTTTTTAATAACCAACATTATACTGCATCATGATATTTTCGTAGGCTTGCCTCTTAATTCTAGAAACTGAATACTCGCTATAATTCTACTGCCGTTGATTGTGAAATAAGGCAGAGCGAAAATATATCTTAAGTTGTATTTTATTTGTATGTTATCCTTCTATCAAAGGTATTTTGGAAAAGGTCAAACTCAACTGACGCTTAAAATCTTAATTATTTCCTTTCTTTACAAGCTTTTTGCGAAAGAACACGCGTAAGGTAACCAACAAGTGAACGTTTTTGGTATTGTTTCGCTTTACTCAAGAAACTGTATGGTTATCGAAAACATCTGCATTCACATTACGGTAATGTGGGGTGACATGCATTCGTGCGTCAGACCAATAAAGAATGCAGATTGGATCAGGTAACATTTTGTTGAACCAAATCGAAATTATGACTCCTACTGTTTTAACATTCTGAAACACAGCTGTATACATTCTCATTCTCCTTCATATTTTCTCATTTCTTTCTCTTCACCCTAAACATCAATTGATAAACGACGACATCAATTCAGCTGAAATTTTCTTTCGCATTTCAAAATGCATTACTTCATTGATCCCATAAGAAACATTTGTTATCGTAACTTCTACAGGTTTTGAAAGCAAAGTAGGAAGCGTGTCATCAATTATCCTTGATCATAAAAGACAGAGAAGAAATGTTCCCGCAGGAACAATAACTCTGCGGCAAGTCCGCCAGGAAATTAACATTAAGTTCAATCAGTCCTGCAATGTAAACAACAAGATTTGTCAGACAGGACCTCCAGGTCCTCCAGGTGCCCACGGGTATCCAGGGTACAAAGGAGAAAAAGGAGCCATAGGGAAAACCGGGTCAAGAGGCCGTCCGGGACCAATCGGGGCCCCAGGCACGAGTGGCAAAAGAGGACCGTTGGGACCTCAGGGAGTAAAGGGTGACAAGGGCGACAAAGGGTCCGTTGGGGCACCCGGGATAAGAGGAGAGACTGGAACGAAGGGTCGTCAAGGACAAAAAGGATCTATTGGCTTAAAAGGAAGCAAAGGCAGCAGAGGATTGGTTGGTATTCAGGGACCAAAGGGAGAATGTGTTGTTCCACTGAAGATCAGTGTGTATCCAGTATCTCAGGAAGTCTTTGTGGACGAGCCTGTAATATTTTACTGTTGGGTTCAAGGCCATCTGTCGTCCAAGATAACGTGGCGTAAACTTGGAGGTACTCTATCTAATGCTACTGTGGAAGATGGTGCGCTTCGAATAAGCAGCGTACAAAGGTCACATGCTGGGTCGTACATGTGTACAGCTCACACTGGTTTGGGAATGTTCCGAATAATAAGCAGATTGCACGTAAAAGGTAGGGTCTTTCACTTTTGAGCGATTTTCAGCTTTTGCATTCAGTTACAGGAATGTTTGTTTTCAGGTAATGCCCCAATCTAATCATCATGGTTATTCAGGTCTATGATCAAGACTTTTCTACAACCAAGAAAATATAAACTGAATATAACTTTTTAAGATCTTCACCAAGAGCTCTATGATAGGCTTTGTCACGCCATCTTTAGCTCAGACTTAAATCTGGTTTTTTTTGTGTCTGTTAATTTTATTTTTCTTTCTTCAGAGCCGCCTAAATTTACCAACAGGCCCCCTACAGTTGTCAATACATTGCGAGGAACTAATGTAACCCTCTGCTGCGAGGCCTCAGGCTCTCCTCGTCCAAACGTAGAATGGTTCCAGGCCCAAAAGTCTTCTGTCTCATTTCCTGTTTTTCAGGAAAATGGATGTCTTCACATTAAGATGGTTAAAGAAGACGTAGATTTCATCTGCCGGGCTAAAAACAGCTTCGGATTGGCAGAGACAACAACAACAGTGATTGCAGAAGTATTAGGAGGTATTATTTATTACTTTTGCTGCAAGGCTTTGAAAATATGTGGTTGGAAGGTAGTGTCAATTGTCTCAATAGCGCAATATGTTTGTTAAATGGGTCCAACATTTAAAAAAATATCCCAAAACCGCACTTGGTTAGTTTATGGTGTAGAGCGCCGGACTGCCATGCGAAAGGTCGAGGGTTCCACACTCAGGATCTTAAAATAACTGAGGCGAATATGCTGCTACTACCTTGACATCTGCAAGTAGTTAAACATCGTTGTCTTCTCGGATAAAGACTATAAAATCCTACGTCTCTCTGTACTAGTTAGCAGGGTACGTTAAAGAACCACGCACTTCTCGCAAAGAGTAGCGAACATATCTCCCGGTATTATGCTCTGGCCTTGTTATTATTTATACAGGCCCTATTTAACAAGCTTTAAAGCTGAACTGGGCCAACAAGTCTAAGTATCGCAAATAAATAAATTAATATAATAAATAAATAGATAAAATTTGTTGCTATTTGTGCTGATTCACTCCCTTCCAAATTGAGCGATTAAAACAGGCTGTAATACCTTTCTTTTTCAGGTTTGGAGCAATCAGTAATACTGGCAAGCAATAATCATCACCTGCGCACTTTGAGAGTTTGGTTAGGACCTGTTCTGCAAAGCCAGTCCTCTTACTGGAAGCGCTGCTGGCGAGCATCAGTGCATGGTTGGGCCAGCACTACCTTCCATTCAAAATGTGACAACAAAGGGCCGACAGTGACCATTATTCGTGTTGGAAAATACATCTTTGGTGGATACACCAGCACATCATGGCGTAAGTAAATCATCAAATGCTTTCGGGTTTTTTTTACTCAGTGAAACATGCGTCCACTTTTTAACATTTGAAACCACACGCGGTTAATTCTTTTCAAGAACTCACGGTAAGCGACTTAAAGTCTGTCCTCTAAAAAAACTTGAACCTGAAAAGAAACTCTGGCATAAAGTTTCTTTTGTCCGATTATCTGATTGGAATTAAATTTTGACACAAGATCGTGTTCGATTAGGAAAAGCTGTTCCCTGTATTTACGTAATAACTTCTTCTACCATAGAGAAAGGTTGAACTCAAAAGGAGGTAGAAAATGTATTCAATAGCTTTTCGTTTTATTGTTGTTGTTAACTAAAATACGCTCGTAAACGCCATTTCTCTATCGTTTTAAATGTTCTTCTGGCCAAGTGTTACAAATATTCACCTTCATCTCAGTTTACTGAAATAGTTTGTGACTCTTTTTTTCCATTTTGCTTATTAGTTTCCAACTGTGAATACCAGTACAGTTCAAAGGCCTTTTTGTTCTCATTGGTTAACAAGCCTGGCTGGGCACCAAAGAAACTGTCTCAAACAGGAAAGCATCGTCATGGTGGCCATTCCATAAACGGTTGTTCAAGCTATGGACCCACATTTGGTGGAGGACACGATGTCAGCGTTAAGAACCACGCCTCTTCCAACACAAATTCTTACTCAAACCTTGGATACACCTACAGTCCACCATCTGGCCACAGTTATTTACAATCCTTCACCAAATCATTCTTAGCTGGAAGTTACAACTTTCAACCTGACGAAGTTGAAGTGTTTTATGAAACTACTTGAAGTAAAAGAACTGAAGTAACGATGATATTTAAAACTCCTATTTAGACCTATTTACTAACAATCCAGAGAGACGTTTCTTTCTGGGTTGCCTGTTGGTTATGGCCACAAGCTGAGATAAAGCTTGAACAGATCAGTTTAGGTGGTAGCACTAAACTGTCCAATCTTGTATGCAGGTATCATCATTTTTAGTCGTTGGAGAGAGAGAGCGTAAATTGATCAAAGTGACGCTATAGTGAACTCGGGTATTAATCGTGCAGAATGTTATAAAAATATGCAGTGATTGTAGTAAGCTGTCAGTTATTCTGTGATTCTAAGATACAGAATCAAGCCATTATCTCCGAATTGATCTGCTTTATTTAACATCGGTCCGTCATCTTTAATAAGATTTACGCAACCTATTTCGACCTGATGAAGTTGAAGTGTTTTATGAAACTACTTGAAGGAAACAAATTCCTTTTTAAAGACAATGGAGACAGGGTTGCCTGTGGCTTATGGCCACAAAGACTAAGCTTGAACAGATCAGGCCGTGATAAACGCAAAACTGAACAATTATGCATACGGATACTATCATTTTATAGTCGTAGGAGAGTGTGCCAAAATAAGATGTATGCTCTCCCCAGTCTCCTTTGGCCGTGCTAACGCTAAAAAATTTGCTCATCGAATTCTCATATCCACAAGTAAAAAGGGACCAGGTTTGTGTGTACTTTGTTATCAGAGGTATAATAAAATCGCACGAGAAGGATAGATTAATTCCAATTGAATATTTCTTGCACGGTGATATTTGCGTGTTGCGCAGTATTTTTCTGAGCCCAATAAGGGCGAGGGAAAATAAGAGCGATGAGCAAAATGTCAGTTCGTATTATTTGCCAAACCATCGATGGAGAAATTTATAATTGCACTATTATTACATTTCTATTATTTCAGTGTGACCTTTGTGTTGCTCAGCTTTCCGCTTGTGCTTTTGCCTTGTTCTAGAATGAAATGTCGTGACATATTGCGCACGTTCCGTCGCCCTTAGATGATAAATGACGTCATAGTGAATAAGATGCTGAGATCCATTATACATTATACATTAAATGGCAAAGGCGTCAATTTGAGTTTTTGTCATTCATAACAGAAAGTTTCAGAATCTGGGCAAGTACATGCGCGCGTTTACATTTTTCTACGGTTGCAACATATCACATTGCAAACTACGTTCACGTTAAGGTTTTTATTTTGAAATTCTTTGCTTGAGCTGGATGTTGAATTTGAACTAATCCAAACACTGTTCTAAGTTCTAATATAGGGACCTGATCTTACTGACCAAAGCCATTCTGTGAGACATAGACTGGAAGAATGACTCACTTACTTGCCTTCATCATAGTTTTAGTCCTAGAACTGTATACCCTGTGCTGCCCACCAGAAATATCAAAATATGTTTCAAAAAACATTCAAAGAACATTTGCGATAGTGCTTCGTGTAGAGTAGTCTGTAAAGTTATTTCTGAAACCTTCAGTCAAATTTGATGGCTTAGTTAATGTTTTCAACTCAGCCTTAATTTGCGATTCCCGTTTTGAATTTCGTGCATCGTTCCCCGCAACAAAGCCAACGTGGGAATAACTTTAGGGCGAAGCTTCAAGCTTAAGGTCATCCCCAAAACAAGTGTTGAGCTTTCAACCTCATTTAAGTCATATTCGCATCCTTAATGATAAATCATCGTAGCCTCAAGGGTTAACCTGTCTCAGAGAAATCTGAAAAGCTGACGTCTACGATGGGAGTATTGTCAATGAGTATGCAGACGTTTTTCTTCCTCCATCTGACGATTCACTTTCTTTTCACTTCTATTTCAGACTCACCCTGCTCTTAAAAAATATTCGGTCAAAGACCTCCTCTTAAGAAATTTAATCTGTATTGTCTTACAAATGTGTAAGTGATATTTTAAGCTAAAGGGAGTACGCGTAAACAGCTCAGCGCTGAGAGGGTAGTTTCATCTTAACTAACGTTTTTAAGCTACATCAGTCCCCGCCAGCGAACTGTATTCCTCCTGTTTCAAAGATCGCCGATACAGAAATGGATGCAAAGAGGAACGTCCGCACGAAATCTACTGAAAAGATCTGCAGAATTTCCGTGGCTATTTCAGTGACTTCTTTGACTCTTGTGACATTTTTGTTTATGAGGATCGAGTTTGTGTACAACAATTCGAAAGCGCTGGAAATAAGGCTTGAAAACCGAATTCAGCGGATTGACGATGACCTGAAAACTAACATAGAGAGAATAGTGAAGAAGAGGTTACAAATTTATGAAACTGCATCCACAACAAGGAGAAAGGAAAGGCCTGATGTTATCTTTGGTGAGTCATTGGTTACACGTACCTCAGATCTGTTAGCTTTTAATAACCAACATTAAACTGCATCACAGCACAAAATGATTTATCGTTCATTTGCCTCTCAATTCTATAAACAGAATACTCGCTATAATTCTACTGCCGTTGATTGTGAAATAAGACAGAACGAAAATCTATCTTAAGTTGTATTTTATTTGTATGTTATCCTTCTGCCAAGGGTATTTTTGGAAAAGGTCAAACTCAACTGACGCTTAAAATCTGAATTATTTTCTTTTTTCACAAGCTTTATGCGAAAGAACACGCTTAAGGTAATCAACAAGTTTTTGCTATTGTTTCTCTTTACTCAAGAAACTGTATGGTTATCGAAAACATCTGCTTTCACATATTACGGTAATGTAGGGTGACATGCATTCGTGCGTCAGGCCACCGAAGAATGCAAATTGGATCAGGTAACATGTTGAACCAAATCGAAGTTATGACTCCCACTGTTTTGACTTCCTGAAACACAGCAGTATACATTCTAATTATCTTACACTAATGTGTTTGATCACCGCTAATTTTTAGCACCGAAATTTTCATGACAGTAGAATTGTTAATTATATCTTACGAACAGAACTTTGAGCACGATGCTCAATGAGCTTACTTGAAATCTCGCACCTGAAAAGTCTCAAGACTAAAGGCAGCTTCAGACAGTCCTCGGGCTATTTTCCAAAAAAATGTATAGACGTCCAAGGTTCCTTTTATAAATTTTTTTGTTCTTTAACTCTGACTCCATTTCATGTTCATATATTCATTTTTGCACCGATTTTGTGAGAATATTAATGTTTTAACATTTGCATATTCCTCTTTTGTTTCTACTTTCCATTTTCTTTCTCTTCACCGAAAACATCGATTGATAAACGACTACATCAATTAAGATTATTCTTTCGCACTTTAAAATGCATTATTTCATTAATCCCATAAGAAATATTTGTTATCGTAACTTCTACAGGTTTTGAAAGCAAAGTTGGAAGTGTGTCATCTGCTGTCCGTGATCATCAAAGAGAGAGAAGAAATGTTGCTGCAGGAACAATAACTCTGCAGCAAGTCCGCCAGGAAATTAACAACAAGTTCAATAAATCCTGCAACAACAAGATTTGTCAGACAGGACCTCCAGGTCCTCCAGGTGCCCACGGGTATCCAGGGTACAAAGGAGAAAAAGGAGCCACAGGGAAAACCGGCTCAAGAGGCCCTCCAGGTCCAATCGGGGCTCCAGGCGCGAGTGGCAAAAGAGGACCCGAGGGACCTCAGGGAGTAAAAGGCGACAAGGGCGACAAAGGGTCCGTTGGAGCACCCGGGATTAGAGGAGAGACTGGAACAAAGGGTCGTCAAGGACAACAAGGATCTATTGGCTTAAAAGGAAGCAAAGGCAGCAGAGGATTGGTTGGTATTCAAGGACCAAAGGGAGAATGTGTTGTTCCACTGAAGATCAGTGTGTATCCAGTATCTCAGGAAGTCTTTGTGGACGAGCCTGTAATATTTTACTGTTGGATTCAAGGCCATCTGTCGTCCAAGATAACGTGGCGTAAACTTGGAGGTACTCTATCTAATGCTACTGTGGAAGATGGTGCGCTTCGAATAAGCAGCGTACAAAGGTCACATGCTGGGTCGTACATGTGTACAGCTCACACTGGTTTGGGAATGTTCCGAATAATAAGCAGATTGCACATAAAAGGTAAGGTCTTTTACTTTTGAGCGACTTTCATCTTTGCTTTTAGTTGTTCGAAATGTTAGAAGATCAGTGCCGTTTGTTTTCAGAATCAGATAATGCCCCTAATCGAATCATGATGGTTATTCAGGTCTATTGATCAAGACTTTTCTAATACCAAGAAAATATAGCCTGAATGATTCTGGCGCGCCTTGATTACGTTAAAGCTGCTTGTCAATGAGAGAAATGATTATGATAAGCTTCGTCTCGCCATCTTTAGCTTAGACTTTTGAGATCTTCACCACGTTTGTTCTATGACTGTTAAATTGATTTTTTTTCTTTCCTCAGAACCACCTAAATTTACCAACAGGCCCCCAACATTCGTCGGTGCATTTCCAAGATCAAATGTAACCCTGTGCTGCGAAGCCTCAGGCTCTCCTCGTCCAAACGTTGAATGGTACCATGGCCAAAAGTCTTCTGACTCATTTCCTCTTTTTCAGAAAGATGGATGTCTTCTAATTAAAATGGTTGAAGAAAACGTATATTTTATTTGCCGGGCTAAAAACAGCTTCGGATTGGTAGAGACAACAACCTTGGTGATTGCAGAAAAATTGGGGGGTATTATTTATTAGTTACTTTTGCTGCAGAGCTTTAAAAATATGAAATTGGAAGGCAGTATCACTTGTCTTAATAGCACGATATGTTTGTTGTATGGATCAAGCATTTGAAAAATATCCCAAAACCGCACTTGGTCAGCTCATGGTGTAGAGCGCCGGACTGCCGTGCGGAAGATCGAGGGCTCCACACTCAGGGTCTTAAAAAACTGAAGAGAACGTGCTGTCGCTTCCATGACATTTGCTAGTAATTAAACATTTTAGTCCTCTCGGATAAAGACGATAAACTCCTACGTCTCTCTGTACTGGTTAGCAGGGGACGTTAATGAACCCACGCACTTCTCGCAAAGAGTAGCGAACATATCTCCCGGTGTTGTGCTCTGGCCTGGTTATTATTTATAGCAGCCCTATTTAACAAGCTTAAAGCTGAAATGGGCCAACAAGTCCAACTATTGCTAATAAATAAATGAATACATTTAAAAAATAGAAAAACATTTGCTGCTATTTGTGCTAATTCACTCTCATTTGGTATTAAATTGTGTTCCGGGACTGAAACCGAAATTGATCCCTTTTTAATTGAACGATTAAAACGGGCTTTAATATCTTTCTTTTTCAGGTTTGGAGCGATCAGAAATACTGACATATAATGTTCATTACCTGCGCACATTGAGAATTTGGTTAAACCCTGTTAAGCAGAGCCAGTCCTCTTACTGGGAGCGCTGCTGGCTTGCATCAGTGGATGGTTGGAGCAGCACTACCTTCCATTCAAAGTGTGACAACAAAGGGCCCACAGTGACCATTATTCGTGTGGGAAAATACATCTTTGGTGGATACACCAGCACATCATGGGGTAAGTGAATCATTGAATGCTTTCACCTTATTTTTTCATTTCATTGAAACATGCGTCCACTTTTTAACATTTGAAACTACGTGCGGTTACTTATTTTCCAGAACTCATGTAAGCGACTTAAAGTCTCTCCTCTAAAATAACTTGAACCTGAAAAGAAACTCTGACATAAAGTTTCTGTTGTCTGATTATCTGATTGGAATTAAATTTTGACACAAGATCATGCTCGATCAGGAAAAGCTGTTCCCTGTATTTACGCAATAATTTCTTCTACCATAGAGAAAGGTTAAAGTCAAACGGGTGATAAAAAATTCATTCAATATCTTTTCCTCTGATTGTTGTTATTAACTGGTAAACGCAATTTCTCGACCGTTTTAAATTTTCCTCTGGCCAAGTGTTACAAATATTCACCTTCATCTCAGTTTACTGAAATAGTTTGTGACTCTTTTTTTCCATTTTGCTTATTAGTTTCCAATTGTGGATACCAGTACAGCTCAAAGGCCTTTTTGTTCTCATTGGTTAACAAGCCAGGCTGGGCACCAGTGAAACTGCCTCAAACAGGACGATATAGTTCTAATGGCAAATCCATATACGGTTGTTCTATCTATGGACCCGAATTTGGTGGAGGACGCGATCTCAGCATTAAGAACTACGCCTCATCCAACACAAATTCCTACTCAAACCTTGGATACACCTACAGTCCACCATCTGGCCACAGTTATGGCAGCTCCTTCACCAAATCATTCCTGGCAGGAAGTTACAAATTTCAACCCGATGAAGTTGAAGTGTTTTATGAAAGTACTTGAAACAAAACGAACTGAAGTAACGACGATATTCAAAACTCCTATTTAGACCTATTTACCAACAATCGAAGCAGACTCTGCCTATTTACTGAAAATCGAGACAGGGTTATATTATATATACAGGTATCATCATTTTTAGTCTTTGGAGAGAGTTCGCAAATTGATCAAAGTAAACTCGTGATCAAAGTGAACTCGTGGATAAACTGTGAAGAATATTATAAGAATAGGCAGTGATTGTACTAAGCTTTCAATTATTCTGTAATTCCAAGATACAGAATCAAGCCATCATCTCCAAATTGATCCGCTTTATTTAACATTTATTTCGACCTGATGAAGTTGACGTGTTTTATGAAGCTACTTGAAGCAAACAAATTCCTATTTACTGACGATGGAAACAGCGTTTCCTGTGGCTTGTGGCCACAAAGATCAAACTTGAACAGATCATGTTAGGTAATAGCACAAAACATCATATTTAGTCGTATGCGGAGAGTACGAAAATAATGTGTAAGCTCTCCCCAGTCTCATTTGGCCGTGCTAACGCTATGAAATTTGCTCATCGAATTCCTATATCCACAAGTAAAAAAGGGCGAGATTTGTGTCTACTTTGCTATTAGAGGTACAATAAAATCGCACGAAGAGGATAGTTTGATTCTAATTGAATATTTCTTGCACGATGATATTAGCGTGTTGCGCAGTATTTTTCCGAGCCCCGTAGGGGCGAGGGAAAATATGAGCAATGGAAAAAATGTCAGTTCGTATTATTTGTCAAATCATCGATGGAGATATTTATTATTGCACGATTATTCCATTTTCTATTATTTCGGTGTAACCTTTGTGTTGCTCAGCTTTCCGTCCGTGCTTTTGCCTTGTTCTACAATGTAATGTCGTGGCATATTTTGTACGTTCCGTTGCCCTTATATGGTGAATGACGTCATAATGAAGAAGATGCTGAGATCCATTATACATTATACATTAAATGGCAAAGGCGTCAACTTGAGTTTTTGTCAATAACAGGTCTGGGCAAGTACTACTTTAACATATCACATTGCAAACTACGTTCACGTTAAGGTTTTTATTTGTGAAATTCTTTGCTTGAGCTGGATGTTGAATTTGAACTAATCCAAACACTGTTCTAAGTTCTAATATAGGGACCTGATCTTACTGACCAAAGCCATTCTGTGAGACATAGACTGGAAGAATGACTCACTTACATGCCTTCATCATAGTTTTAGTCCTAACACTGTATTCCCCGTGCTGCCCACCAGAAATATCAAAATATGTTTGAAAAACATTCAAAGAACATTTGCGATAGTGCTTCGTGTAGAGTAGTCTGTAAGGTGATTTCTAAAAACTTGAGTCAAATTTGATGGTTTAGTTAATATTTTCAAATCAGCCTTCATTTGCAATTCCTTTTTTGAACTTCGTGCATCGTTATTCTCCGGAACAAAGACAACGTGCGAAAAACTTCAGAGGGAAGTTTCAAGCTTACGGTCATCCCCAAAACATTTTGTCGAAGATATTATATTCATTCCAAGACAAGTGTTGAGCTCTCAGCCTCATTTAACTCTTATTACGCAGCTTTAATAATAAATCAGCTTAGCTTCAAGAGGTAATCTGTCTCAGCGAAATTCAATAAGCTGACGTCTACGATGGGAGTATTGTCAATGAGTATGCAGACGTTTTTCTTCCTCCATCTGATTATTCATTTTCCTTTCACTTCTATTTCATACTCACCCCTGCACTAAAGAGAACATTCGGTCAAAGACATCCTCTTAAGAAATTTAATCTGTATTGTCTGACAACTGTGTAAGTGATATTTTAAGCTAAAGGGAGTACACTTAAACAGCTCAGCGCTGAGAGGGTAGTTTCATCTTCACTTGCGTTTTTGAGCTACATCAGTCCCCGCCAACGGACTATATTCTTCCTCGGCTGTTTTAAAGATCGCCAATACAGAAATGGATTCAAAGAGAAACGTCCGCACGAAATCTACTGAAAAGATCAGTAGAATTCCCTTGGCAATTTCAGTGACTTCTTTGACTCTTGTGACATTGTTGTTTATGAGGATCGAGTTTGTGTACAACAATTCGAAAGCGCTGGAAATAAGGCTTGAAAACCGAATTCAGCGGATTGACGATGACCTGAAAACAAACATAGAGAGAATAGTGAAGAAGAGGTTACAAATTTATGAAAATGCATCCACAACAAGGAGAAAGGAAAAGCCTGATGTTATCTTTAGTAAGTCATTGCCTCAGATCTGTTAGCTTTTAATAACCAACGTTACACTGCATCACAGCACGAAATGATTTATCGTTCATTTGCTTCTCAATTCAATAAACAGAATAATCGCTATAATTCTATTGCCGTTGATTGTCAAAGAAGACAGAGCGAAAATATATCTTAAGTTGTACTTTATTTGACAACAATCCAGACAGACGTTTCTGTCTAGGTTGCCTCTGGGTTAAGGTCACAAACTAAGATAAAATTTTAACAGACCAGTTGAGGTAGTAGCGCTGAACTGTCCAATTATGTAAACAGTTATCATCATTTTTAGTCGTTGGAGAGAGTGCGCAAATTGATCAAAGTAACGCTATGGTGAACTCGTGTATAAACTGTGCAGATTATTATAAGAATATGCAGTGATTGTAGTCAGCTTTCAGTTATTCTGTGATTTCAAGATACAGAATCAAGCCATTATCTCCAAATTGATCCGCTTTATATAACAATCGGTCCGCCATCTTTAAGAAGATATATGCAATGTATTTCGACCTGATGAAGTTGAAGTGTTTTATGAAACTACTTGAGGCAAACGAATTCCTATTTACTGAAAATCGAGACAGGGTTGCCTGTGGCTCATAGTCACAAAGATAAAGCTCTAACAGATCAGGTTAGGTAACAGCACTAAACTGTTCAACTATGTATACCGGGTATTAGCATTTTTAGTCGTAGATGAGGGTACAAAAATAAGATGTATGCTCTCCCCAGACTCCTTTGACCGTGCCAACGCCACGAAATTTGCATATCGAATCTCCTGAGATTCTCATATCCACAATTAAAAAGGGCCAGGTTTGTGTGAACTTTGTTATTAGAGGTACTATAAAATCGCTCGAAAAGGACATTTAATTTCAATTGAATTTTTCTTGCACGATAATATTTGCGAGTTGAGTAGTATTTTCCGAGCTCCGTAGGGGCGAGGGAAAATATGAGCAATGGGCGAAATGTCAGTTCGTTGTCTGAGTTTAGGTTTACCACTACACTTCTAGTTATTTCGATGGACATGGATGGACTCCATTGGATTCCATCCGACGATTGGATATCGATGGAGTCTATAGGACAACAATTCGACCCTTCCCAATAGATCTGGAAAATTTAAATCAAATAATTGTAATACTCCACCACATCAACAGACTTCTTTAACAATGAAACGTAACAAAAATTGGGCTGTTCTTTTAGCAAGATAATTTCGTCGGACAAGTTGCAACGTACTCAAATGAAAAGTTCTGTTTGAAATAGTGATAATTTTTTATAGGTTATTAAACATCCATTTATTCCCTTTTCTCCGGGAATTGGAGAGTAAGTTGTTTGACTCGGTAGATGACAAAGGGATTTGGCTAATTAGGAAACTGCTGTCAAGAGGGCGGAACAACGGCTTGGGCCACATTGTATATACCGTTTACGGCGTGCACACATATAGAATGTTATAACAGAGAGCTGAAGAAACGGAAAGTTACGAATAGAAACAAGATTACTTATATTTGGCCCAAGTGTCTCCTTAAAGGAAAACATTCATTTTGGCGTATTGTTCTTCTTGCCACTCATGAATTAACAACAGATGTGATTCACCAATAGCGCGCGTTCGAAATGTTACGGACTTGAGTCAGGAAACTGGGTCGAGTGCATCAAGTCGAGGCTAGCAGGTAGGCTTTATGCATCGATTAGTTCCTTGATCAAAGTACTGAGTGCAAGTGCTACAACCAAGACTTTATAAACTGCTACAACCCAATAGTGTTGAAATATGACCAGCCAATATAAAAGTTGACAAAAACGGCATCAACAACAAAACCATTTTTATTGTGCTCTTTATCGAGTATTAGCAATGTATTGCATAGAAAATGACTACTTACAGCAGCCATTTTTCTGCTAATTAGTATTGTAATAATAAGAGGGTACCAGCACCTGGAATAACTACGCAGCTAAATATGAGAAGGAACTGGATTAAGGTAAATTGCATATTTATAGCGGAGGAAGAGTATGGCCAACACATACAAAAACTATGTGAAAAACTACATTACACACGTAACAACAAAGAATTGTGGTACAATTTAACAATCTTTGAAGATCAAACCCTTGCTACAGTCTGAACACTTCTCTCAGAGATCAAAAGTGTTTCGTTTCACGATTGTTTATTTTTATGATGGTAGCATATCTATTCTTGGCTTTTATAAAAATAACTTCTATCACCTTTGATGGTCTCGGCCATAAGCCCCAAACTTCAAACTTCTACTTAAATCTCCTCTGAACTTACTTTATTTTCTCTTTAAATCAAATATCTATAGGATTTATTATAGGAGCCTTGAAAGTTTAGCACGCCTTGCTGTAAGCGGCCAAAGGTGAATTCCAAAGAAAGTGAGAAAATTGAACAAGGTACAACACTTTCGTAGCAACTTCCATAGGAAAATGTCCATCTCTGACATTAAAATTTTGTCATAAACATGGAAAAGGAAAATAGTGGAGCTTTTGGGTTCTTTCAATCCAGTAACAGCACTTTACCCGAGCAAGTGAACATGCATGCTCAACTTTTCGCCAGTAACAGGTTTGCACCTGTACCCCTCCAAAATATCATGTTGCTAAGTATATCCATTGAAAAGCTCTTTTCGGTGAAATACACTGATCCTTTTTTTCCTATTCTACCCCTCTTCCTGTACTCCTTTGGTAAACCTGATATTTCTGCGCGAGCTGGGGCAAATCTAGACTGATAAAAAACACCTGATCTTCCGGCCAAAGCC